TAGGGTCTGGGCATTTGTAATGTATCCGTACAATTGCCTGATTTTCTATCAGTATCCCTGTCGGTCCACGGTAGAGTAAGTGAGTGCTGCTCTCCGCTCTGAAGAGCGACTAAAGGGTGGTACAGTCAAAAAAGCGAATTATTGGGCAAATGCCGAGCTGGGCACGGTTGTTGGTCACGGTCAGAAGACATTACCTCATGAAGCCAGTCCTCCAGACTCCAGACTCCAATTAGTCTATGATGTAGGTGTGAACCCCGTATTAGTTAGTTACTAGTCAGGAGTTAGTCAAATGTCAGTCTCTTTAGACACATACATACATACATACATACATACATACATACATACACAGAGAGAATGAGAGAGAGAGAGAGAGAGGCTGTCAGACTCATACTCTGTATGGTAACAATGCAGCGTGACTTTACGCAGAGTGCTACCATGCACCATGCACCATGCTGCTACGTTGGCCGGGGGGCTCACCCAGAAGGATGTTTCTGTGCATCACATCGTGCCATTTCATTTTCCGAGCGAATCAACGGAGGAAGAAACCCCCCCCCCCCCCCCGAGAGCGACGGAGGATTCGAAAAGTCACAGATTTTACCAGGTGTCAGTGGGGAGATGCCCCCCTCCTGGGTTTCCTCCAATGAGATCGCTTAGCCCTGGTACGGTCGAGAAGGCCAATGCAAGGTTTGCTATGTTTAGCATCTTAGATCGCCCGCTATACTCTGTACGTTGTCTAGGTCGATCTAATGCAGCGGAGCGAGTGACAGTGACGAGGGAGTTACCTAACTTAGGTAAGTTCCTGGACCTGACCTACCTGTCTCCCAGAGTAGGTGGTAGTAGCTGCCATGGTCTATCTATTTATTCTCTGAAGGATGAACATACTTTTGACCGCTGACTATCCATCCATCCTTTGGCAGTTCACGCGGTATTGTATGGGGGCGTACTACTAGTACTACTAACTTACTAACTAAATACGGGTAGTTAGTGCCAGTAGTACAGTGTACTCCGTACAATACATACTCTGACAGTACTCCGTACCTAGATCGTCCTTTCAACCGAGAAGGTAATAGATGCATGGATAGGTACTGAGATGAAACACCATGCTTGTATCACCGAGGACGCCCTATGTCTACTAGTCCTTGGACAAAACCATAGGATCTTCCTTGATGAAAAGACAGAAACATCTCCTGACCGAGGTTTAGATAGTAGGAGTCTTGACTCTTGAGGATAGATAAAAAAAAAAAAAAACAAGTAAAAAGAATCACCGCCACGACAGGGGTAGACCAGGATCAGATGCCGTGTCCAGACCGCACAACCGAATTCAGATTTTGACTGGCTGGCGGCGGTTCCAATGTTGTGCGGCTGTTGGCTCGTGTTTGGTGATCGGTGACGTGACGGAATTAGCTTTTTCTGAGCTCTGTTATCCGTACTTGTACCTGTTACAGGTCGAAGAAAAGAAAGAAAGAAAGAAAGAAAGCAGATCCTTTAGTGGGGTAGTTGTTGGAAAAAGGAGTACGGATCGAATCGCGATGCTCTGAATCTGGTCTGTATTCGGAAATTTTTGGGAATGGATGCATGAAAATCCGAGAAATCGATCAGATCAGATCCTCTACTATACTACTCCGTACTATTACAGAGTAGTCTGTATTGTACTCCGTACATAGTAAGTTCACCTTCAAATTTCGGTAGACCTCCGGAGGGTCTACCCCTCCACTTGGCCTCCTTATGAGGTTTATCTTTAGACCTGGTGGCCGGAGGATTGCCAGATACGGCAAGGACTGGGTAGTTTCCAGTTTCCACTCCGGGTTTCAAAATGGCATCTCGGTAGGTGACACGATTGCTGGAAAAGGGAAAAGGGTATCAACTACGGAGTGCCTAGGTACCTACCTAGGTATAGAGAGAAAGGGGAACGGATTCATCAGAGATTCTTCTCGTCTAGCTCTACTCTGGGGAAGACTAGTATGAACTTTCCATAGAGCTAGCAATCAACTCAGGTCTTCATCCCAAGGTAACTACTATTTGATTTCTACATATATCTACTTGGGACAATAAAATCGATCCCTACTACCTAGACTAGATAGGTAGGGACTACATCTCCTTGTTTTTTTTTTTTTTTTGCCTCGGGATTATTCATAGGATCCACCTCGGCGGCGTGAACCGCCTGAACGGTTTTTCTCTCTCAGGTAATTTGGGGGATTTTTATCGTGTTCGGCTTTTCGGACCTTTTGTCGTTTTTTTTATTTACCATTAGTCTGGTCTGGGAATAGTTCGGCATCGAGAATTATATTCCCCTAATAATAAATCTGTGTTCCGAGAGCTCCTGTCCTCCACTAGATAGATTATAATTATTCCAGTATGATATCATTCTCTCTTGATTAGTAGGGAGTACTCCATCATAGGACCCTGGTAGTTTATGATAAATGAAAAGGAGGTACCCCATAATGACTGGGAAAGCCTCGGAATATAACGTTGTATGAGAATGATGGACCATGGTTCACTCCAGGAATAATGGGGAAGAAGAAGAAGAAGAAGAAGAAGAAGAGTAGGAAAGTAATTATTGTTACGGAGTATATTATCATCTGGTAAAATAATAATGATAAAATAATATTATAGTCCGAAAAGAATCAAATAATAATAGCAGGAAATAATAATCTGATGCCGGCTTTAGGACCAACTCATTCTCTTCACTAAGTAGAGAGAGAGAGAGAGAGAGAGAGAGAAAAATCCAAATAATAATAATCCCAAATGATATCCTGCTGCCTCCGCCACACTTTTCTCTCTCTCTCTCTCTCTTTCTCCCTCTCTTACTTTCTCCCCAGAGTAATGTACTGTACAGTGGATTTGTTAACTTAAACCTGAGAGAGAGAAAAAAGTAATCATATTATTTACCTCCTACTGGTCCGCTCTTCGTCTCGTTTCTTTTTTTCCCTTTTTTTTTTTTATCCATCGCATCTGTACCGTCGCTTTGCTTCTTATTTTAACTCTCTAGTTAAACTGCCTCATCCACTCCTCCAGCCTTTTACCCTCTTATTATCCCACCCCCCCCTCTCCTCCTCCAACCTCCTCTTCCTCCTCTTCCTCCTCTTTTCCCCCGTACCTTTTACGGTTATGGCATCTTGATCCTTCTTCTTTTTCTTTTGATTTTCACTCGCTTACACATACACTCGCTTCCACACTCGCTTGGTTTTGGCATCGAAGTATTATTACATTCGCTACGTCGGTGTTGGTCAAGAAAGCACAAAAAAAAAATTATACAAGATCGACTCTCAAACATTAATTTCAAGAATCGGAGACGGAGACTGGAAGGACTTGGACCCGATCACCCTAATATCTAATCTTCGCTCATCTCAACGAACTCGCTCATCGTGGGACGACAACCCTTCGCTATTGTGTTTTACCTACGCCCAAAACTTCTCCAACGATTCAAGACAGACAGAAGGAAAAAAGGAACCTGAATCAACCAATATCAACCCACTCCCCCCTTCCCCTTTCCCCGACAAAGATCAGTGACAGCTTGCATCTCCCCCCTCGGACCCAATCTCTTAGATCGGGCGTTTGGTTGAGTCTCGACCCTAAGACTATAGAGCAACCCGCCGTTTGTTCCGCAGACAGCGCGACTGAAAGTCGATTGTCAGTGTCGCTGCCCTTCCCTCCCACTGCTGCGGCCGTCAAGCTTCGCCTTGTCTCGATTCTTGCGCGCGAGTGGAGCTGAGGTTGGTTTACCTTCCAATATTCCATCTACTCCCGCCATTCTGATCTGGACTCAGCCAGCGTGGATCCTTGTCTCGGTTGAGGACTCAACTTATTGACAGACTAGCCAGACTTATCCCAAACCTACGCCCTTTGGGTTGCCAAGGTTAGTAGAACCAGTTCCTCCCTTTTCCCGTTGATACCGTGCTGGTGCCTTGCATCTATCCCCTTCGTATCTCTCCTTTCATTTCAACTCCTTGCTTCTCCAAGCCTCGAGGAAAATTAGGGTCGATGAAGGCCCTCATGCGCTTGTCATTTCTCCTATGGTCTTCGTCATCCAAGTTGGTCTTTGTTGTTGACTTTTGTCCCTGCGCGTAGACACTTTTCGTCAATCGCTTCCTCGCCGTGACCTTTTTCTTTCTTTCTTCTCTTTTCTGCATATTAGCTTTCTGGACACCTCAGCGACGGATATTAATCCTTTATTATCTCTTTGGTAAGTCCCGGTAATCTATGCAGCGACCCGTTTTCTCGCCTTTGGGTGGTTCATACTCACGAGGCGGGTAGTTCGTTGCCCGACTGTATTCAGTCTCTGAATCTAGTCCACCTGGGCAGTATCAGAACCAATTATTTCGCTCTGAGAAGAGGCGAAAAAGGCAAGAGGGAGGATTTTACTTCCACTGTGTCTCTGTTTCGGCTTAGATAACTCGACTGGCTTTTTGAAACCAGGCCACTGATTTCTACGCTCGTTCCGTCAGCCTTGACCACTGTTGGGAGTCTCAGTTATCATCTTCAGATGGAAATCGGTCTCTCATAGGTGATTGTCAAGTAATCGTCGACTGTGTGGCCTGTTTCTGGCCCTCATCCTGCAGCCAGCCTTTCCTGGTTTCAGCCTTCGTTGGATATACGCCCGTGATTCGAAGCTCGGCTCGTACCCTGCTTCTTGCGCCTGACGTTCGCTTCGTGTCGTCGCTCGTTATTGTCTCGGAGAGCTTTCTGTGCGCTTTACGGCATACTATCGTTTTTTTTTTTTGCCTAGGAATAAATTCACTGTCATTCGCTTCTTTAGGCTGTGGTGTTTCGTTGCAGCTCCTGCAACACCTTCAAGCTGGCTTACTCGAAGACACAGTGTGGTTTGGTGAGTTAATTGCATCCGCCTGTTTCTCCTCTTCCTGCCCAATTGCTCTCTTGTGGTTCCCCCCCCCCAAGAAGCCAGCTCCCGTTCCCAGCTGGGATTGGAATCTGGATTCAAGTTCTACCTTGCTCAAGACCGACACCTTTTGCTTTTCTGTCGTTTCACTAGTTGCTTGTCTATGATTTTGCTAAGACTTTCCTTGTCTACAGTTCGATCCGGAGTTCCAAACCCCTTTAATCGTAGACGAGTCGTTGGATTTCTCGGATCCTGAAGAGTCTCAATTTTTCGGTGTGTTTTCAGACGGCCTGCTGGCCAAGTCTGAACCCATCCTGTCTATGTCTGCTTTCCAGAAACCCCCACAAGCGGCCCTGCTAGGTGCGTTGTGTTTTAGACAAAATCTCAGCCCCATGAGCTTTCAGCTCCCATGACAGAGAGAGAATTTTTGCTGATATATAAATAGATTATGATTCTGCCCGGTCTTTGCAGGATGGTACCTCTTATTCCACCTATGGCCAGACCCCTTATGTTTCGACACCCCTCGTTCCCTCCCCAATGGCCGACCATGTGAGTCAGATATCGGATTGCGTTCCATACATGGGGAATCACGAGTATGCCAGCTCCTACGAAGAGGGCCAGTCTCCTATGATGACGGCCGAGCCTCGTCAATTGCCCGAGGTTATCTCATATTCTCCTCAGAGAGGCTCTGAAGGCACCAGGGTCTATGTGCAAATCCAGTCTCCCTATGACCTTCATACATCCTCCTATGCAATCCTCTACATTGTCTTTGGCTCGAAGAAGTGCGAATGCATCCCGCACTTTGTTGGGTTCCAGGACTCTTCATTTCAATATGCTCTCTCTATCGATACCCCTCCATTCGCGTCGACGGGGTCATCATCGCTCGCGGTGCCACTCCAGGTCGCCATGGACGGACAGAACGACTGTCCCTCTACAACTCTGCAAGTCGGTGTTTATACATATGAGCATGCCGGACAGTACTCGCCTGCTGATGATGACACTCGCAAGAGGAGAATCGCACCCTTCACTGAGGAAACCATTACCCGGCCAATTAAGAGAGCCACCCCTCTCCCTATGCAAGGCAAGGAAGAGCAGTCGGGTTATGCTGCGCCATATTCACCCTATCTCCAGCCCGTTCCCTCTTCCAACGGCTTTCCGACTCCATACCACGCGACATCATCACCCAGAGTCGGGCCTATGCAGTATTCCGCTGCCTCCCAGGCATCGATTCGCGCACCATCTCCCATGACACCTTCATGGAGCCCATCCTACCTGTCTGTCAGTCACGAGCCCAGGAGTGCTAGCTACGCAATTGCTCATACTCTTCGTCAGCAAAAACCGTCCTCTCCAGCGCGGTTTTCGAACCCGACGCTCATTCGTACTTCCACACTGCAGCAGTCCAGTGGCTTGATTCAGTCACAGTCATTCAACCCATACGCTATGTATCCTTCTAAGGCTGTCCTCAAACTCAATGGGGACCTGGACTCTATGACAGAGAATTGGACTGCGGAGGAACGTGATGCTAAGCGCCGACTGGTGCAGTTCACTCGAATGCAGAATGGTAGCACCATCCATGCCGATTTTAAACCCGTGGCCCCGGAAGATCGGGCACCCAACAGCATCTGCATTAGCTGCATCTACTGGGGCGGAAAAGATGAGTGCTTCGTTACGAGTGTGGATACCATCTACCTTCTTGAGTCACTCGTTGGTGTTCGGTTCACCGTTGAGGAGAAGAACCGTATCAGACGTAATTTGGAGGGATTCCGACCCCTGACTGTCTCGAAAGCCAAGGCAGATAGCGAAGATTTCTTCAAGGTTATTATGGGGTTCCCAGCCCCGAAGCCAAGGAACATCGAAAAGGATGTGAAAGTCTTTCCTTGGAAGATCCTCAGCCATGCCTTGAAAAAGATCATTGGAAAATACGTGAGCTCTCCGTTCCAATTCTGCCAGCACCTAGCAACCCGTTCGCCTCGCTAACATATTTCCCACTTAGTCTGCGAGCTACTCGTCCACTGCCGGGGCGCTGCCCACTTCGATCGGATCCAACTACGCCAGTACTGGTGCTGCGTCTGATTCTGGAACTGAACCGCACAATGCGACCTCCCCGCAATCTGTTTCCGAAGGCACGCCATCCAGCAATTATGGCCCTAACCTTGCAGCCCCCATATATTCACCGCCAACCGAAAGCGCTGGCCCTCCCATGATCGGCGGTACCGAACTCCGAGCCGTCTTACCCTCCGTGAGTCAATCATACTCAACAATGGCTGCACCATACTCCTATCCCCCCGTCTGTCACCAGCAGAACCAACTCGCTCTCACAGCCCCTGTCCCTAGGGCGTGGGAGCTCAACTCCCTTGTTACCCCTCCAACCGTGAGCGGAGCCCCTAGCTATAGCTACATGGCTCCCATGTCTTATCCTGTTCCTGGGCCTCCTCACGGCCCCTAAGGGCTGCAATTTCCTCCTTCCTCAACCTGCATTAATCGGCGTTATTGAACCTTTTTTTTTTTTTTTTTTTTTTTTTTGGATCCCCCTCTTTCATCGTCACTCCTTCATGATACCATGGCGCTCGGTTATTAATGTCTTGCTTGCATACGTGGGCCACTCATCGGGCTATGGTGTTTTTTTTTTTTTTTTTTTCTCTGTTTTATGATCATTTGCGATGATCTTACCTCTCTCCTTCAGACTATCTTCATGTCTTGATGCACCCTCTATATTTTGATTTTCCACGTTAACATGATGCATTATAGAGATGATCTGTTGTCCATTCCTTTGGGTGATTCTGCATTTTATATGGGGCATTGGGATTCCACTCCTTCACGATACATGTACAATTATATGTGGCATTATTTGGCGCTGCTGTCTTTCCTTTTCACCTCGCAGGTCTGGGATATTCTGTTTGGGATTGATGTAATACTGGATTGGCGAAGGATAAAAGTGCGGAACGCATTCTGACTTTTGCGATACCTTGATTTGAATCTGTTGTGCGTTTTGTTCTATGCGTTTGATGCTTTTTGCCAACCGAGTGATTATTCTGAACGCTGCCGGTGCATTTTTGTTTCCCCTTGAGCTTCTCGAGATCTTGTTTTTACTCACTCTAATGGGATCAGACTGGTCACTCGGATAGTTTCGAGTCTGATCTCTCTCTCTGCATAGCTTTGGCGTTTGTGACCAGTTTTCTGGATTTGTTCTGCCGAGTGTGTTAACAGAGTTGAAGGTGGTTATAGTGGTTTAATTATCATTCACAATGCCTTTCCAAGTCAACGAATATGCGACTGAATGCCTGCGTAAATAAGGTGTCGATACTGACCCGTTCCATACCATACACATACATCCATCCACACGTAAGATACGCATTATCCAGCTTATCTTATCGCCCCGAGGTCACGGGACGGCCGATGGCGGGACAATTTTCAATTTATTGAATGGGATGCGAGAAGACGATGACTCAAAGCTTTCTCTGGATTCCTCCTTGCCTGCCTTTCTCTTCTTGCCAACTCCAAACTTCCCCCTTTCTTTGACGCCTCCTATTCCCATTTTCTCCCTTCCAATCCCGAGTCATTCTCTGTCTTCTCCTCCCTTTTTTATCCCTCAATTGCTCTTCTTTTCGCCTCTTTCTCTCCGAATTGCTTTCTCCCTCTCCACCCGCATATCCCCCGCCCCCGCCTCCCACGATGGAACACATCAAGAATACTTTCGTCAGGGCTAAGCAGGAAAAGCGTGCTGCCCTGGTCGCCTACGTGACTGCTGGCTATCCGACCGTAGAGGAGACTGTCGATATTCTACTTGGCCTAGAAAATGGTGGTGCTGGTGTGTATCCATCCCCCCCGGGCCCCCATGATCTTCCGCCAGTTTTGACCCATGAATCTTCAATGCTCACTCCGCTGTCTCTCCTCTCCCCTCGGGTAATCTCTTCTAAACAGCCTGCTAATGACATGGAACCCGCCACGCAGACGTTCTTGAATTGGGTGTTCCCTTTACAGACCCCATTGCCGATGGCCCCACCATCCAAAAGGCCAACACGCAGGCTCTCGCCAACGGCGTCTCAGTTTCAACAGTGCTGGAAATAGTCCGTTCTGCGAGGCGTCGCGGTCTCAGAGCCCCCGTTCTCCTGATGGGCTACTACAACCCGATGTTACGTTATGGCGAGGAACGTATGCTGAACGACTGCAAGGAGGCAGGCGTCAACGGCTTTATCATGGTTGATCTTCCTCCCGAGGAGGCTGTTCGATTCCGTGATCTGTGCACCAGCACCGGGTATGCGATTCTTTCTACACATGCCAACTCCTTGCTGCTGCTTAATCTTTTCCCTTGCCTTTGTCATGCATTGTGCTAACGTAAATTTGTGTAGTCTGTCGTACGTCCCCCTGATTGCCCCCTCCACTTCCGAGTCCCGCATGAAGCTTCTTTGCGAGATTGCCGATTCCTTTATCTACGTGGTCTCGAGAATGGGCGTGACAGGCGCCACCGGAAAGCTCAGCTCTAACCTTCCCGACCTCTTGTCCCGTGTTCACAACTATTCCGGAAATGTACCTACTGCCCTTGGATTCGGTATCAGCACTCGCGAACACTTCCTTTCTGTACAGGATATCTCTGAGGGTGCCGTTATTGGTAGTCAGATTATTACCGTCTTGGGTGATGCCCCTGCTGGCCAGGCGGCTCAGCGTGCAGAGCAATACCTGTCTTCCGTCACTGGCCGTCGGCTGGAGAGGGATGCTACGGGTGCAATCACCCGCGAGACCAACGTCCTGGAGCCTGTATTGAAAGTGGAACCTACCGCCGTGTCGCAACCCACAGAAGTCATCACAGAGGCCGACACCCCTTCAGGTCCGGGGCTGGGCGACCAGCTTAAGGCTTTGAGCGGTGTCGGCGACCCTTCTGCGATCCCCTCCCGTTTTGGTGAATTCGGTGGACAGTATGTCCCCGAGTCGCTGATGGACTGTCTGGCGGAACTGGAGCGAGGATTTGACATTGCTCGAAATGACCCATCGTTCTGGGAAGAATTCCGTTCATACTATCCTTATATGGGACGTCCTAGTAGCCTTCACCTTGCTAACCGCCTCACCGAGCGTGTCGGTGGTGCGAACATCTGGCTGAAGCGTGAGGACCTCAACCACACTGGCAGCCACAAGATCAACAACGCTTTAGGTCAGATCCTTTTGGCCCGCAGACTTGGAAAGACTAGAATTATCGCGGAAACCGGTGCTGGTCAGCACGGTGTTGCTTCTGCGACTGTCTGCGCCAAGTTTGGTATGGAGTGTGTTGTTTACATGGGTGCGGAGGATGTCCGTCGTCAGGCATTGAACGTCTTCCGTATGAAGCTTCTGGGTGCCTCGGTGGTTGCGGTCGATGCGGGTAGCCGCACTCTTCGAGATGCTGTTAACGAGGCTCTCCGTGCCTGGGTTGTTGATCTGGATACCACTCATTACATTATCGGCTCCGCCATCGGGCCCCATCCTTTCCCCACCATTGTGCGTACTTTCCAGTCTGTCATTGGTGAAGAGACAAAGCAGCAGATGATGGAACAGATTGGCAAGCTTCCCGATGCCGTGGTTGCTTGTGTTGGTGGTGGTAGTAACGCTGTTGGTAGCTTCTACCCCTTCTCCAAGGATCTCAGCGTCAAGCTGTTGGGCGTTGAAGCCGGAGGTGACGGCGTTGACACTGACCGCCACTCTGCTACCCTTTCCGGCGGCAGCAAGGGTGTGCTGCACGGTGTCCGCACCTATGTTCTGCAGGACGAGCATGGACAAATCTCCGAAACCCACTCCATCTCCGCGGGTCTGGACTACCCTGGTGTTGGTCCCGAGCTTAGCGACTGGAAAGACAGCGAGCGTGCTCGCTTCATCGCCGCTACAGATGCCCAGTGTCTTGCCGGATTCCGCGCTATGGCTCAAACGGAGGGTATCCTACCTGCCCTTGAGTCGTCGCACGCCATCTGGGGCGCCATGGAACTCGCAAAGACCATGGGGAAGGGCAAGGACATTGTCCTGACCGTAAGTGGCAGAGGTGACAAGGACGTTCAGAGTGTCGCTGAATCCCTTCCTGCTCTCGGTCCCAAGATTGGATGGGACCTGCGATTCTAAGTCAACCCTCGGCCGTACAAACTTGAGCCAAACGAACTCGGAACTTTTGAAATCCTAACAGAAGAAAAAGAAAGAAAGCGGAAGACATAAACCCCTTTTTTTTTTTTTTTTTTTTTTTCCCCCCCCCCACATTCTCCCTTTTCCTTTCCCTTCCCCCCCCTCCGCCATCTCTTATTTTGCTTGATTAGAGATGTTTTGGTTTGTTGTTATTTCGGGGATAATGGGTCTTGTTTCTCATTTCGATTCATGCTAGCCTTTTTACGAAATGTATATCCAAAAGCGAATTTAGTTACGCATAGAGTGAAATTGAAAAAAAAAAAAAAAAAAAAAAAAAATTTTTGTTACCTTTCTCCCTCTTCCTTTTCCGGTTTACTCTTATTATCACTATCATGTTATGTCATGATTATTTTGAAAATTTCACAAAGTCAAGAGGAGCGAGTGCAATATAGATAGATAGGTACGAGGCACGATACTGCCAAATCCACTTCAATTACTTGAGAAAGCAATACGAGGAGAAAGAGAAGAAGAAGAAGAAGAAGAAGAAGAAGATTCTTATGATATACAACTACGAGTAAATAGAGTGAGTATCGTATATGTAGTATAGATGAAAAGGTTCGTAGTATCGGGCACAAAAGCTTAACGTAGAAATAGAAAACATGAGGACACCAAACAGAAGATAAAGATAAAAGATAAAGATAGAAGAGAACGTATATCGAGACGGGCCGGGGGGGAGAAAGCCAAAACGAAAGCAGGAGGCGATTGGAAGCTCAGCCAGATTACCTGACTAGGAGGGGACCGACCTCTACCTAGGCAGCAGCAGTGCAGTCTGTCTTCAATTTTGGTTGCGGTTGAGTCGAGGCGAGCCAAGTCAAACCAGATTAATTCAAGTCGAAAGTCACGAGATTCTAGAAACGGTTGATTGATGATGATGATGATGATGATGATGACGATGATCCATTCCATAAGGTTATACAAAAAAGACATGCATGCACACGTGGGGTTGGTGATGGGGAACATGGGAACAACCCAGTCAGTCTCTCACACAAACTCTTTCTCTCTCTCGCTCTCTAGGTTTCAATTAAGTCAGCAGACTGGGACTGAGACTGGGGTTGATCTGGGACGGAAGAGTTATCCCTTGTGTCCTTGTTGGGGATTTTACGGGCGGAGCGAGCGTAGAACTCGTCCAGGACACGCTTGGGAATACGGTTGAGGAGTTCCTTGGGGTAGATACGGAGCAGGTTCCAGGCAATGTCGAGAGATTCATAGATGGAACGCGATTCGTAGGGAGACTGGCTGATGAATGTGCGTTCAAATTTCTCGAGGAACTCAAGGGAGAGCTTGTCTTCAGAGGACAGGGCTTCTTCACCGACAACGGCTTTCATGGCGGCTGTTTTGGTTGGGTGGGTTAGCATGGTTGATACCTAGGTATATTGGCGAAGGGAGGAAGGACTAACCGGCATCTCGTCCAATAGCGTACTTGGCATACAGCTGGTTTGAGACATCGGAGTGGTCTTTGCGGGTGCGACCCTCGCCAATGGCAGACTTCATCAGACGGGAGAGGGATGGCAGGACGTTAATTGGGGGGTAGACACCCTTGTTGTACAGCTGACGATCGATGAAGATCTGACCCTCTGTAATGTAGCCAGTCAAATCAGGGATAGGGTGGGTGATATCTAGCGCAACGCTATTAGCGGATACAAGCTCAAACGAGGCACCAGGAAAACAAACCATCGTTAGGCATGGTCAGAATGGGAATCTGCGTGATTGAGCCGTTACGGCCCTGCACTCGTCCGGCACGTTCGTAAATGGTCGACAAGTCAGTATACATGTAACCGGGGTAACCACGACGACCAGGCACTTCTTCTCGGGCAGCGGAAACCTCTCGAAGAGCGTCACAGTAAGCAGACAGATCAGTCATGATAACCAGGACGTGCTTCTCGAGCTGGTAGGCGTAGTATTCGGCGGTGGTCAGGGCTAGACGAGGTGTAATGATACGTTCGATTCTATAGCAGGTTAACGCTTGCGTGCGGCAGGCAACAACTGTCAGGAAGCTTACGTAGGGTCATTAGCCAGGTTCAGGAAGAGCGTTACTCGCTCCATACTACCGTTCTCCTCAAAATCGCGTGTGAAGAAACGGCTAGTTTCCATGTTAACACCCATGGCAGCGAAGACAATGGAGAAGTTCTCTTCGTGACCGTCGTGGACATCCTTAGTTGGCCTCTTAACCAGACCAGCCTGGCGACAAATCTGTGCGGCAATTTCGTTGTGGGGAAGACCTGAGGCAGAGAAAATGGGAATCTTCTGTCCACGGGCAATGGAGTTCATCGTATCAATAGCAGAGATACCGGTCGAGATCATTTCTTCGGGGTAAACCTATACAACAAACATCCCGTCAGGGTTGGTGGGGTGGATGAAGGGCCTCGGGAGGCAACCTACTCGAGAGTACGGGTTGATAGGTTGGCCGTTGATGTCCAAGTAATCCTCCGCCAGCACCTTAGGACCCTTGTCAATCGCACGGCCGGAACCATCGAAGACACGGCCCAGCATGTCCTCGGAGACACCTAGCTTCAAGCTGTGCTTGGTGAACTCGACTTTCGTCTAGGATAGCAACAGTCCAGGTCAGCATTGTTCCATTAGAAATAAGCTCTCGTTCCTCCACTGCGATTGAGAAAATAGGAATGTACCTTTTTAACATCGATACCAGAGGTGCCTTCGAACACCTAAATCCAATCGTAATGCCAAGTCAATATCTCGCGCCCAAAAGTGTAAGCTCCAGCAAAGTGCAGCTATTGTGTAATGCGCACCTGAACGACAGCTCGGCTTCCTATTCATCAAACTCGTAAGTCAGCTCTACACGATCCGTAATTCATGCAAATACAGGGCGGAGAATGCGAGAAAGAAAGAAAGAAAAAAAAAAAAACCATACCTCTAGCTTCTAAAACCTGACCCGACCGCTCAGTCCCGTCAGGGAGAGTTAGGGAGACGATTTCATTGTAGCGGGGGAATTTGACCTGGTTGACCTTGCTGTCAGCAATCGGGGCGCCTAGGGGTGCAGATACGAAAAGGTCAAAGACCCGGCGCAGCTTGCAAAAAGAGAGTACGCACGTTGTCGAGAACAACGAGAGGTCCGTTAATGCCTCCGATTGTGTTGTAGCGCAAGCGAGGCTGGACGGAGGTCATTCGAGGGTCGACGAAATCGGCCATGGCTGTAGACGATGGAGAAGAGAGGACTGAGAGAATAGAAAACCAGGGAAGGGGAACAGAGAAGAGCTCACGAAGTCAGTTCCTGTCTGTCTATCTGTCTGTCTGTCTGCCGTCCGTCTAATGTCGGGGAAGTCGATTTGTCTGCGGTTGTCGTTCGTTGGTCAATTGGGAGGGGAGGGGAGACACGTGATACTGTATGCTATCATCCGCATCAATCGATTCCAACCACTCGGTGAAACTGTTTTCATACTACCACCACAGCTACATTACGAGGATGCGAGAGCAGTATTATTTTAATGGACTCGTCATTTTCATTCGTCATAAGGATTATTCGTTATCATACATTTCCAGAACCTTAAAAAACAAATTCCCTGGTAAAGCAAACCGCCCCAGTTAAGACGCCAGATCATCATCATTTCATCAGGTGCTGCAAATGGAAATTAAGCAGATGCAAAGGGGTGGAAATGTCAATCTTCTAATCCACTTTCGCCAGGACCAGCTTCTTCGGAGTTGTCAGATTGTTTGAGAGCCGCACGTTGGTCTTCTTAGTCTTCGTCTGCTTCTTCAACTTCTTGCGTGCGACCATCACTGGAACAGAGGAGTGAGTAATAAGGTAGTTGGAAAACGACCCAAGAAGGACACTATTCGAGATTTCTATTAGTTTTTTTTTTTTTTTTCTTTTCTTTTCTTTTCCTGCACTTCTCTCAATTTCCACAGGACAGCAGCAGCTAGCTTACCCTTTCAGTGCGCTTCGACTTCGAGCACCTACAATCACCAATGTAGGTTCAAGCCCATCGATCTGTTTGTCTTAGTCAATTTGACTCATCAACTGTAACTGGAGAAGAGGCGGGAAACTCACGGCTTCGGTAATCATATGTTTGGGGCTTTTGCAGTGGATCACCTCAATAGCAATCCGAACTTGTAGTAGCGTCTTCCTCAGAAGTCGAACACAAGTCTGGGAGATGACTTGCACAGCATGAGCCCGTTCAGCTTCTGCCTTGGACATGGCGCGCGCGTCGACTGAACCAGGTTTGCTATCAGTTCCTGTCCCCAAACGACCCAAAATTGCCCGGGAGATATTGGTCCCAGACGATTCATTTTGTGAGTTTTTAACCGTCTCTACGGTCTGAGATCCCACCACGGCAGCAACATCTTGCGCTGCATTGGCTCCCTCACCGATTTGCGTGCCTGTCTCCTCGTGGACGGCAAAGACTGCGAACATGGTATCCCCATCCCGCAAAATAGTGCCAATTGTCCATTCTAGCGCGTAGACAGACTCCTCGCTGAGGTCCGTAGTTACAAGATACTTGCGTTGCCGTCGTCGGCCTCCCTCCGCATCACCCTGCATGCTAGAGTAGTCCCCGCGAATAATGGTCCGAATGGACCGGTTAGGCACAGAATTGTCGATGGTTGACATCTGAATGCTGAGCTTCTGGGCCCGTTTGATGTCACTTAACTCGGCTTCATCCTCAGAGCCAAACGGTGTATTGGCCGCAGAAGGGGAGTCGAAACCCATCTGAGAATGAATGTCAGGGTTGCGCGGGACTGGACCTTGCTTGGAGGAATGTATCATCTGGGAGCCCTCTGATTTATTGTGCTCGATCGCTGGTCATGAGTTTTCGTCAGTGCTTCGTACGATCATAGGAGGGGCGCAGTATATTATGCATGAGGAATAGAAGACCATTGCGTACCTGCCTCCTCTGGACTCCCTTTTGTGTTCGGCATCCCACTCCCACGGGGAATGTCCCGGTCGGTCCTCCGACCGCGCTTTACGTCTTCACTACTATTATTAGGACTGAGATCTTCGTCACTCGAGGAGGAATCCTCCTCCTCCTCCTCTTCTTCTTCGCTGGATTCAATCGGTTTATTTTCATTGTTGTCGTACAGGTCTTTCTCCAAATGGTCGTCCCCAGAGGCGGAAGTTCTGGCATTGGTTTCCAAGGGTCCTCGACGAGATGCACGAGAATCGAGGGATTTCTCATCCATTGGCTCGGCCTTGTTCACTTTCGCATTGTCTAGTGTGGGCTTAGGAGAGTCCGGTCGGGAAATGCGCAGGTTGGAATTAAGCCAACGGCGTCGGGGAGAGCTAGAACGAGGCCGTGCTGACGCAGGGAGGCGCGAATCCAGAGAATTTCCCCGAGTTGAGCTGGTCCCGTTGGAATCTCGGCCCCTGGAAAAGCTAGGCAACCCGACCTTGAGGTCGAGGCCAGACATCACGGCCGCCATTGCATTTTTACCCAAGAGGGCCTTGGGGGCCTTTTCCTTTTCCTTTTCCTGCGCGTTTGGTTGGCTAGAACGCCTCAGACCGTTGGCACTGGGTGGCATGTCGAGTCGAGAATCCCAGCGGATACTGGGCCGTCTGGCTTCCGGGGGATTATTGGAAACTTGCAAGGTCGATGGCTCGAGAGGTTTAGGGGCCGGGGGAGGGGCGGTTTTCAAATTAGTATAAGTAATCTTGGGAGTAGTTGAAGGAGTTGCCATGGACGAGGAAGGTGCAGGAGAAGCATCTGCCTGCGGTGTGGAAGGCATTGCGGAATCGTGGTAGCTGATTCTTCCAGCGGGCGGAGTTACACCAACACCAATACCAGCGATCGAACCATGTCGTGGGGCAATGAAGTCAGGGGTCGGAGTGAGTGCAGTATCTAGGATACTGCGTCTGGGGAGTGCGTGCTGCCAACTCCTGCTGCGTTGAGAGGAAGGAATAGAAGAACTGGCTAGTTCAATACGTTCCTCCTCCAAAGCAGCAGCCAGGCCACCGGGCCGTCTACCAGAGGACGGCATGATTGTGAGTGGCGCCGTCCACAGAATGTTGACACACGGTGGAGAACCGGGATTTGCGCCCAAGGGTCTCACAGGCTCACACAGCACAGTAGCTGCGGAAGGTGGAGAGGGCCAGGGGGGGGGGGAGAGAGAGACGGGCTGTTTTGAGATGACGAATTAGTCCCGTTATAATGTTTTTGGGAGGGGGTTCCAAAAAATCCAGGGTTATTATTTTCCGAGTTCTTTACCTAGATCAATAAGAAAAATTGAGAGAGAAATAATAAAAAAAAAATATAATAATAAACCGAAGAAAAGGCGGGGGTGAGATGAATGATAATATATATGCTTTGATCTGGGCCACCAAGTAGAGTAGCTGAAATAATCGGACAGGAGGAGGAATCTGTATGGACCTTTGCCACGTGCAAAGTGGTTAAATCACAGTGATCTAGACCAAGCAGTATTTCTTGGACATTTGCCTTGTGACTCGCCAGGTGGGTTAATCTTTTTTCATTTTGCCTCTGGGTACGGAGTAGAGTATCTCTGTCAGTTTGATCCTGGGTTGGTTGGGTTCGAGGATAAAGAAACTGTGGTGGTGGTGGATGCTTTCTTTGACACACACCTGTTTTTCTCTCTTTCACAATCTCAGCTGTAATAAAACCCCCCTTGTCAATCGGTAAGAATTCTCCTGAAGAGGAGAGAGAGAGAGAGAGAGAGAGATGGAAAGGTAGAAAGGGAGGAAGAAGAGGCAGAAGAGGCAGAAGCGAAGGGGTTAGTATTTCAAGGATGGGAAATGCCAGACTATTGAGGTTTCGCAGCAGTAGTACGTAGTACAACAACAGCAAATAAGTCAAGAAGCGCAGTAGACAGGCGGACGGTTGAAAGGGTTAAATATGGCAGTATGCGGGGTATAATATAATATCAACCTGGGAGCTTGAAATGAAGTGTATCGTATCCCTTGCGCATTCTCTTAGCTGGCTTGAAGCTATTCTCACTACTCGGTAGTACGTTATTGTCCAACTTTGGATACCGCCAGAATTCAGCCCAGTTGGGATCGTTTTTTGTCACACTTGACTCCTCAATTATAGCCGTTTGCTTTCGTTGCAGCTAATTAATCAACCTTAACCTTTTGCTTGCATATTATTGTGGCAGGATTAGGCCAGGTCACTTAACGGTGCATCTCGACTTCCCCTTGATTCTGAACTGGTGTAGACACTGAGGTTGCGTGAATCACCTGGCTCACCCTGCTCACCCTCTTAAAGTGGCCACGTCCAAATAATGTAAGAAAGATGATAGAAATATCTTGAGATCTCACAACTCGAAGTACCAAGGACACGTGTGGTGGGAGTGCTTTCCAGCCACAACAATTGGATTTCTCAAAGGTTCTCTCTCATCTTCCAAAAACTGAACTCTTGAAGAGTCTGTCATACGACTTGATTTAGCTTGACAGAGCAGTGATCAACTATGCACAGAATACGAAACGACCTTTTGAAGTTGTCCTTCTTGCCTTCAAAACCCATGTCTAGGAATATCTCTCTGACATGTCGTGGTAGGCTCTTTTAGACCTTGCAGGTGATTCAGCTAACAGGCCCTACCTTTAGGGGAGCCCATCCAGAATCAGCAACTTTTCGAATACACGAACGGACGGTTCCTAGTCAATGAGAAACACGAACAATCAAAACGATATGTCAATTTTGATCTTGACGCGCTCTGCGCACTGGTTTCATCTTTGCCCTCTATCTCTTCACCTATATCCAAAATCGATAAAATGGAAGGCGGCTTTAACAAAGCCATGTTGATGACTGCAGAGAATGGAAAGGAGGTGATTGCGAAGATCCCATTTCCAAGTATTGTGCCATCAGAGTATAGCACTGCGTCTGAAGCGGCTGTTTTGGAATTGGTTAAAGGGGGTTTCTCTCTATCTAGTTTCTGGTACTAATTCAGCTATTTGAATAGTAAGATTCAAAATCTAGCCCGACTGCAAAGTCAATTGGCTTCCATGGAGTTTTCTTGTTATGGAAATCTATATTTCCGTCATTCAATTAAACCCCAAAGTCAGGCAATCCATGACGACTATTGTATCGGCCCTACTTATAATACGTCGTGGTTTCCACTACATGGCAATGAAAGTCATGCCGGCCCATGTTTGTTATATCCGAGCCTTCTCTCTTGTGGTTCATGCTGACATTATATACATGGGTAACCGTGGCCTTGCACATGTAAAACACTCTACACTCCTTCCTCGTGGACCCCATTTCGGTACTAAAGCCTAACACATTCAGGTTTTAGATACTGCTATCAAAGTTATACCAGAGCTAGCACGCTATACTACTCTCCAGCGCTTTTCAAGACCAACCCTGTGGCACGGAGACCTTCACTTGGGCAATATATTTGTCTCTAATCAAGAACCCACGACTATTGTCGGCATAATAGACTGGCAATTTGTGTCAATCATGCCTCTATTTATGCAAGCCCAGACCCAGTGGCCGTCTTTTCCTTAGCCCGCCTGAACATTACAAAGTTGGCATTGTCAAACCAGATCTACCACCAAACTTTGACGAAATGGACCCAGATGAAAAAGCTTTTGCGGTGACAGAGAGAGACCAAGCTCTACGATCAAAGTGTTATGAAGCGGCACTTGCCAAGAACCACCTTGACTCATACTTAGCTTTGACTCAAGTCGATGCAGCAACCCGAAATTTGCTCTCATTCGCCGAAAGCACGTGGAAGGATGGAATAGTCCCACTACGCGATTCTCTGATGCAGATATCGGAAAACTGGCATCAAATCGGCTTTTCAACCCCATGCCCTTATCAAATTACAAGTGACGATTTATTAAAGCACAAGCTTGAGCTTTCTCGGTACAAGGACTGGCATAAACTAAAAGCATATACACAAGAGCTGTTGCATTCAGATGATGACGGCTGGGTACCTCCTCAGCTTGACTTTGACAAAGTTCAGGCACGACATAATGAACTATTTGAACTTTATATCCAACATGAATCAGAGCAGTTACCAGAACAGGAAGCAAAGAAGCTTTGGTTCTATATCGACAGAATGTGATGAACCAGGACACATGAATGTAAAGACGCATGGATTCAGACCAGAAGCGGGCTCCCTATCTGGCATGTGAATTCCGAGGGAAAATAATGGAACGATCAGGGTTGCTGTTTCTCACCTTCTGAAGCACGGAGTAGTCAAGCAAGACTCCCCTCTTATTCGCGGCATTACCCTAAATGGGACTAGGCGACGGGAAAACTGGTTCTCACGATTCACCATTTCTCACCTGCCACATAACCCCCTCCTTTGAGTGGCTAATAGGAGGTAAATTGAATGCGGTCATGTCTCCCCGTTGCGTGGCTAGGATTGAGTCTAAACTTAAGGGCAGGTCAGAGCATCCGTCCATGAGCTGCAGAACGACCAATCTGAATGAAGATCATTGTTGGGTAGTCTAAATCCTCCCAATGAGATAGTCAATCGAGTTGCTTGAGGGCATACGTGATATGCTCTACTTTCAACTAAACCTGTCAATCCTTCATCCCCCTCGTGTGATACGATTTTGGTGTGACAAAGATACTCTTTTAGTGCTAACTAACTACTACCTAGGTAGTAGTCTAGTTGGGCTGTGGTGCCCAGCCTTGAGGTATTTGCAGTGCCAGTTAGAATAATCCGCAATCAGAGAGCTACCCCAATTCCCAGGTTTATGATGCAACATCCTCATATCCATTACACTTACAGAAAAAAAAAAAAAAAAAAAAAAAAAGTTCATTATAGGTAGTTAATAGGTAATAGATTCAACTGTATGTGTATCACTGTCTGTCCGTCTTCGACCAACCAGACTCCCAAACTCCAGACCAAAAAAAAAAAAAAAAAAAAAAAAAAAAGAAAAGAAAAGAAAAAAGCCCATATTAAAACCTCATAATCCAAAATCTCAAGCCTCCCCGCTATTCTCTTCTCTTGGCCTTGGACTTTGCCTTCTTGGACGTCCGCCGTGCAGCAGTAGCTTCAAACGCCTCCTCGGGTGGCTCGTCCATCGTCGCGGCCCGCTTCTTCCCAGAAGGGTTATTATACTTGGCTTCCAGCCGGTCGAAGAATGAATCTGCACGCGACGCCTGTCGTTGTTGGATCAGAGCTGCCAAGTCATTATCGCCCATCGTAGTGCCCTTCCCCCGCTTCTTGCCCCCCGCTTTCGAGTCATTCCCAGGTTTCTGTTTCTCAAGTTTCTTCGCTAGCTTCTCGGCCTCTTTGGCCTCCCTCTGAGCCCGCTTCAGTCGTTGCTCTCGTTTCTTCTCCGGCTCTTCGGTGTACTTCTGGTATCCCTCCACTTCCCCGTCTTCGATGGCCTGGTCGATGAGACCGCGGAAGCGTTCGTCGTCGTCCAGCACATTGCACAGCATCACCGACTCGTAGACTCGATCCAGATCCCCCCCGTACGTCTCAAATGCAGCGAGGACGTCCCTCTTCTCCTCCGCTGAGCCCTGGTATTCTTGCTTGAGCTTCTCGATTGCGTTGGTGTCGATCGCGGTCGAGAACTGCTCCCGGTAAAAGTCCACCCAGTCGAAGCCCTCGTCTAGGTCCACCGCTTCGGCGGTGCTCCCCGTTAGATCAAACCGTTGTCGTCGTCGCTCATCGGAGAGAATGGCATAGGCAAAGGCAATCTTCTGGAATTGTCGGCTGGCCTCCTCTTTGGCATCGGCGGCCGCCTTGTCTATACATTTATCTTCTTGTTAGCCAAACTCGACTATTTTCCCCCTCTCTTTTCTGCTATTTCATTCTTTTTTTTTTTTTTTCTTCTTTATGAGAGAAAAAAAAGAAGAGTGTCGGAATTAATTACCAGGGTGGTGTTTCAAGGCCAGCTTCCTGTAGGCTGACTTGATCTGGTCCGGGGTCGCATCTTCCTTCACGCCCAGGATCTCATACAGATCCGCCTCGACGGGGGGCTCGTCAGGAATGTCGGGGATGGTTTCGTCTCGCGGAGCCATGGTAGCTCGAGAATGACAATGTAAACCTCCGTGGAAGTGAGACAAAGCTGAAGAGATCCAAGGACTGGCAAGGTTGCAAGACGCGTTGAGACACGCGCGACCACAAAAAGCTCTTTGCTTTCCTAATTAGGTTTAGAGCTATCAGAGCTCACTGTTGGAAGAAAACTTCTTGACTCTCGAATTACAAATAACTTAGTTAGTTAACCAGTTATAAACATCAAGATGATCCATACTCTATGCAATTGTTCTACATCTAGGGGATTGAATGACCTCCATCGAGTAGTTAGCTGCCTCCACAGGAATAATCATAAATCCGGCAGCCAGGGACAATCACATGACCACGCGCGTTGATCGATATCGAAACATCCATCGATTCCATCCATCATCCTCAGGTCAACTCGTGAAATCAATCCTCTCTCTCCATCGCCCTCTCCATCCATGAGTTCTATATCGTCCTGCACGGCTAAAGCCCCATTCCTCCACGAACCCGGTTTTCTTTTTCAATGAACACCAACAGCAACGCGGAAACCCCGACACGCACGCAATATACATATCAAAAATGATCTAATGGCGACAAGCAGCGAAGCATCGCAGCTCACGTTCTACCCGGCATTCTGCTTCAAGGCGTCCCCGACTCATTTCACCTGGGTAAAGATGAGTGCAGCAGATGTGCATGGGTTGAAGAGAAAGTCTGAATTTGGGGGTGAGTTTTTTTTTTTCTTTCTTTCTTGTCCGGTCCTTGGTACAGTGCAGAGTTGTATACTTTTTTTTTTTTTTTTCTTCTTTGTTTTCGGAGGCAGGTAGGTAGTACTAGGTAGTGAGTGGCTCGTACGTAAAATAATAGCACCTAGTCAGTCTTCTCCTGGTTTACTCTGACTCGAAACACACGGTTACAAAGAACCAACCCTCCCCCCCCCCCCCTCAAAAGTATTACATTACATGATGAAATGAAAACAAGCTAATCAGCGGGGAAAAAAAAAACAAATTTAAAGAAAAAAAACCCAGACCAAGGCCTATTCTTCTACCTTAACCATCCGATCCGCTTCGTCTCGGTAATGGGCATCATTGTGGCCAGGACCGAAGTCCCACGCAGAACAATCCTCACCCTAGACGACAGCAGCGGCGCAACGATCGACATCGTGGTCCTGCGAGCGGAGGAGTCGGAGTCCCAGCGCGGAACCAGTCCAAGCCTCAAATCCGAACCCGAACTTGACGGCCTGCATCCCGTCCAGAGACAGCCCCAACCACACCTGACAGCAACAACGCAAACGGCTCTCTCCATCGAGGCCCTTGCAGTCGGTGCCCCGGTGCACATCAAGGGCACGCTCTCGGTGTTCCGCTCCACGGTGCAGATCCAACTCGAGCGGTTCTTCCCCGTGCGGGAAACCGGCGCGGAAATGCGGTTTCTCGATCAGCGGTGTCGGTTTCTGGTTGAGGTGCTTTCTGTGCCGTGGTGGGTTGGGGAAGCGGAGATGGCGCGGCTGCGGGAGATGGTGGATGAGGAAGGGAGGAAGGTGGAGGGGGACCAGGAGAGGCGGGCGAGGCGGGCGAGGAGGCGCGCGGAGAGAGAGGAGAGGGACCGGGGCAGGATTTGGGGGATCTGGGAGAGGGAGGAGGCGCAGAGGGAGAGAGAGGCAGAGAGGTGTAGGGAGGATGGCGTGGCGTTGATGCGGGAGCTTGAAGGTGCGAAGTTTGGCTGTTAGCGGCTGTGGAGGATAGAATATAGGTTACGACGTTATGATTTGTATAGATATGATATGACTCGTGTCAGTGAGCATGACCCTTGTATATATAGTATAGTATGTTACTTGTTTAATGTGCATGAGTTTTGGGGGGGGATGTCTATATAATTGTGGTATACAGTGTAGCTAAGCTACTAACTAGTCAGGTCATTTCTCATAAATCATAATCCAACAAGCCCGCTATCAATCCATTACAAAAGCGCTGGTGTACAAACAAGAAAGAGGAGACAATAGATAAACGAAGTAAAACATGCACCCAAAAAAAAAAAAAGAAAGAAAAAAAAAGTCCAGAAAGAGACAGGTTACCCTGTTCCATTACCTATAAGTCTTGTAGTCATACCCTGAATTGGCAGGGCCACCGCCCTGTCCTCCAAGCATGCCACGGTAGTAACCCTCGTCGTCTTCGCCGACCCAACTCGACCGCTGCGGAGCCCCCTCCTGGTATCTGATTTTCTCGCGCTCCTTTTCACGACCACGAAGTGACTCGTACGGCCGGTGGTCCCCCTCGTGGTCCCGATACTGGCGGTTATCATCGAGCAGGTCGTTTGGGCGAGTTGAGGTTGGCGAGCTGTAGTAGTAGTCGCCGCTGGTTTTGATTCCCGAGGTCCTGGAGCCACTGTTATTCACGAGATCGCTTTCGGAATGTCTATATTCATGACCGGCATGGAACCCGCGCGATTGGCTGCGAGATCGGTGCGCCGTTGAGCTTCGGGCTCCTCGAGAGCCGCTGCGGAAGGTAGGAGACCCTGGGACCCGGGTGATTGTGGTCACACGGCCTTCTCTAATGCCGGACGCTGAGGAAAAGGAGCCGGTATGATGGTGTGTGGGGGTCTCTGGGCCCTCGTGGACTTTCCCGCCTCCGGGCTGCGCGGTGTAGGGCTTTCTCTTTCGTTCGATGGCGGGGCGAGATGGTTCGGTGGTATCGTCGTCGTCGAACACAGCTGAGGTAGATGAGTACGGTTTTCTTTCGCGTTCGTTGATGGAGGCAGTGGATTCCGCAATAGAGACGTTGGGGCTTGCAGACGCCTTGTGGCGGTAGGCGGCAACTTTACTGATCTCGTCATCGGTGATGGGAGGTAAATCAACGCCGCAGTGCTTCATGATATACTCGTCAACCTTTTCTCTCAGACGGAGATCCGGTGTTTCAGGGAACAGCCGTCGTGGGATCTCTTTCGGAAATCTTTCCTTTCGGTTGTCTGGGTTACTGATTGGCATATGGAGCACAGCTTTCTGCAGCCGTTCGAATTCCTTGTCCGGGTGTGTTTGTATCATTAACGTTGCCCAGACTTGGAACCCGCGTGGCGTTAGGCCTGGTATGTCCGGCCGTTCGTTTAATTTATCCTGCACAAGATGATGCTCTGCTTCGACTTCGCGGAACAGTCTCGAGATTGAAGAAGTACGGTCGTCAAATATGTCTACCGTGAGTTAGCCAGGTTGAAAGGAGCCAGGAGCATACACATTTACCTTGCCATGGATAAGGGTCTGACGGCACATCGGTATCCGCATAAAACCGCTGCAGCTTTTCTGGGGTGACAACGAGAGTGTTTCCCGGTGGAAAGTTTTCAATCTAAGATTGTTAGTCACAGAACATTCCTTAGCTATTAGAGATAGGTCCTACCAAGTGCATTGCAATTCCCCGTAGAAACTGACCCAGCCTCTCAGTCGGTTTGCCATCTTCAAAAAGCTTTCCCCATATCTTCTCCAAAGTTGTGGGGAAAGTATCGCCCCGTACAGGAGGGTTCGGACGATTATCAGTCTTCTGGCTAGGGTTGCTCATCTGGCTGACAGGCGACTCCCGTCTCTCTTGTGCGGGTGTTGGACTCCCTTTAGCATCAAGGTGGGCCGAAGTCTCCGGAGGAGGAGGCGGTGGTGGGTACGCAGCAGGTTCCGTCGCAGGCCGGGGAGAAGGTGGTATTTCTTCCGCAATGATTTGGGGGGGAGGAGGCGATGTCGAATCTCCCTGTGCTGGATGAGGGGGAACAGGAGGAGGATATGGAGATCCTAATTGTGGTGGAGGTTGCGGAGGCTGTTGATTGTTACCCAATCCGCTCTCGAAACCCGCCGCCCTGAGTTGTTGGATCACAGTTGCTGTGATCTGGGATAAGAGCTCAGGCGATATGTACGAGCCAGTACCACTATTCCCCATGGCTGGTGTCACTTCCTCATTGACCTGGTCTTGAGAAGCAGGCAGCGGCGGCGGTGGCGGCGCGGGGGGTGCCCAGTTGGTCTGCTCGCACAAAGGATCTGGATAGTAGCCTTGGGGAGGGGCTGAGTCGGGAGGGGCTGGCATATTGATCTGGTCGGAGCTAGGTCGGAATGGATATGGAGGACTGAAGGAGGAAGGGTGACTTTCGGTAATATTTATAGTGTTAGGATTCTCTGGCTGGGAGAATGGATTCGAGCCATTTTGAAAGGCATCGTAAGCCATCAGGACTGTGAGTGGAAAAGCAGGAAATCACAATCACTGAATCGCAGCCAGTATCTTCCTTTGTGCGATCGAGTCTGTAGGGGAAAAAGAGACTCAAAGACACAATGGAAAGCTGTCAAAAGTGCTTGTTGTGGCAACGAATTCGAGAGCTTTTGTCAGTGAGGGCAAGTATGTAAAAGACAAAGCAGGCGTGGGGCAAGCTGAGCAAATGAGATCTTTGTGAGACGAGGGTATCAAGTAACCAACTAACGGGATCACACAGCTAGGTAAAACAGCCAACATGAAGGAAGGATGAAAGATATGACAAGGGACGTTAAAAAAAAAAAAAAAAAAAAAGAAGAAAAGAATCGTAGCCTAACTTGAAGGGTTCTTTTGTCTCTCATCTCGTTTTTTGCCCTTTCAGCCGCCGTGACCGGTTCTAGTCATACATCACGCCCCGGTTGGCTGCGGCGCAGTGATTTTTCATCAGCTAGTGTAGAAGTGTTAAGTGCTGGGCAAGGGAAGCCTGTTAACTTGGATTGTGTTGGTTTTGGTATGTGTATTTGTTGATATAGGTACATCTTGGGATTGCGGGCATGAGGAACCAAGATCCTCCCAAGTCATTCCATGGTTCACAAGAAATCTTCAACACCAGCTTCCTCCTCCTCTTCGTCGTCTACGGGAGGCGCTCGACCGGCAGCTTCAAGTTGTAAATGCCGTGGGACTCCGCCGACTCTCTCCTCCCGATAACCCTGCTCATGGTCAGGACAGTACACAAGACATCGGCAACATCGCGAGGGGATAAACTTACGGGCACCTTCGCAAATGCCGAATCTTTCTTCTTTGACAAAGTAGCGGGTGTTACTGCTGAAGCTTCCTTTATTGCCCACGATGACCAGCCACTGTGGACAGACAAATTTTCATTTGTGCCGCGACGGAAGTCGTATCCAAACAAGTCAGCCCCGTTGCCCTTATCGCTAGAGTGGGAGAGACGCTCTGGCTCAATCCAGACACCTCCCGCGACCGAGACATCCTCATCGTCATCGCCAGAACTCATGGGGATTTGACGACTTGGTCCGCCCAAGGATGCATCATCAACTTGACTCTTTAACTTTGTTAGCATTGACTCGGCGTTGGACTCGTGTCGGAGCTAGAAAGAGAATACATGGCACTCACCATGGTATCCTGGACCGTAGAAAAGTCATTCTCGATAAGCAGTTTCTGCTCGTCGATAACAGGCTCAGTCTCTACGTACTGCTGTACACATTGAAAACATCTCTGTTGAAGAAGGCTGTTAGCTACAAATACCTAGGAAGATCTAGAAGCCATACTGCGAACTCGTGCTCCTGTCTCTGGCTCTTCGCGAACTCGTCCAAACTCTTGACCTGCTCACAGATAGAGCACCTCAGCTCAACCGTTTGCCCACCTACGCAAGCTCGACACTTTGCGTGGCCAGCGCCAAGGGCTTGAACACCTTGATAAACGATGACACTACGTATAATATCCAACTGTCTCTTCGAATAGGCTGACTGCATGCGGATTTTCCTGCATATTTTGCATTTGATTCTGTCTTATATAAGTGACTGAGTGGAGGGGATAGGGCCTCCCTTACTTTTCGGGCAGGTCGACACTCTCGAGCCTAAGGAAAGACGCTTTTGTTAGATTCTGCTCGGATTTTTACGGTTTCGGAAGCCCAAAGGACGGAGGACTCACCGATTCTTGATATGCTCCTGGTAGCCCCCAGCGTAGGCGCTTGGGATACGCGCTTTGCCTGAGCTCCGGTGGTTCATCGTCGACACGGTTGACTAGAGAGTTTGAGATAGGTATTGAAAAGTTTCAGTGAGATAACTTGTTGAGATTCATTTGAGCCAAGGATAAAAAGGACAGGGGAGTATAGATTGAAGGGGGAAGAATGCAGATATGGGTGTGAGAGAGAGATGGAAAAGGAAGAAGAGGGTAAAGGAAAGCAAAGGGAAGAGAGGGGAAGAGAGAACATAATAGAAAAGCCTGACAATACTTTCACTGCACATGGACCTTACTTCACTGTATATAGCAAGCAGCGCAATTTCTCTCTTGTTTAGGTGTTTGATTCCAGCAGTGTAGAGGTCTATCTCTGGTATTTGTTCTCTATAGGCCTTGGTGAATAAAGCAGTGAGAGATGATGCCTGGAGAAAGTGAACAATTTTTACAGGCCTCTATAGACACCAGGAGAAGCATGTAGAGGTATAAAAATAGTTTAGAAGTAAAGATTATTATCCTTTTGTAAATAGATTTGAAGGGGGAGAATGTTCATGATATAGTTACCTATATATACTTAGGTATTGTATATATTGCCAGAATGCAGTTGTTTTGACTCCCCACCCACCCTAATTGAAAACACTTCTTCCTAATAAGATACCGTGTAGGATCTAAAATATAAAGAAAGTCGCTCTGGTTGAATTTTATACAACTTGAAAACACCAGTCTTGATTGAAATTAATCTCTGGTACCCTGTATTAAAGCTGTGGGGCAACTCCTCCTTCACTTTGCATCTCCCTCACCTCTGCTGACGACTAACTACTACTCATTCAGTTGGAATCATGAAACGAGAGCTCGAGCTACCACCATTTTAAAATGCCTTCTGACCCCGTCCTTCGTGCGTGCGACCGCTGTAGGTCCTCAAAACAAAAATACTCCAACAAGGCAGACCAAGCTTGCGATCGATGCCGTACTTATCAGATGAAGCTGGGAGTACCAGGCCGACGGAGAAGGGACCTGGCCATACCCCATGGAGATTCGTCTATAACCATTGCTTGGGTTTAGTCGAATCTTGGCCCTTCATCACCTAGATATCCAATAAGTACGCATCAATCGTCCACCCTGAGCCGCCTTCGAGGCCGGGATCGTGTATTTCTCGACCTGATCTACAGTGGCGCAGTATCGGATGCGTTTGTACTGCTTCCATCTTTCTGCAAACAATACACGGACTATATGAGATTCTGCCTTCTCGCATCGCCTAGTCTGTTACTTGAACCCTTTTTAGCTCTAGCTAGCCTGTTTGCCACTGCCCAGCCCGATAACCGATTGAATCTGGCCCTAATACGTTGGACTGCTGCGATGCAAAAGCTGCGGGAGCTTGGTATCTCTGATCCGCAGAACCTTCACGGAATTCTCTTTCTTAGGATCTGCCTCGCCACCGTCCAGCTGCTGGTTTTTGGCATCTCAATGCAACCAATCTATCGCTTCACGCTCTCCTTCATCGACCCGAAGGATGTGGATATATGGGATGACCCAGGATTTGCCATGAACGCTTTATGTCTCGCGTTTGTAGATACCCTCGAATGTCTAGTGCGGAGACAGGTTCCGGTATTCCGCTTCCCAGTGAACAACTATAGAGGAATAGACCGCGCAGCTGGACTATGCGCCACTCAACTGCCACTCTGGTATGACATCTGCGCGTTAAGTGCTGCGGTTAAGCACGGTGGCTTGCCTGAACCGAATAACTTGGAAAGGCTGAAGCAGCAGAGCGAATCCTGGAGAGTATCTGTCCCAGCTAACTTCTTGGAGAAATTCTCAGCGCGAGAGGTAGTCTTGCTAATGGGACACGCCAAGGCACACACCAATGTGCGGTTTGGATCATTTTGCACCGTCTCCAATATCAATCTTACAAACCCGATGAGTCGATTCGAGTCATGCGCCGGTCCATTTTGATTGAGCTTGAGAACTGTGTCGCTGTCACGGAGACACGCCCGCGGTTTTCCGTTCTCCCAATCCTGGTCGGAGGCGTCGAGGCAGAAACCCCCGAGGAGAGGGAGAAATTTCTCTCTTTACTCTATTCCATTGGAACTAACCCCCCTCTACACCCTTGCTTGTTGACGGTTGAACAGTCCCTCAAGAAGGTTTGGCATATTCGAAAGAGCAATCCAGACTTCTCATGGTTCGACATATTAGATCAAGAGCCTCTGTTTAGTATTCCGCGATGAATCAATCGTCTTTCTTGTCCGATATCTCCCACGGCTCATTCCGCATTTGGGACAATTTCAGCCGTCGGAGGCTTGAGTCCCAAAGCGGACTAGCGCAAGGTTCTGGTCTTTGCTTGCTATTGGACCATCCGGGGTTGATAAATTGAAGTATACGACGGAGGGAAGCTCAGCTGAAACGCATATAAGGACTGCAAGATGACGGAATTAATCTGGGAAAAGTAATTGAAATTTTACTATTCCCTCTGCCTACGGAGAATCGTGCCAGTCGAGACGCACTTATTCCAGAGTCCTGGAAGCTGCAAAATTGCCACTTTCCTCCGGGTAGTAATGTCCTCGACGTACCGTCCACCTGTGGCATACTGACCGGCGAGGAGATCACCCTGACGACGCAGTATGATGCCGTAGATCTCATTCGCCTCATGAAGGAGGGAAAGTACTCGGTCGAGGCTGTGACGGTTGCATTCTGCAAGCGAGCGGCCATTGCTCTTCAACTGGTAAGAAGTTCAAGGTTCCCTTTTTCTAATTACTTCTTCTGTTGACGGAAATCATGTTTGACGCAGCCATCGAACGTGCAGAATCCCTCGATCTCGAGCGCAGATCAAAGCCCACCTCAGCACTTGGGCCTTTGTTCGGCTTGCCTATCTCGCTAAAAGACAGTTTTGAGATCCCCGGCTTCAACTCGACGATTGGGTTTGTCGCTTATGTGAATCGGCCAGCGACGAAACCGTCTAATCTGGTGACTCTTCTGCATTGGCCTGGGAGCAGTTTTCTACTGCAAAACCAACATACCGCAGACCATGATGACATCTGATTCGGACAATCACATCTGGGGCCGAACTCTAAACCCGTCGAATACCGCATTGACTGCGGGTGGCTCCAGTGGCGGCGAAGCAGCCTTAATCGCTCTGCGTGGCAGCGTCGCCGGAATCGGGACTGATATTGCAGGTTCCGTCCGGATCCCTGCTGCTGCGTGTGGCATTTATGCTATCCGGACCAGCGCCGATGTTATTCCCCTGGGGAACAAAAGACTTCCAGTAAAGGTCGGGTTGCCTTATATCACGCCTGTAGTCGGGCCAATGTGCACATCCGCACGAGCGTGCCGGTACCTGTTAGAATGCATCATCAAAGCCCATCCGCCAAGGTATGATTCGCAGTGTATTAACCTGTCATGGCCTGCGAGCCTGCCTCGGTATCCTCCAGACCACCAGTGCACACTCCGAATAGGCGTGGCAGAGGACGACGGCCTGCTCAGCGTTACGCCTCCCCAGCGCAGAGCCTTAGAGCATTCTGTCAATGCCTTGAAAGCTGTTGGGATTGATATTGTCCCCATAAAGCTTCCTCAGATCGGGCAGATCCTACAAAACTTGCTCAGCAACTTTGCCATGGATGGGGGAGAGGTGAGACAAACCCTACCTCCAGTTCCTTTTCTGCAAATCCAGGCCTGACAAACATTTTACAGTTTGTTCGCAACGTTCTTGCCCAAACCGGCGAGCCCTTGGTCCCCTCAGCAGCAATTCTAGTCCAGAAGGACGGAACTGCACAGACTCTCGGTGAGCTCGCGCAGTCCCGCGAACTCCGCGCACAGCATCAGGAGAGATACAGGCTTCTCTGGAACGCGACGCAGATTGATGCCCTGATCATGCCTCCAGCTTCTCATACTGCCGTTCCCCACGACACCTGGCGGGCAATCACATATACGGCGCTCTGGAATTATCTCGATAACCCTAGTGCTGTTATGCCTGTCGACCGGGTTAATGGCGGGGATGTCGCAGACCACGGCGCTAACTATGGCGAGATGGATAGAGCTTACTATGCTTTGTGTTAGTCTAACGCATCCTTCACCCACCCACCCACCCACTCACTCACTGCTTTCTGTTGTCGTGTTGTCGAATACTAATCTGGGTCTAGATACCGGGCCTGAAGATTATCGGAATGCCCCGACAGCTATCCAGGTCGTTGGGCGCCGGCAGGAGGACGCGAACCTTGCATTGCTAGTCGAGTATCTTGATGGAGTCATTCATCGACGTGGGATTGATTCCGTTACATCCGCCCGTAAACTCTTTTCTTAGATGAGAGCGTGGATCGGAGAACTTTCTCTCCTCTATATTATATTATATTATATTATATTATATTATACTATAGCGAGCACTGTTCATATTATACAGAGCACTTAACAAGTCCTTCCGGAACCTGAGTATGAGTACTTCCTTTCCATCACGACGAAACCGAGAGAGAGAGAGAGAGAGAGAGAGAACTGATCCAGGGAAGCGAATCGACCAGTCAGTCCATCAGGTACTCCGTACAGAGCAGTGACATATCTTGTCCCTACCATCGGTAGAGAGTCGCGACGGGAACATGCAGCTTAGAAAATTAGTACATACATACATACTCATCATTCCTTTCCTTTCGCATCCTCCCAGAACCAAGGTAAGTCTTCCACTCACTGTAGGTACTGTCTACCTAAGGTAGTAAGTAGGTACTCCGTAATTGCACAGAGTAGATTATTTGAATTAAATTCGAAATAACTAACCATTGCTTTTTCTTTTCTTCCCTACCGGTCGGTCATTCCAGACTACTGGCAGGAATATTACTCCGTATAGAATAACTAGTTAACTATTGCATAAGTGTAACTAATGGCTAGATCGACGGGAGTTACCATGGAATCAACCCGTCTGATCCATCATTCAACTTAACTTTCCTGAGTTGCTCTGCCACTGGTTGATTCAAACGGGTAGCGAATGCCTGGAGAGGTTCGGGACGGGAGGGAGACAGGGGAGAGGGCTCAGGGAGCCTTTGTTTTGGTGTCTTTTTTTTAGTCCCGTGGCTGCTGTTCTTTGAGTCTGGAGACACTAAAGTTAAACTAGGCAGACAGGAAGTAAGCAGGGTACGGAGTACGGATACAGAAACTCAGAATAGGAGATGATAATCTGCATCCCATGGCTATAGTTAGTACTCCGTACTCCGTAATCAAATTCAAAGCAGATAATGGATAGTTAACTAACTACTAGCAACGGCCCCCGTTCGGGAAGCATGCAATAACATCCATGAATGAATGGCTGCTAAGCTGGATGGTTTGCTGATCATTTTTGCAGCCGTTAGTTAGTTATTAGTAGAAGGGATCGTACTTTCTCCAACCGTACATAGATAGTACGGATACGGAGCACCTTGAATCTTCAACCAGATACGGAGTAGCTAAGTCTCAGTTCGGTCTTTGTTTGGAAATAGTCATCTCCATCTCCATCTCCATCTCCGTCCTTTGTTTTTTTTTTTTCTCTTTCCCTCGTATCTGCTCAGTAGTCAGGAACTAAACCCCAATTGTATGTCCCTGGACTCCCGGGACTCTGGATGCCGCGGTTACCTGCTCGTAGTAAGTTGCTAAAGTTGTTCTGGGACCTGCTTCATCCTTCTGGAAGGCTTTAGGAATGCACCGGAGGGGGAACTAATCCTTTGGAATGGTTTAGTCGTCCGTAGTCATTGTCTCCATCAATCCACATGGGCTCACTTACCTGGTAGTGGCACTCTAAGCCCTCCGTCTCAAGGAGGAGCACTGGAGCAGCAGCAATCAAGACTCAGGAGTCAAAGACAGAAGAGCAGGAGAAACGAGTCGGGACGGGCCTCCGCTGGGTGGGGATTGATCCGTCTTCCCCGACCAGCCGGCGCGCAATCATCAGACCCACGGAAATCCGCTTCAATTTTTTTTTTTTGGCCGATGCAATAGAAAATCCATAATAACGACGACAAACCCGGCGAAACGGAACCTGAAATTGCCATAGCCATCCGACGGGTCTTATCCACCTTGGGTCATCCTTCCGGCCATTAACCAACCCGGGAACAGACTAGCAGCAGGATAATGTGTACTCCTAGACTCCTAGTGTACTCCGTATTCTATTCTCTCTTTTTCCCGCGGCTGACTCTGAATTTTCCCGTTTGGGGCCGGGAAGCCCACCTGCGCAAATCAAGCATGATTATTCGGTTGTTGGCGCAGCCAGCGTTGGTGCCCAAATCTTGCAGAATTTTTTATTAAATTTTTTTTTTCTGACTCAGGAACTCCCACTGTTCGGAGTACTGACTGGTGTTTTTTCCGGAGTCTGGAGGACAAGATTCTTGTACCCAGTTAAGTGGTGTATTGGCAGAAAAGGGGGTGTGTACAATTCCTCGAGTATTGGAGAGACGGGAAAAGAGAGAGAGAGAGAGAGAGAGAGAGAATCCAGAAACAAAGAAAAAACGCAACTCTCCCCCTAACCTCATTTAATTTTGAAGTCTTCACCGCGGTTGTTGGAAATCAATTCAAGCCCCCAACTTCGGGGAGGCGGGAATTGAGTGGACAACACCGGTCAAGTGACTGATATGACCTGTACAGTCAATGTGCTGGAGAGACAACACACTACATGCATTTATTCATTTTGATGATTCTCATATGCACAAGAATCAGATCTACTGCATGAATCATCATATCGGAGTATGTACAGCATATAGTGATGGTACAGATACATCCCCAAGCGTCATTCCTGCTTACGATCGATGACATTGACGTGCCACCAGCCATGATGGTAATGAACCCACAATGCCACACGCTCCAGTGAGAATCTGCAGTGTTATTTCTCAAGTCGCTTTGTCGTCGGACAGCGACAATCTCCCAGGTAACATTGGTGGAATCCATAGTCTTATGCAATGGATCTGATCTTGCTGTGAGTATGATATGATGTGCAGTTACGGGGCCGATGATTAACAGTGCTTGATGTATTCTGTATCCGTAACATCCTGCCGAAGGAGACGACCGGTTCACTTCAGATTCTCAGAATGGGTATACTATTCTCAGCCTCACCTCCCGTTCCGAGTCTAAAGAAATTGAAACGTCTTGGTCGTTCATAGCTTGAACTCGGTACCTGATACATCCTCCGAAACAGGGACTGTGGCGATCGGTGATGAGCATTAGCCCCCCAAAAGCAAAAAGAAAGCCTTCTGTATTCCGTCAGATTTTACTGTGTAACACGGAGCTAGAGTACCTTTTTTTTAATTTTTAATTTTTTTTTTTTTTCGAAACCTTCCACATGCTACTCCGTAGTTATGATTGATTGCTTTGGGAGCCAATGTGGCGACCATCCGATGTTCTCTGCTCTTATCGCGGCTGGAGATCAATAAATAATCATCCTATACCGTCTGGGATTTCATAGGTCACAAAGTGCTCGTCCTCGGAAGGAGGCAACGGTTACCTTCGAACTATGGTCTGCTCTCTCTCTATTTCCGCAGATTCAGACTCAAGACGGGTGCAGCCACTTTTTGGGCCAGGATGTGGTTCGATATTGGCGGTCAGCCACCAGGCTATTCTCCCACCTTAACCAGGTGACAGTTGGTTAATGGAAGGGAGAAATTGGGATTTTAGGGTAAGAGCTTAGAGGTACTCTGTACTCCGTACTGGGAGAAATAAGAACCTGCATGAACCGTGTCCACTGTTTAACTGTACGGAGTAAAGAGAGAATGATGTGCTGGATAACCCCTCTCCTATGTCTTTTCGTAGAGAATGAATGGCATGGCATACATGGATTGTCTCTCAAGTAACTACCCAATTCACTTGTCTTCTCTTTTCTCCCCTCTATCTCTACAGAGAGCTCAATGTCGACTTATAACCTGACCAACACCTGCCATCGTTATAACTGGCAGTGGAACGAACAGTCAAAAAGTTAGAAAGTCAGACCCTGCCCGCGTGGGCTCACTCCAAGGCAGGCCACACCTCGAAGAGCAGAATGAATCATTATTTCCAATTTCCCCTGTCCATCCTGGCTAGGGCCCGTCTAACGATCGCTAGAGGCCGGGGCCCATGTGGACTTCCCATTAAGGCTGGGCCTGGGTCCATCACGCGTCGAAAAGCGTGTGTACTGGAAAGCAAAGCCAGAGAGCAAGTGAGAGAGAGACGAAGGGTTTCTTCCTCCCAAAAGTTCATCCCAAAATTTCAGTCATGGATTGGGTTTCCAGCTTCTTAATTGATCTCTCTCAACCCCAGTGTCACAATCAAGATATACCGGTACTCCATACTATAGAAGGGTTGGCGTTAGGGCAGAAACACTCCACTTGACGGAGGGGGGGGAATTGCTTGAGTAAGAGTCTTTTTTTTATTATTTTTATTCTTCATTTCTTTTAATTACACAGGACTGAATTAGTTATAGTTATAGACAGGTGAAGTATGATTATGAATGATCCTCTAAATACATAAATTCACCAGCATGGTTGGTGCCTGGGGGATCCACTGAACTCCAACTTCCACTCCAGACCAAACGCACTTTGTATCACAATCCTTTCCAGCATCCAAAGTACATCCAATGCAAGATATATATCATATCCTTATATCTTCGTTTTTATATCAAGTCCAAGTAAACAATACTTTCTTCCTATGGTACGAACCCGGGATTTCCATGGGACGGAACCATCGATCTTCTTCCTTTGCTTTGGTGGAGTCTTATAAAAGGTGGCAATTATTCATATAATTAGACGACGACGACGACTACAGTCAAGTAAACATTTACTACTAGTTTTCCCCCTGGTGGTCAAATCAGAAATCACTGCTCAAATTACACGGGTTAGTCGCTCTCCTTTCCGACCTAAAATCCTGTAGTCCAGCTTAGTCTCTCTTTAGTTTCTCCGGCTCTCGACTTTCAATTCTGAACCGTTGCTTTGCTTTGCTTTGCTTTTCTCTACTCCGTACTCTCTCGACTTTGCTTCTTGACCACTCGTGTCCTCGTCATTCCTTCATTTAGATAGAGATTACCGACTGCCACTCTTTTGTTTTCTTCTTCTTCTTCTTCTTCTTCTTTCCTCCCTATTTTGGACTTTTCCTTCTGAATCTTCCAGAGAAATTGCTTGACTCTCTCTCTCTCTCTCTAGCACTGCTCTCCCTCTCTATTAAAACGAAGCCCTTTTCACCCCTCAATAATCCACCTGCATGGGTTTGAAATTAGATTTTTTGGGGGATTATTTTTTTGATTATTATTTATTTTATCATTATTATTGATCTGCAACACCGACCTTTTTTTTTTTCCCACAATTCCCTCCGTGGTCGACCGCCTCTTCACTTCGGTCTCCACGCATCCATTTCTCCTCCTGGCAAAGCTGTCATCGCGTCAGGGGCTTCGCTCACTTCCTTCACTCTCTTCCCCCCCCCCCCCCAAATCACCAGGTCAGCCTCTGTTCATCCCTTTCGTATAGTGGCAGTTCCCACCAAGTCGGGGCCCGCTTCTATCATTACTTTGATCCTTCTTGGATCACGTCCACTCCTTTGGGTCTTCCATCTAGCTTCCAGACACTCCGCTTCTTCCTCTTTCATCTCTCTCCCTCTCCCTCTCCTCCGTTTCCTTTGCTAGAGCTACATGACTACCCCCTTCCCCTCATCTTCCTTTCCATCTCTACCCAGTTTCTCCTCCAAATCATCCCTCACACCTTGACCTCATCCCTCCATGGGCAAAGCCGACTCCTTCGTCCTCCGCAGGCCTCACTTCGCTTGATTTTCGGATGATGAACACGTGGGTTTGTTGACTAGCTTCCGATAACTATTGGAAGTTCTCTATACAATCGTTCCCAAATCAATCCATTCTTTAGAGGGTGAGATCCGGCCCGTTCCATGGACCACGACCATTAGCTACCCCCATCAGCTAACCAATGTCTCTGTTTCTCCCTCTAGTCATCACAGCTCCCTTGGTTTCATCTGCTGGCAGAGCAAAGGAGAGTCAATATGACGGTCTGCTACGAACACCCCTCGCGCGGGGCTCTAACCCCGACCTCCACATCGTCTCTTTCGGAAAGATTTGAATTGATGAAAGAAGTTGGTGATGGGAGCTTTGGTAGCGTCGCTGTCGCCCGTGTACGGACAGCCGGCTCCAATGTTGCCCGCAGAGGCACTCTGGTAAGCGTCTTCATATGGCGAGGGGACGGCGAGTCACTAAACCCTTATCTTATGTTCAGGTTGCCATCAAAACAATGAAAAAGACATTCGACTCGCTAGCTCCATGTTTGGAGCTGCGGGAGGTCATCTTCCTCCGAACTCTACCGCCTCATCCTCATCTTGTCCCCGCCCTTGACATCTTCCTCGACCCGCTTACCCGCAAGTTGCACATCTGCATGGAGTACATGGATGGCAATCTTTATCAATTGATGAAGGCCCGCGATCATAAGCCCCTGGAGCAGAAGCACGTCAAGAGCATTCTCTACCAGATCTTGGCCGGTCTAGACCACATCCACGCCAACCACTTCTTCCACCGCGACATTAAGCCAGAGAATATCCTGGTATCTACAACGGCGCCTAATGACTCGACATTCAGCCGCTACTCTAACCTCGTTACTCCCCCCTCAACCCCTCCTACCTACACAGTCAAGATTGCCGACTTCGGCCTGGCTCGTGAGACCCACTCTAAACTCCCTTACACAACATACGTCTCTACACGATGGTACCGTGCACCAGAGGTTCTTCTGCGCGCGGGCGAGTACTCAGCACCCGTTGATATGTGGGCAGTGGGTGCTATGGCCGTCGAGATTGCAACCCTCAAGCCCCTTTTTCCCGGTGGTAATGAAGTTGACCAGGTCTGGCGCGTCTGTGAAATCATGGGAAGCCCGGGAAACTGGTATAGCAAGTCCGGTGCCAAAATCGGTGGTGGTGAGTGGCGTGATGGGTCTCGTCTGGCCCAAAAGCTGGGCTTCACTTTCCCCAAGGTATGTAATTTTCTTTTCTTCCCCCCCCCCCCCCCCCCCTTTCGACCGTCTATAAGAACTCGATCTAATAATATAATAGATGGCCCCTCACTCAATGGAGAGCATTCTGCCAGCTCCTCAATGGCCAGTGGCACTCAGCAATTTTGTAACCTGGTGCCTGATGTGGGATCCCAAGAACCGACCAACCTCTACTCAAGCAATGAACCATGAATACTTTGCAGATGCAGTGGACCCCCTACGGCCAAAGTCCTCCACAGCTCGCCTCTTGGGCCGCAAGCAATCGGACAGAAGTTTCAAGTCCCCAACCAGAGATTCAAATGATTCCCCCACTCTTGGATCCAAGCCTTCCTGGTTTAGAAGGTCCCTCATCGGCAGATCCGAGAGTCCTGCTCTTGCCTCGGAAATCGAGCAGCCTGCGAAGCCTACCCTAGTCTCGTACGATACAACAACAGAAGTACAGGCAAGCAAGACCAAACAAGTCATGAGTAAGCGTGCTACCTGGGCTCATGGAGCTCCCATGCCAATCCTCCCCTCAATTCGACCGGTTTCTCCTCTATCAAACGCAGTCACCGCGCAAGCCAACCCTCCTGCTCATGGAGATGTTAACAATGTGAACGCCAAGTCGAGCAAGAAGATTGGCCGACAACTTTCAGTGAACTCCCATGGCAACCACTATTCTGATATTCACCGTCAGGAGGCCGAGAGGGCGCTTAATGGCCTCGGGAGCAATACAAACACCATCCTCGGCCAGAAGGAGAGTTTCTTCTCTCATCTCCGGAAGCGAGCCCGTCGGCTATCAGGCCGAAACCAAACCAGCATGGGACATGACGATATTGAGGCTAATGCTGGCTGTATGCCTTGGTCAAATCGGTCGTCCTTGGCCTTGGATTCTGCCAACGTAAATGAGCCCAAACAGCCGTCGGATTTTTCAGAGTTGGACAAGGCTCTCCAAAATGTAAAATACTCTATTGACGCGACGGCCCTTGGCAATGTGCCCGTTAGCATCACTTCTCCGGTTGATGCCACCAAGCGCCAATCAATGCCCCAGGGATCTATTCGGTCCATGGGTGACAGCCCTGTCTCCACCAGCGGGACTGGCGGCCCTATCTCCAGTCGGACTAGACGTGCTCTCCAAGTGTCTAACTACCCTGTTCATCGTTATGAGACCCCTGAAGAGGAGGATGAGCTCTTGGACGAGGTGTTGCACTCTGCAAGCCGGGCTGCTAAGCGTCTAGCTCAGGCGCAAATGTCGGATTCGTCCTCAAACTACAGTCACACGTTGGCCAATGACAACTCTCAACCTCTTCCCAGCCCTTACCCTACTCCCTCTCCATCAGCCAAGTGTGACAGTGTCTCTTTTGGTAACCCAGATGCAACACCAAGCAGGATGTTACCACCCCCGGATGAGAAAGCGGATCGTTCGAGTCGACAGTGGCCTACTCCCCCATATGAGGAGCGCGACTGGATGAACCCAACGTCAAGCAACTTCTTGACGGGCTCTACTTAGAGGTAGATCCATCGCTTCCCAAGGCGTGGTGTATTTCCTTTCATGTTATCTGTTTTACAATCTTGTTTATACCTAATTGAAAAAAGGAAAACCTGGGGTGATCATGCACATACTGGCGATCTAACCGAGCAAGGCGTACAGGATACGGTGTTGATTTTTTTTTGTTGTTGTTTCCTTGACCGGAAGGGTTTGTTCCTTTTATCCTTTTTTTTCGACTATTCCCTCTCTTTTGCCTTTTGTTGTATAGGGCATGGATTAGCCCAGGTTATATTTCATTTGTTGGCTGTTCTTGTCTGCATACCCCAAAGGCCTTTTTTTTTTTTTTTTTTTTTTTTTAATAGATACAGTCGGCCTCGCAACTATTTTCGGCATGCTGTGTTTCTCTTCTCTCCTTCCTTGCATGTCATGCATATTATTACCCTTTATGTTCAACACCAACCGCGCCAGTCGCAGGTTTTTTTTTTTTATCGTTCTTTATATACATATATGTATCCTCCCTCACCTACCCCATTTCCTTTGTTGCAATGCTTTCGTCACCTATCCTTGTTTTCTACATCCCGAGCTTCTCTACCTTCGTTCTTACGTCGGCTGCAATATGGCAAGTGATGTGGCGTCAACATTCCAAAATTTCTTTCACCCTATGTACAATTTATTACCCGGATGGACAACTGGTGGCTGGTCCTGGACTCCGAACTCTTGTAATATACTGAATCTACTTTGGCGGAAACGCCGTCCATGTCTTGTTAATGGAAACAATATACCTAATTCTTCTATATAGATAGTGATCTCATGTAAATTGTAGAGAGGAAACCAGTTCGAAGTATGAAGCTGTAGATCGTTCCTTGGATTCTTAAAAAGGAGTGGAACAACAATGTTCCGCATACCGCAGAATTTCCCCATCCAGCTCTGCATTCAAGCAATCTTGGAAGTTTCACAAGATGAATAAAAGTTGTTGCAAGCTCTCTTTCTCTTAGAATATAGCATGAACAACCTGCTTTAGTGATGGTCAGCCTGTGATTCCACACACAACTGCTGCAATTTTGCACCAGACCCCTGATTCCGCCTACGAAACCCTCCCCATTCACATTCTTTTTTTTTTCTTCTCCCCTCTCTGCCTTCAATTATTTCAATGGCAGCCCAACGACAAGCCTCATCCGCCTCGCAAACCCCCCATCTCTCCCCCGCCGAACTCTCCTACCTCTACACCTCCCTCGGCCTCCCCGGAACCCCTATCCGCCCCGACGGCCGCTCCCCCACGCAATTCCGACCCCTCACAGCCGAAACCGACATCCTACCAGGCACGAATGGCAGCGCGCGCGTGGGCTTTGCAGATGGCACGCAGGCGATTGTCGGCGTCAAGGCGGAAGTCGAGAAGACAGCGCTGGGGGCGGACGCGCTGAGTCTGGCGCAGCGCATGTCGGTTGAGGAGTATGCGGAAACTCTCCAGAATGACGGGGACGAGTCGTCGTCCACGGGCGGTGCGGTCGGGGCGGGGGGGGCCACGGGTCGTGGGTGCAGATGTCGATTGAGATCCCTGGGTTTCGGGCGGATGATGCGTTGCCGGTGTTTTTGGCCGAGATGATGCGCGAGCCGTTGATTGAGTCGGTTTCGGCTGGGGAGATGGCTGGTGGGTTGAAGGGGAGGCTTGTGATCAATCGACGGTGGCATTGGAGGTTGCATCTTGTTGTAGGTTTCTTTTTTTTTTCTTTCTTTTTTTCTGTCTTAACCCAAACTAACTGGCGACACACACACAGGTTCTGCTACTTTCTCAACCACTCTCTTATCCTCTTCCCCTCCTCTCTCTCACCACACATCTCGCTCTCCTCTCAACAAAACTCCCCAAGCTCAAATCCAAGGGCGAGGAAGACCCGTTCTTCGACGACGACTGGAACGCCGCGGAATATCTTTACCCACGCCTCACAGCTCAGAGTCACCACCGCTCTATTCCTGGCCCCGCATCCCCGCTCCATAAAGTCCGTCCACCAGTAACGCTGCTCGTCATCTCCGTGGCGGAGAATGTGGTTTTCGATCCGAGCCGTGAGGAAATCGCCGTGGCGGATGCCGTGCTCGCCGTCTCGGTTGCATATGACAGCAACTCAGACCGACTCAAGTTACTTTCTATCCGCACAGTAGATCCGCCGTCTCGGCTTACGCAGCCGGGTGTCCCGACCTCGGAGAATGCGACTACCTTGGGCGCTGGGGGTGCGGGCGTGGCGGAGGAGTCGGTTGTGGTGAATCCGTCTACGGGGGAAGAGGAAGTGCCCGGTGTGTGGCGGCCAAGACGCGGGGGGGTGAAGCGGGCTACCATTGCGAGGATAGTCAAGATGGTGCTTGAGAAGGGAGGTGTTGGAGAGGAGGTTCTAGAAGGTCTCGAGGGAGTGCAGGTTGGATAAGCTAGTTCTTTTTCCGGAAGAGTCGTTTGCTGCTGCTGCGCTGTATTGCGCAATTCCACGCGTTCAAGTCTCTCCAGGCCCGGGCCAACCCATCGAATGGGAATGGGAATGGGAATGGGAATGGGAATTGGAATGATAAGTCATGATAGAATACAGAAATAATGAACTGTATATAGAAAATAATACAGAGACAACTGTGATAATGTTACACATGTACCATCTAATCTCTTTCCCAAGTCTAAGATCCCCTCCCGGGGCCTCCTTATCAGCTTCCCCAAATATACGTACTCCGCGCCTAGGATCCACGTAGAGAGAGATGCAAGACGCAAAAGACAGACAGACAGACAGACAGAGCAAGAGCAAGAGAAGAGAACTACCAAATCCCCAACCACTTCTTCACCGGCCTCTTCTTCCCCTCCCAGTCCACGTACTCGCCCGCATGCTCATTCTCATTCACATTCGCATTCACCCCCGCAGCAGAAGCGGCAGCCACGTCAACGGCAATCGGGCTCTGGTCATCAACGGCTTCCGCGCCCTTGGCCTCCTCAGCGGCATCCGGCTCCTCCAAGCCATGCGCAATTCGATACTGGCGTCTCTTCTCCGCATCCTCGATTCGGCGGTGTCGCTTCTCCCTTGTCTCCATGGAGGTATGCTGCACATGCATGCGGAGCACCGAGAGCGTCTGGGAGATTGTATCGATAGGATGGGAAAGCAGTGCCGACCAGGGAGGGAGCAAGTGAGCGAAGGGCGAGGTGCGTTTGAAGTTTGTACTGAAGGTGAATGTTGCCAGGGAAGTGAGGACACCCTGTTACGAAAAGAAAGGACTTGATTAGCTTCTTCTTCTTCTTCTTCTTCTTCTCTTCTTTTTCTTCCGCTGGGGAAAAAAAAATACTGCAAAATAACAAAGCAGAAAAAAAAAAAAACATACCATAGCAATCCAAATATGGATCCATCGATGCGTCAAAAACTTATACATCACCGTCCCCTCGGGCGGAAACATATGCGGATACTGTCTTGTCTTTTGCTCTTCCTGTTCCTTCTCGGAGAGCTTGGGCCCAGGGTAATTGACTACCTTGCCATTGCGGGTTTGGACCACGCGACGGGCAGGATGCGAGGGCGGGCGGAATTTGTCCGGCTGTGCGAGGACTCGCGGTTTCGAGTTGGGGTTTGTTGATGCGCATCGACGGGCGTTGGGACCAGATGTGGAGGTCGTCGTGTTGCGTGCGGCCGATAACGCGAGAAGTGTCCTGGTGGAGGGAATACCTCTGGGAAGGAGGAATCGAGGGATTGTCACGGGGGGCATTTTCTTTAGTTTTTGGTGAGGAAGGGGTCCCTCGAGCAAGTCAATCTAAGTTAAAAGAGACCCAGGAACTGGGGAAAAAAAATGTATGTAAAATTGAGGCTTTTCTGCCTTCCTTGTTCGGCGGTGATAGATGCACGTGACTCGCAAAGTATTGCCTGATTTTCCAGGTATGCGCAAGGGCAGGCTCGGGACGAATGACAGAACGCGGATTTACCATTACTTGTATTGTGATTGCAATTGTTAAAATACTGACTTTCCTGGATTGGGAAATCAACCAAATTCCAGTTTTCACTTCCCGGTTTTCACCAGGTGAATGCATTGTATGAGGTCATTCGACTCCTACTTCCAATACTGGGCACCTTGGTAATCAGGCGTATATAAAGTGAATCTTAGAGGCAAATGCAATATACTGTTCATCTTTACTATATATAAGAAAATATATCTGGTTACCTTTAAAGCAACCCTTGAAAATATACTCGTATCATTACCCACTCTGTACTACTAATTTGTCAGTCCCGGCACCGCCCGCTATGTGCTGAATCATCTTGCTTCTCATTGGCCCAAACCCAGATCACGGGAGGCGTCGGGCCAAGTCGAAAAGTTCCAAGGCTGCTCTACAAATAATTCTCTCGGTCGATCGCAAGTTTTTCTCCCTCTCTCTCTCTTTTTTCCGCCAGCTTGCGTTATTTCCTCTCTCTCGCTGTCCTCTGCCACTTTCTTTGCGATTCTATTTCGCTTGTACAGCCTATCTTTTACGCTTTCTTCATCTTTATTTTTATATATCTTCACAATGGGTAAAGACGCTGGTTTCGCTCCTGGTAAGCTCCCTCCCTGCCAATTTTTGTTCCTAGTTCTAGTGTCGGCGCGTTGCCAGTCACCCATCGCATGTCTGGACAGTACGGCGTTGGCTGGACATGGGATGAGCCTGCGGTGAATATGGAGGTGCAATTTTGCTCGTCCTGGTGTTGCAATTCCCCCAGCACAACACATCCTCTTTGTCTCAACACCTACACTCCTCCTCGAGATAAATTTCTTTCAACAAGAACCTCCACCTCTATTATCCTTCCCCCTTCGCATTCCACAAAGCAACAACTCTTTCAATCCCACTTCAATTGCACACCATGACCAGTTTCGACACCTTCTGTCTTCTCACCACCATTGACATGCGCGAGGCCGAGCTGGAAGCCGCGGAGAAAGCGAAACAGACCGCTAACATGCTGATTTCTCCAGGTGACTCCGCCAAGGGTGCTAAGCTCTTCCAGGTGAGTGCAACTACTCTGGAATTCCCCTACAACACGACTAATGTGATTTCAGACTCGTTGCGCTCAGTGCCACACCGTCGAGGCTAGCGGTCCCCACAAGGTCGGCCCTAACCTCCACGGTCTCTTCGGCCGCAAGACCGGTGAGGCTGCTGGCTACGCCTACACCGATGCCAACAAGCAGGCTGGTGTGACCTGGGATGAGACTTCTCTGGTGCGTTCCCCTCTCATTCCCTAGTTTATCCCTTGGTGCTTGGTTGGAAGATACTGACGTTTGGTTGCTCCTGCAGTTCGCCTACCTCGAGAACCCCAAGAAGTTCATCCCCGGTACCAAGATGGCCTTCGGTGGTCTCAAGAAGGGCAAGGAGAGGAACGACCTCATCACGTACGTGGATTTTACCTTTTGTTGGAGAGACTCTATAGCATGCTAACCTAATTTTGACAGTTACCTCAAGGAGAGCACTGCTTAGATTTCGATTAGATGACGAGATAAAAAGAAAATCCCCCCTGGCGTTTGTCGGTTCTGGCGAATGACAGGCGGGTGTTGTAACATTACTCTTTAGACCTGGTTTTGAGTGCGTCGGGACATTGTGGATATTTATAGAATCATGTTTCCTTCGCAGTCCTTGTCTACTTTTCCGATTCCCTCCAATTCCTTTGATGGTCATGTTTTCTTTCAGCTTTTGTATCATGGTTAACTTTCAGGTCGATCGGCCATAATGAATTAAGAGATCTCCTCTCGTGATTTTACTGCTTTCTCTATCTTGTCTTCTGTCACATGATCTTAGTCACGTGGATATCGCGATATCGGCCCTCGCCCGAGAATCTCCAGCCCTCCTCCGGCCACCCCGGAAAGAGTTCCTTCAGGATAGACTGCGGCGGGTGAAGTACCAGAGTACGAATAATGCACAGACAATCTGGCGGACGATCGATGCAGCCCGTGATCGTACGATAGGGTCGCCCAAACGGGAGAGCGTTCTTCAGCAAAGCATCCCGGCGACTCTAGCGACTTTAGCGACTCTAGCGATAGTCCAAGGCTGTTTCATGAGTCGCTGATATCCATTCATTTTGCGTCATGTCAAGTACGATGGAGCTGTGCGGAGCAGAACGGAGTTCTCCATACTTTACTACTACTGCTGCTGCTGCTACTAAAACGAAGATGGGAGCAGGTACTTTACAGTTTACTTAGCAGATACGCAACACGGCACATGACCCCTCTTGTTGCCTCCATTACATTGGCCCAGCCACCTTACAAGTTCGATTTCCCTTCCCTTTCCCCCCCCCCCTCCCCTCCTCTTTCTCTCCGGCTCTTTTCCAGTTACTATTATTTAGTGCTTGAGGAGGAACTGAGTGACTGACGTTGTCAAGTCAAGTCAAAACGATCGAATCTATGCGAGGGGCTTTTCTTCGCTCTTTGACACACACACATACACACACTTGCTCGCGGCACTGCGCTGCGTTGTCGCTACCTCTCTCTCCTCCCGCTCTCTCTCTCTCTCTCGTCCTGGATTGATGAACTTCCTCCGTGCCAAACAAACTAACTACTATTGAACTGCTACTCCAAGCTTCTTCGAGATACAGAGACCCTATATATACTGTTTAATAAAATCTGCCTTGTAACTCCTCCTCCTCCTCCCGTATCTTGTCGCAACCTTGTTAGTCGCGCCATCCTCAGGCATCAAAAGGCTGCCTTGTCCCTCGTCTCCATCTTCTGTTTTCTCTTTCTCTCTCTACCTCTTCATCATCAGCTATCTTCATCATTTATTTTTCTCGCTCTTATTGGATTCCTGATCTTCCCGCATTTTCCCCCTCCCCTCGTCTCGTCTCTACTCTACTAGTTCCTCATACATTAGCGCCCTTGCGACGGACTCTCTTATCCCTACCCTCCCCTTCTTAAACCACCCATCACGGCGGTTTAGAGTGGACTCCTGGGGGCTTATCCTGGACTGGAACTGGCCCTACAATATCGCTATCGCTTGTGCGAAACGCCGTCCACTATGTTGGACGAGCTGGACAATGTCTTCGATGACCATCCGTCATTGGATGCGTCGCTCGAGGACTTCGAGAACAACAGCAATCCCCATCGTTCACCCATCTTTGGTCTCCCTTCCCAACACTCAGGATTTAGGTCAGAGGAGTCGGATGGTGAGGAAGAAGAGAATACCCCCACCAGTGAGCGTTGGTCGCCTCCAGGCTTTCGAAGGTATGACCATGTTCCAGGAAGTGGCTGGTACCGACACCAACCCTACCTGCGCAACGTCGACCAGGGCCGGTTGGGCCTGAAACCGACCGTAGGACTCAGCCCATCGCAGTCGCGCGAACCTAGCCCGCAATATGAGGATGCGCTGGAAGTTCCTGTTGTCGGTGACCGCAGTCTCTCCGCTGACACTGGGGATCTCACTCTCGCTGCCAATGTACCCTTGCCCCCCGAGGCCGATTCACCACCCAAGGGCCGGTCGCCCAGTCCCGCTCGAGCGCCTCACAGGCTTAACCCTGATACCGAGGGATTGGACTTTAGGTCGGAGAATAACATAAGCAATTGTAGGCTTTTCTTGGTTTGATACCCTGTCCAGCTTGCTGGCGCGGGATACTAACAGCTGGACCTTTTTTTTTTTTTATTTGAAGATATCCGGTTCGCTGTGCGCGCAGAAGTTCAACACCGGGAACCTTTTGTCGCATTATTTGGTTACTTGCGATCAAAGCTCGATCGCATTACTAGCTCCAAGTCCAACACCACCCTATCCGTCCTTATCGTCCTAATGTCCATCACATTCATGCGCGCGCTGTTTATGCCCGGTATCCCGCAAGCGATTCCAGACCTTGTCAAGCTCTCAAGCTTTGCGCGCTCCTTTGAACCGCTCATCTACTACTCCGAGAATGGTGTGCAGCAGATTGGAACCCTACAAGAGACCGGTGTTGCTGTCTGGGATCTGAGTGAGTCGGTTCGTGGGACCAATATGACCAGTGCGCCCATTATTGTACGCCAGCTGGACGAGCTGTCCGAATCGCTCAAGTCGCTATCGTTGGAACTGACGCGCTTTTTCGCCAATGTCGACTCAGATGTTGACTCGATTTTAATCGTTATGGATTGGGCTAAGCGCGAGCTAGAGACCTTGTCGTCGCAACCCCCGAGCACCCTTCCGTCTATTATGTTTGACAATTTGCATGAAATGCTGTCGCGACTCGGCAATCTCGAACGGGTTACCGTCCCTAGCGGTGAAGCAACCAGCACCGAGCTTGCCAGTACTCCTACCACATTTGGAACCATTGTAACGACCATCTTTGGACAGACCTCGGCGCAGCGCACCCGATCCACGCTCACACGAACCTTTACCGAGTTTCTATCCGTGCTTGAGGAATCGATCAACAGCGAACTGACCCACTCGACCGCGCTATTCGCGCTATTCGAATCCATCGACCGGCAGTTCCTGAACCTGCAGCGAACTGTGGTTCGCGAATCCGACGCACAGGAGCGCGCTGAAGGCGAAATGCTCAGTTCCTTGTGGACGCGCGTACTTGGCCCTGATGCCGCTGTGATGCGCAAGTACGAAAAGAACAAGCGCCTGCTCGCCAACGTACGCAGTCGCACTGTCGCAAACAAGCACCTCCTCATGGACCACCGAGGGCGCCTCTTAACTCTCAAGGTCAATCTCGAGACACTGCGTCGCAAACTCGTCAGTCCGCTAGTCCGGCGCAACGACTCAGTGAGCTTCTCTGGCGCTATCGAAACAGGGGGGAACGGCCGGACACTGGGACCAGTAGATGCCGTAATTGAAGGACAGATCCGCGGCCTAGAAGGCAGCTATGAGTATCTTCGCTCTGTGCGGGAGAAGCAAAAGGCCAAACTCATGGAGATGGTATATGGAGCTGGGCGCAAAATGCCGTCGAATCCGCTACTTTCAGACAGCCCAGATGATGCGGGTGCGGCAATGGACAACATCTAGGGGGACATTCTTGCTCTCTTCTTCTCTTTCAACCTCGACGACGTCGCACAGCCTTCTTCCTCATCCTCTTCCTCATCTAGAATGGTTACCTCGGGTACTTTTTACTCTCCTGGGACGGGGGCTCTATTGCATCGCATCATACATCGGTTCCCGGCGTTCTCGTCTCTTCAGGTCTGGTCTACTCGCACTCTGGTGTTAAGGTCGTTCATGCTACACTACACCTAGGCAGTTACGGAGTTCTGGCTCGTTGCTTCCATGCATCTCACGCCGGGTTAAAGGTTAAAAGGTTAACGTCGTCGCTTTTCTTTTCTTCTTTCCTTCATCCATCCATCCAGCATTGCGGTACAAGGCGAACGTGAGGCAAAGGCAAAGGCAAAGGCAAAAGCGATAGACATCGGCCTTCTTTCTACACTTTTGTTTTCTTTTTCGTGGTTTATTGTTGTTTTATTTCGCTATGCAAGAACATACCAGGAAAAAAGAAGAGGAAGTAAGTAAGCTTTCTCTCAACCCTTCTTCTTCTTCTTCTTCTTCTTCTTCTTCTTCTTCCTCTTGATCTTCTTGCTTTTTTTTAACCCCTAGTTTTGACTTGACTTGACTTGACTTGACTTGTTCATATTCTTTTATTTACTGGGTTCATGTCTCCTCGTTTCATTTCATTTCATTGGCATACGGTATGCGGTGTATGGTATCGGTATCGGTATCGTCCTATATCAAATAATGGATCAATCTCTTACAGTTGTTGAATCGTAGGTACGTTTCTTTCTCTGTAGTAAAGTAGTAAATAAAGTAACCCCGGAAAAGAAAAAAAAAAAAAAAAAAAAAAAAAAAAGAGTTCAGACAAGGTAAGTAGTAGTAAAACCGCGCTTGAGCATAACATAACATGAATAAATAACCTCCTGAACTCCACGAATGCTGGGTGAAAAAATCGGCATCCTGATCGAATCCTCACTCGAGTTCTTTTCTGTTGCCTTGGTCTTTTTGTACAAATCCTTTCCTTTCCTTTCCTTTCCTTTCTTCTTGTCTTGTCTTACATGCAGACCTGATACAATCCAATCCAATCCAATCGAGACCAAAAAAGAGACGAAGAAGATGGATAGGTGAAAGAAAGAAAGGAGAAAAGAGTTAAAAAAAGTTAAAATCCATAGCCTCCCCCATAAGGCGTCGCGCCGTAAGGAGTCGCCGCGGACGCACCCCAAGCACTCGTGCCTCCGTTCGCATACGCCGTGAACCCTCCGTCGATACCCTCGGGCGGCTCGTAGGCGTCTGGGCTCCGCACGCCCATCATATCTTCATCGTCGCCGCCCATGGCGCCGTTGCGGTCGCCGCCTTCGCCGGTCCCGGAGAGAGCGGAGATCACGGAGGCGAGCTTCCGTTGGAGCACGACGATGCCTTGCTGGATGATCATGTCGGGGTCGAGATTGCCAATGCTCTCGACATCGATGTAGAAGTTGTTCGGTTGGGCGTCGTAGTCGAAGGGTTGGTCGGCAGGGACAGCATGTTCCCAGGCTGCATTTTGGGAGATGGGCCTGGGGCAGGTCAAGAGAAAATTAGCACATTAGACTTTCCCTCCTTTTACTATGTAAAGGCAACCGAAAAGAAAAGGGAACATACCACTCCTTAATCGGATCCTCCTCATACCAATAATCCACATGCCTCAAATTATTATGCGGATCATACTCAAACCCCACGGCCGCGGTAGGCGCCCACTTGGCATGCTCCTTTGCAATCCCCTTCTTGGCAATACAAGTCATCTTCAACTCCTGTCCACGCCTCAGCTTACAAATCAGCGGTCCCTTGCCCTCGGAATCCGTGATCACCGGGTTCCCAACCCATTCGTTCGCCCTCTCCCCCGCGATAACCAGATCCCGAGCATACACACGCATGATCTCGTCGCCCGTACAGCGCGCATGCAAGGAAAGAGTCACGCTGCAGCGCGCGCAATGGTCCTCGCACTCGCAGTCGCGCGTGTACTCGACGTCTTGGTCGCAGTTCTTCGAGTTCAAGGGGATCAACCCGAGTCGGTGCGCGAGCATTTCATCGGGGAGGACGGAGGTGTTTTTTTCGACTTCGACGAGGTCGATGGCCATCGTGGGGATTTCGGCTAGCATCACGCGGCGGAGGGAGTTGGCGAAGGCGAGGTCGACGGAGGTGAGTTTGAAGTCGACTCGGTAGGGTTCAGCCTTTTTTTTTCCTTGATTAGTTTCTCTCTTTTTTTTTTTTTTTTTTTCTTTTTCTGGATGCATGGAAATAAAAAGATCTGTTGATTGATTGATTGATTGATTGATTGATTGCATTTCAGGATCTTGTGTAGGAAAAGGTTCTCTCTCACCTCGCGCACTGTAACTTGAGGCCCCGTGGGCTCGATGTCCATCTCGTAATCCATTCCGGCAGTGATGAGGCCCTGCCTCGATGTAAATGAATTTAAACGGAAACGAAAAAGAAAAAGAAAAAAAATCGATCTAGAGTGATTCAGTAAGACACGAAGGGGATGAGGAAGTTCAACGTGAGATGAGAATCTGAACTCTGGCGGCGCGGCCATGCGGCGTGTTGAAGTCTCGATGGAGGTTCTACGCTTTGCCTAATTGGGTAGCTCTTCCTTCACGCTGCATGAATGGACATATAATAATATATATGCTTGACTAGTTAGTAGCTTAATACCTCGACTAACTAGGTACTTTCTTATCAAGTCTATAATCTATCTGATGGATACTGGATTATTTTTACTAGTGGCTCTAGGGAGCATATTTATGTTATTATCAAACTCTTGAATACCGGCCAATCTATCGCGCTACCACACTAGACTACATCTAAACCAAATATCAAAAGTTATTACAGCAGATGAAGAGGATGAATGTTTGTTTGTTCGTTCTTTCGTTCTTTCTCGATCCAGATGTCTAAGAGAATTTGAACCATCACTTTCCAGTCAGGCTGTTCTGGACAAGACAGCTACAGTAAAACGACTGTTGCGTGGTGCAGTAGCAGTAGCAGTTGCGGTATATAAGCCGTAGTTTCGAGTAAATGAAAGCGATCCCTCATTAAAGATCAGGTGTAAGTTGATCTAGTATCCAGTAACCAATGCTCTGATCCAAATCATGCTTGTGCGACATCAAGAACTTTTCTCCGTCCATTTGCAACAATGCCGCTAGACCATGCTCCTTTAGCTTTCTATGATGACGCAACATTGAAATCTATAGATGTAAGTGCGTCAAAGCCAGTGTCATGCAAAAAAAGCCATCAAGCCACCAACCGATTGTGCGATGATAATAGGACACTCAAAACACCAGAAGAAGCACACCCAACCAGCCAGAACACACGAAATATGAGTAAATGCAAGAGATAAAACCAGGGGAAGCAAAAATCTTTTCTTTTAGGGGAGGATCATGTCAAGTCGTAAAGGGGGAGACCAGAAACCCAGTGGTAATGAAACACCACGTGAGGAGGGGGGCGGAAATGTCAGGAGGTAAAAATAAGAGTATAAGGTAAAGTAGGGAGAGAAAAAGAAAAGAAAAGAAAAGAAAAAAAGAGGCAATCGCTATCTCTTCACAGAACTGCGATTTAATGCCTCCAAGAGCTCTGGACGACAGGCCAGAGCTGCTGCAGCTTGGGTGTAGTTCACCCATTGCCGCTTCCGCTTGTGCATCTCGGGCCACCGGTCCTCCTCCCGGTCCACGGCAACCTCGAAAAACTGATATGAAGCCTTGGGTGCCGTGGCCGTCAGCAATGTGGACGGCCGCATATCCGGAATTATTCCCAGATCTTTGAGCACCGTGCATATTACGCCAGCTTCTTCCCAGGCCTCTCTGCAAGCAGCTTGCTGGGCACTTCCCTCGTCGGTCTCCCACCCACCCTTGGGAAGCACCCATCCACCTCGCCCGGAGGACTGGATCATCAGAACCAAGCTTTTGTCTGCGGAAAGCGGGACTACACCCGCCACGAGCCGTTCACCCTTTGGTCCGTAGCCTAGACAGAGGCCAAGGTCAGTTTCGCTTCAGAAAAGTAGGGGCTAAATGCGGTCCAAGCATCCGGAGGAGACAGCTAAGGAAAGAAGGCACTCACGTTGGTTTTTTCGCCCTACGCGGGACTCCATTGAACGAACCTGGTCCACCATCTTGGACCGGTGTGGAAAATGTGAAGAAGAAACCCGTTGGGAGAACACCTCTGAGGAAAATAAAGGGATATGAAGAAGAGATCGATGAATTGGTGAGATGCAGCAGTAGCTGTATTCCACGCGACAATGATTATAAAGAAGGAAAAGGTGGCCGAGTGGAGGCAGACGACACTATATAAAGTATAGAGGACGGTTTCCCAGAGGCGGAAACTTCCAAACGACGAGTTTCTGGAGGAGAAGAGGATCCAGCTGGAAGAGGGGGGTGGATAAGGAGCTGATTCACAACCCGTCAAGGTTTCTTTTTTTTTTTTTTTTTCTCCCTTCCTAGGGTTGGTAAAGTAAAGCGGCGGAGGAGGAAAGGTAGAGAAATTTTCGGGGGTAGTAAAAATGGAAAGAAAGTATAGGAAAACTAGGTATTCCCGTTCACTCCCGTGGCGGACGGGAACCTCGAAGGAGACGTGAGGATAACAACAGACATGGTAATGGAAAGGATAGCATAGAAATAGGGGAGAGGGGGGGGGGGGAGGGGGGAGGATAGGAGGAGAAGAAGAACGGAGGGGAGGCGAGAGGACGGACGGAGACAGACAGAGACAGCTTGGGAATCATAATGGGCGGCGCGGTCCGGCAAAGAAGTTTAGGGTCATTCATTATTCTTTTCTGTCTCGTCCGGAGTGGACTTGATGCGATACCGTATTATTAGCCAAGATGGCTGTGTATAGCAAGTTGTAATACCATGACGTGACACGATCTTATTACACTCCGGTTGTACTTTTTTATACCACTCTATCCTACGTAAGTCCAGGACACCTCAGTAGTCGCAGCAGGAGGAGTATCCTTTCTGAATATTATAATCAAGGTAATAATTCTCACTCTTATATTATTCACCTCGACAGTCTACAATCACCCAGAACACAAAGGTATTACAGAAATACAACTGGTGGTGCATTTACGGCCCTTTTGGTTCCACAGTAACTGCTAAACCCAAGGAAGCAGAAACCAGCCTGGACTCTCTTAATAAATCCCACACAAATGGAATGTGGACACTGGACATCTCCAACTTTAGCAGTCTCATTACTCGTGCACGGATTAATATTGGAAATTTAACTCCATCCAATTCAGCTCTAAAATCGAACTATACTGCCCTGCTTCATAGATAGACTGTGATTCATCCCCGATATGGCCGAAAGAAAGAACGATGTCGCCTATAGTAAGAAGAGCTTAGGGCTATACAGTACAACCAATTGTCATTCTACTACCTAGGCAAATAATTTCTTCTCGTTAACGACATTATGCTGATTAATATTAAGCATTTTACTAACGAACTAACTAACCTACGATCTGTATGGCGAAAACAGGCAAACGGCTTGGTTCAGTGGACCAACGATGCTAGATGCGGTAGACGGATGGACCCTTTACCCTCTTTTCTCTCCGGAATAGGGTCATGATTATTTCAATAGCTTCTTACTCGACCTCGGCAGGGCGAAGGTACGTACGCAGCCTTGGTACGTAGGGAATCTCGGACTGTGTACTCGGTATTAAGAATGGATCAAGGTGGAACAGGTCAACGAGTCTCAGACCAATTTCCTCTCCGGTTCTAGGTACCAGATCTCCAAGATCCGTCTTTGAATTACTGATTTAGTACTCCGTAGAATTACTGTGGAATTCTTGTCCACTTTTTTTTAAAAAAAAAAATACCTAGGTAACCAACTTCGATCGGTGAAGAATAATGTGCTTGGACCTTTCTTGCGGCTGGTCATAAATTCAAGTATCAAACTTTATTGTCTGCAGTACTACTAGTAGTAGTAGTACGGAGTTAACCTGGAGAAGCTACCAGTGTTTTGTTTTCTTTTCTTTTTTTTTTTTTCTTGTCCTTGAAAACAAGCTAGACAAGCTATAGATTGGATACCAAAACACAAATGCATACTGCATACTAAGATTCTCGGGTCAGTTACTTGAGCAACAGTGTCATCGCAGAAAAAAAAAAAAAAAAAAAAAAGGTTGATCAATGCGGGGCACAGGCACCATACTCTGGTATACTCTACTCCGTAGGTATATAAGTACACGAGTATCACAGTATCACTATGATTATCTTTGCAAGGGAAAATAAAGGCAGTGTGGCGCAATCAACATACCATCCCATCCCCTTGTAACCCGAATATTCCAATGCAAGTAAAGGCACTTGCAATGCAGAGATGTTCAAAGAAGACAAGACATGTCCACTGTAATGAACCATGGGGTCGATCAGAGCGTTGGTATTGCTCAGCTTATGCTGTGGCTAGCTGCAGAGGACTGGGACTAGAGACAGCAGGGATGCACATAAGATTAGTGGTGGCTCAAGAGAGAGGAGGGGGAAATTTGGGAAGCTGGGAAATGTTCTGGTGGCGATTGGATCGAGACGCGACAACACAGCAAAGATCTGTAGTGGTGCGGATCCTCCCTGGGTAAGATGCTAACTCCTTAATTATCCTACATATCGGATATCCATATACTTAGCGAATGCTATGCTTGGACGTTGCGGATTTGCGCTGCACGTGATGCAATTGGTCTGGGGACTGGGGGGAAAAAGAAAAAAAAAAGAAAAACACTTTTAACTACGCAACGGGATGGAGCAGTAGTCTCTACTAGTAGAGTAATAAAGCACTCTAATGGTAGATTTTGTAGGATCAGAATCATGAGAGAACCCGATTGTTTGTGCGAGGAATTAGAGAGCGAGGGAACCTTCCCTTTCCAGCGATATACCCTGTCAAGTCAGGAAACTTCTTCCCTTCCCAAGTAAGGTCCTGGAAACATCCATACAGGTATTGTCATGGATGTCTTCCATACCACCATGGACAATACAATACGTCCAGTTGAGGATGGACACTATGGAAGCACAGGGATAGAGAGATTAGACCAGGATAAGTCCTCTTCTAGAAGCATCCTGCACCGGGGAGGTTGTTAGCTGATGGTTACTATATGATACTCCAGGTCTGTCCGACTTGAATCGATTTAGTTTTCTTTCTTTTCCGCCTTGAGCGCTGACAATCATTCATCTCCAGATTTCTTTTTCATTTCGGGTTTTTCCCGTCTCCAACTTCTTCCCAAACAAACAAATTTCATCCATCCACGATGGAATCGGTTGATGCTGAACGTGCAAGGAAGCTGTCCCTCTTCCGACCTCTTGGTGAGTAACCAGTCAGAAGAGATCACTTTTCCCCGTGCAATGAGGATTGGCCCTCGTTGATTTCATTCTGCCCCTCCATCTCAAGTTTCCCTTACGATTTTACCCCTCGTTGTTATTGAGTTTTTTCTTTTCTCGCTTCTTCCGCATCCAATCCAAATCCATCGCCTTCCGATCATTGACAACCCTCCATGACTAATGCCATAATTCAGGTTACCAACGCAGTTCTTGTGGTTACTGTAAATCAGCTCTTGGAAGTCAGTCTTTGTAGCCCCACCTCTCAATCATCATATTCCGATCCACGATGGTGAACTAAACTGGTGTCCCTCGTAGGTGCTGCCTACTACACTAGCTCCGTCTCAGTGCGTCCCGGACACTATGAAGACCTCGTCAACCGGGGATGGAGAAGGTATGACACGCTCCGCAGCCTGCACAACTGACTGGTGCTTGGTATGGCGATTTCGGATCTCTGACCTCCATCCAGGTCGGGAACGCTGTACTACAAGCAGAATCTGCAGCGATCATGTTGCCCTCACTATACCATGAGGTGTGTCGGCTCGGACCATCCACTTTGCATTCCGTCGTACTGACCAGTCCAGACTTGCGGCGTCCGCCTACCATCCAAGAAGAGATCAACGGAAGGCCATCAATCGCTGGAACAAGTTTGTTCTTGGTCCGGAGTACATTCGCCGGGCAGCCTACCTCTGTCCGAAAACGAGAGAGTACGTGCGTGGTGTATCAAGGTTTCTCGAACAATGATGAAGCTCACCATTGCGCAGAGAGAAAAGGCATCGCAAGCGCAATTTCGACCTTCTCGCAGCCGTCCACGAATCTGAATACGGCAATATCAAGCGTCCCATTGACCCAAAGACCAAGAGACCTTTGGAGCCAGCTCATCGGTTCGAGATCAACATAGAAGGCGACACCGTCTCCCAGGCGAAGTATGGGCAACCCCGTATTATACCAATTCCCCTTCTTAACGGCGCATAGATTCGACCTCTTCGTCAAGTACCAAACTACGGTCCACAAAGAAGATGTCTCCCAATGGCAAACAAAAGACTTTAAGCGTTTCCTCTGTTCCGGCCTGAAACGGTCCCAACCAGATGCCAAAGCCGGAGAGCGCCGATCAGGTTCCTGGCACCAGTGCTATCGACTAGATGGAAAACTCATCGCCGTTGCAGTGTTGGATCTGATGCCAAACGGCGTTAGCTCTGTTTACATCTTGTAAGACTGCTTTTCCCTGACTATCAACTCCATCTGACAAACGAAGCTATGACCCAGAATATGAGCAGTGGGAATTCGGGAAACTCAGCGCGATGAGGGAAATAGCCATGGCAATCGAGGAAGGATACCAGTACTACTACATGGGTAAGGAACCGCAGTCCCGGGACACCAACTGAAAAATCGAATGTTAATCTTCCCAGGATACTATATCCACTCTTGCCAGAAAATGCGCTACAAGGGCTCATTCCGTCCCCAGTACATCCTAGGTCCGTCTCCTCTCCATCCCAACGCATCCCAAGGCCTCGGAAATACTCTAACCAAACTAGACCCCGAAAGTTACACCTGGGACCCCCTGGACGACGAACTCACCAAGAAACTCGACCACACACCCTACGTCTCACTCTCACGCGACCGAAAACTAGCTGCCGCTGATACGAGCACCCAAGGCGCAGTAGCCGGGTCAGCCGGAACCAGCGCGGAAGCCAAGGCTGACGAGGAGATCAACGACGTAGACGTCTCCCTATTCGACTTGCACATGCCCGGGGTCATGACATTAGATGAAATCAAGTCGTCCCTGGATTTGGATAATTGGCTATTACTAGTTCATGGGTCATTCGTCAATATGAATGTAAGTTTTCTCATCTGTTGGCTCTTCGGTCTTATTCAGCCTAGAAGCAAACCAAATAAATAATGATGATGATGATGATGAGGAGAGAGAATAACTGATATACTTTTTTGGTAGGATCTGGTTGGATGGGAAACTATGCCTATTGATGATCCGCAGTCAGTCAAGGGGATTGTGGCTGAATTGGCTGCAACATTGGGCCCTACTGTTGTTCGCGATAGTGCCGTTGTGCTGTTTGACTAATTTTACTTGACTACTGAGTAGGTTGGGGTCCGAAGAGTATTGCTAGATGTGGGGGGGTTCATGCTCAACACTCCGAATGAAGGAGGAGATTGTCATTCTTTACTATGTACTAGGACGAATGTCTCTATGTAGACGGTCTGAGAATAAGTATCAAGCCACCCCCAATGCGTCATAACCATTGCAGTTTAATGCCCAAGAACCCATTTTGCCCACAACGCCTTCCGTGACTGTAAGAAGAGTAGTAAAGCCAAATAAACAAGAACGTCACAGCCACAGGAAAGCACCTCAACATAAGAATATCCCCAATATATGCAAGACACAGATCCAAGCGCTAAATTACAGTAGTAGTCCACCAAGAAAGATATGCAAAAAGCAAGGAAAGCGAAAACTAAGCCATCAGCTCGACAGGGGGCCGCGCCGTCTTGGGAGGCATCTGGCGTATGGACGTCTCAATGGGACTGACTTCGACATCCACATCCATGTCATCGAACGAGGCGCTAGTATCCTCTACCAGCACAGCAGGGAGGTTGGGGCTGCTTCCGTGCTCCTCTGGGTTATAGATGAGGGTGCTGCTTCTGCTGCGCTGCTGGGAGATGGGCGCAGCAGCTAGAGGCCAGCTGGGGGTCCTCTTATCGGAGGAAAGAGACATGGGGGTGTCCGGGTCCGGGTGCGGGGTGAGTTCGCAGGCCGGGAGAGGGCCGGCGGCGGCGTGGTGGTGGTGGTGGTGGTGGTGGTGGTGGTGGTGGTCGGTGTTGAGCTTGGAGAGGGCCTGAGCGAGATCGCTTGCGTGAACTTCCCTGTTTGGGGGGTCCTCGGGGCGAAGGACCCAGCCGGCGGGGGGGCTAGGCGGGGGACTGATGAAGAAGAGCTTGTCCACTTGGGGGGCTGCGAGGAGCTTGGGGCCCGCGTCGGAGTCGATGATCGGGGTTGGTTCGCCAAAGTAGATCTTGGTGCGGACGGAGCCGCGATTGAGGAGGGTTTCGCCGTCGAGAAGCTGGCGGACGCGGATGGCGTCCGCTTCCGAGAGGAAGGAGCAGACGATGCGGCGGAAGGATGGGAGTGGCGAGAAGGAGTTGAGACGCGCGGTGGACTCGATGTGGCTGCGAATGGCCGCGAGGGAAGACGGTTGGAAGAGATAGAGGTCGTGCAGGTCGGTGATCAGGAGGGTGTTGGATGGGGGGGTTGGTTGCGAGAGGGGTGGGAGATTCGATAGATCCAGAGATAACACTGGTCGGGGGGAAGAGGAGTGCGAGGAGCGGCTGGCGTGGAAGGAGGGAGATGAGGGGAAAGATTGCGGAGGAGATGGAGTGGATCCGGTCATTTTGTGAAGAGTAGCAGGATTGATTTCTGGGAGCTGAGGATGAGGTGCGAGGATGAGAGAACGAATGAAGAAGAGGAGGTGAAAAGGAGAGAGAGAGAGAGAGAGAGAGACGGATATAATAACTATCGCCACTAGAGATGATCCGGGAATTGGGATGCACCTCACGTTTCAGATGCCGTCAGGAGAGAAACGCTGGTACTAATTGATTCGATCTTGAAAGCCTATTTGCAGAGACAAAGACGACAACGAGGTTATAATTTATACTATACCCAGGTAGCAAATGTCTGATCCGTCTTCGTCCCTGGCGAGGCGCAGCAACGCCTCTTTGTGCTGCTCGCGGTGGACTGCACTGCCTTGCTGAGCCTATGGGACGGACGCTTTAATTTTCTTTTTCTTTTTTTTTTTCTTTGAGCAGTCATGATGATGATGAAGTCTACCTTGCTGATCGAAGAAGAGACCATTTGATTTTCTCTCCCCCAAGGCTTGCTCCGGACCTGTATACCTAGCTATACATGAAGTTCTGTTGCCACGATCTCAAAGATTCGCTGATTTGTGAGGAATTCTGACCAATTATGAATTATTTAACTAACGAATCGTTCACTAATAATTAAAGGTGAATTAAGATTCAATCCAATTCAATAATTATGGCATGTTTCATCCAGTTACTCTACTATACAGTTGTCCTGTCTAGAACCAAATAATTATAGATCGTCTTCAACGCACCAGATAGGCAGCACCATAAACCAAAGATAATTCGGCTATCCTAGATTTCTATCTAGAGATCCAGAGTACGGAGTACATAACTAACTAGTTTGTTTCGTTGCTGGCTGACGAAGTACTCCATAATTGCTCCATCAAGCTCCGCCTCTACAGTGGAGGTCAAAACCAAGAGCTTGGGAATTGGAAAAGAGTCAAAAGACACAAGCGCAGGATCTCCGCACAGGTCAGAGAGAGTTGTGTGTTTAATATTGTGGCTGATACATCTTCTCACTCCTGGGCTCCATCCATACCGTTGACCCAGCCTCCTTGTTGGTGATTCAGTAAAATGGCTGCCTTTGATGGCTAGGATATCTCACTCTCATAATTATCACAAGACATAGGCAGTGCTCTCCCTTGCCTATTCTCTGATACCATCCATAGCCACTCCCGCTCATGTTTGGGCGATACGGCAACAACCTTGTCCGAGGCTCCTGGCGACTTCAACCTATACTGACAGTACCTAAGATCTCTCTGGTCTCACTTTATTCCGAGTTACGCCTGATGGAGATCTATAGGGACGCCTCGCTCTCCTAACTCTGTCCTCCGGAACTTCGCCGGATTCGTCGCATGCTAAACCGCACAACAGTTCCCAGACTCACCTAGTGATGCTGCAATAGGTTCGCCTATGTATGTATGTTAGTTCGCGAGCTTGCTTTTACTAATCCACGAATGTAGCTACAAAGACGCCCTACGACACCGGGAAGGAGACGGGTCTTCAACGTTCCAGAGCTTAGGCGTCTGGCGGCTTCATCAATTCGCCAAAGGAAGGAGATGTGGTCGGTTTCCAGAAGCGTCACCCCATGCGGATAGCATCCCGTATCCAGTAACCCAACCAAAAAGTCTTTGATCATCGCAAGTGAAGTGGCGACCATGCATTTTCTCCGTTCGCATGGCATGCCAGTCCCCAAGGTCTACGGCTACTCGGCTAGGCTGGTAATCCTGCAAATCTATACCGCAGGTTGATTTGTGAGAGAAATATGTGGCATAATGTTGAAGATAACAATAACTCTCCCTCAAGCCATACCTAGCGGCAACTTGGCCCATATCACCGGCATGAAACTGTATAAAGATCATCATGGGATAAAATAAATGCCAATTACTCCGTACTCCCTATACTTCGGCTGGATGTTTTCCCTCTCCCGCATCCAAGGCGGTCAGGTGATACAACAGCTCGAGAAAGTTCTTTTTTTCTGCGATATCGCCGAGTCGGTTTTCATCCAACACCACTACGTATTTCTCTCCTTTTTCCCACTCACCTATCTATACACTTTTCCTCTCTTCATAATGTTCCAGAGAACTTTCATCAGACAAGCTCAGGCTTCTCGGTCTTTGCTTTCCGCCCGCCCTGCCTCGACTGCCCCATTGGCCCTCCGTCGCACCTCGCAGCTGCAGCCTCAGTTCTCCCGTCCGCTCGCCCGCCTCCCTGCCTACCGTTTCTACTCGACGGAGAACAAGACTGAGAACGGGGAAAATAAAGAGAATGGACCAGCCGAAGCCGAGGACCCCGTCCGGAAGGAATTGGAGGAGAAGAAGAAAGAGGTTGTTGATTTAAAGGTAATTTCACCAATCACTAATTTACCTTGGAGACCTTCAGATGATCTACGAGGCTTTCCCCCCCGGATCAACCCTAGAATATACAAGATTTTCTAACGCTCAAATAGGATAAATACGTCCGTTCCGTTGCAGACTTCCTCAACCTCCAGGAACGCACCAAGCGTGAGATGGAAAATGCTCGCAACTTTGCTATCCAACGATTCGCAGTCGATCTCCTCGAAAGTATCGACAACTTCGACCGTGCCCTCCTCGCTGTTCCCGCCAACAAGCTAGGAGCTGCCAAGACCGAGGAAAACAAGGATCTGCTGGACCTTGTTGATGGGTTGAAGATGACCCAGCATATCATGATGAACACACTGCAGAAGCATGGTCTGGAGAGATTCGACCCTAGCGAGCCTACTGAGGATGGCAAGCCCCAGAAGTTCGACCCCAACCGCCACGAGGCTACTTTCATGACCAAGGCCGAGGGCAAGGAAGATGGGGAGATTATGTATACTCAGAGCAAGGGCTTCGTTCTGAATGGCCGTGTATTGCGGGTAAGTATTATTTCTCAACTACGTTCGTTATTCAGTTCCCAGAATGCTAATGTTTTTTTTTTTTTTTTACTTTGATTAGGCTGCTAAGGTTGGAGTTGTGAAGAACAACTAAACCTGTCCTAAACTTATGATTGCTACATATCCTCCTCCAGTCCATTTCTACCTCCTCCTCCTCCTGTATACTATTCAAAATATGTCTCTTGTCACGAAAGAAATTCGTCCATCCCATTTTGAGGACCCTACCATCTGAGTCCTGACTCTGTGACCCGAATTGTCACTCCATCTTGTCTATGAACGCATGTGTATGATACACCTTTAGTACGATTGGCGGAGTATGGATCATCTTACTTTCAATTTTGTTCCCTGTTGGAATTTTCTTTTTTTTTTACCGCGGCGTTGTTTCTAAACTCCCCCCTCCTGTATATTATAACTATGATCGGCGCCTTTTCTTTTCTTATCCTTGAAAAGTCATCTTATATCGGGATTCGCATTGGCATGGATGTGGGTATAGCGTTTGCATGGTTTTGATCATGTTCCTATCTATCCTTCATTTACTGGCTCTGTGCTGGCACATTGGCAGCACAGGTTCCTGATCATATAGAACTAATAAGAGCCTTGGCTAGAAGGGTTTTTTTTTTTTTTTTTTTTTTATGTAGACTTGCGTCACTGGCTTTACAAGTGCAGATGATTGAAAATATCTGATGATTTTTAATTTTTAAGATGTCTCTATAGTTATTGTCCCGGAGACTTTTTTCTCCGGACCGGGGATACATAATAATTGTTTAGCATCAGACTTGCACCACCACCACCAGGTGCAGCTCCGTTTGAATAATAGCAACCACCTGCTCCACTGGGCCCCGGTTGAGGAAATCCGATATGCGTCTGTTTGCTACTAGTAGGGCGCTTCGCCTGGGGAGCGGAAGATGGTCAATTGCTTCGGTTCGCGGCAGCATCCGCATTCCAATTACCTCCAGCGCCGAACCTCGAGCTTTCGGCCAGAGAGATTGGAGCTCTACAGCTTCTCTCAGGACCCGTGACACATCCGACAAGTCCGAAAAGCCAGGTGCTCGCCTACCCTCCCTGAAACAATTGACTGTTGAGGGCAAGACCTATCCTACCGATCAATGGACGAACACTCCCGACACGATTCTCTCCCATATCGATCGCCGGCTCTACCTCGATGAGAACCACCCTCTCGCCATTACACGCAAATTGATCGAAAGCCAGTTCCCGAATCCCGTCTTCGGCAACTACTCTGAGCGGAACCCCATCGTGTCGACAACCCAGAATTTTGATGTCCTTGGTTTCCCTGCGGATCATCCTGGCCGGAGCCGGACCGACACCTACTACCTGAATGACAAGACTGTGCTACGGACGCATACGAGTGCCCACCAACAGGCCTATTTCCAGCAGATCAACCGTAATGAGGCTGCTCGCCCAGAGGAAGTTGGGTATACTGTGGTCGCTGATGTGTATCGAAGAGACGCAATCGATCGCAGCCACTATCCGGTGTTCCACCAGATGGAAGGTGCGATGTTGTGGAAGCGCCCCAGCCAGGATCCTTTGAAGTCCTCGAGTCAGACCGCCGCTGCGATAATGGAAGATGTCCGAAAAATTCCCGTCCATAATGTTCCGGTTGAGGACCCGAATCCTGCCATTCATCCCGAGCGCAACCCCTTGCAGGCTGAGTACCATAGTGCGGAGGAGGTGGAAGCCGTTGGGGCACATCTCAAGCGGTCTTTAGAGCGAATGGTAATTAAGGTCTTTACCGAGGCTAGCAAGGCGGCTGCCGCTTCTGCGGGTGTCGAGCCAGAGCCCCTTAAAGTGAGGTGGGTTGAAGCGTACTTCCCTTTCACCAGTCCATCCTGGGAGCTGGAGGTCTTCTGGCAGGGTGACTGGCTGGAGATCTTGGGCTGTGGAGTTGTTAAGCAAGAGCTCTTGATCAACTCGGACGTGCCTCATCGCATGGGATGGGCCTTTGGGCTCGGCCTGGAGCGCATTGCTATGCTTCTATTCAATATCCCTGATATTCGTTTATTCTGGTCCCGCGACGAGCGCTTCCTCTCCCAGTTCAAAGCGGGTCAGATCACCCGCTTCGAGCCCTTCTCCAAGCACCCTGCGTGCTACAAGGATGTAGCGTTCTGGCTCCCATCTGCAACTGCTAGCGGGGGAAGTGCTGCCGGTGGTGCGATGCCCGTCCACGAGAATGACATCATGGAGATCGTGCGTGGCATTGGCGGTGATCTAGTGGAAGACGTCCGGCTTATCGATGAGTTCACGCACCCGAAGACTGGCCGCCAGAGCATGTGCTACCGGATCAACTACCGCAGTCTGGAGCGTACATTGACGAACGAAGAGACAAATGGTCTGCATGACGGGGTACGGGAGAAGCTCGTCAGCCAACTGGGGGTTGAGCTGCGTTGAGGCTACCAGATATGTTACAGTGTACATAAGAACATGTTGTATAATACGTTTTGTAACAGAATTGTATCATCACTCTCAACTTTTGATGTCATTCTCTATGCATCCGCAACAACCAGGTACTTACCAGTAGACTTATCGGATACACTTCAAAGACCGGAGCCCCCAAGCCACCTCCTCCTCCATGTTCTCCAAAGCCTGTGAGAAAGCGCCCATTAACTACCGAGGGATTTCCGCCAGGTTTCCCGTCGCTATAAGAACCGAAACCGAGACGCTGATTGGCGCACGGGCGCGGGTCATACAAGGCGGATCCCAAGGCACAGGATTTCGGAGCCTTAATCTATCTCCGGACATAAATTTTCTGTATACAGAGAGTCATTCATTCCCCTTCTTATTCTCTCTCAACTCCGCTTCGTGCGCTGGAATGTTCCCGTCTTGCTGTCGACGATGGCAAGCACCGCGAAGTTGGACATGTCCCATCCAGCACATGCTGCCACTCCTGTGAAGAAGAAGGTCCATTATCCCTTCTGGTTTGGTGGTTCTGCTTCATGTTTTGCGGCCTCTGTTACACATCCATTGGATCTTGGTAAGACGACTCCCCCTCGTATATTAATTACTTGTGGGAACTTGACTTGCTGACGGGTGGAAATTTGTAGTGAAGGTAAACCCTTTTGCCGCGCCGATATTCTCTCTCTCTTTTTTTTTGGTTCTCACCTAAACTTTGTGATGTGAAAAAAAAATATATATATAGGTCCGTCTGCAGACTCGGGCCCCTGGTGCGCCCACGACTATGCTGGGTACATTTGCACATATTTTGAAGAATAATGGAGTTTTGGGGTTATACGGCGGGGTGCGTTGCCTTTACTTTTTCACTTCTGGATGCAAGACAATTGAGACCGCTTTATATATATGAAAATATGTTTTTGCGCTTACATCTCTCGACTTTCTCTATAGTTGTCTGCCGCTATTCTTCGCCAACTGACCTACTCCACGACCCGGTTCGGAATCTACGAGGAACTCAAGTCCCGATTTACCACGTCGTCGTCACCACCAGGCTTCTTCACCCTGCTCGGAATGGCCTGCGCCTCGGGAATCATTGGTGGAGTTGCAGGAAACCCAGCGGACGTGCTCAATGTGCGCATGCAGCACGACGCATCGCTGCCCCCCGCGCAGCGGCGCAACTACCGACATGCGTTTCACGGGCTGGTCCAAATGACACGCACAGAGGGTGTGGCGAGCCTATTCCGCGGCGTGTGGCCCAACTCGACGCGGGCCGTGTTGATGACCTCCTCCCAGCTAGTCTCCTACGATACCTTCAAGCGTCTCTGTCTGGAGAACTTCGGCATGTCCGATAACCTCCTGACACATTTCACTGCCTCGTTGATGGCGGGATTTGTCGCCACCACCGTCTGCAGCCCCGTCGACGTGATCAAGACCCGTATCATGACCGCTTCCCCCGCCGAGAGCAGAGGCCACACGACCCTCGGTCTCCTGCGGGATATTTCCCGCAAGGAGGGCTTCGCCTGGGCCTTCCGAGGCTGGGTTCCGAGTTTCATTCGACTCGGTCCGCATACCATTGCCACCTTTGTCTTCCTGGAAGAACACAAGAAGCTCTATCGTTGGATCAAGGGTGTTTCGGAAGATACCAACAAGCAATAGAGCTGGTTTCTGTCTTGCATCTCTCGCATGACCAATTCTCGTCCTTTTTTTTTTTTTTTTTTTTTTTTTTTTTTGTAAAAATCCCCCCTTTGGATCTCATTAGATTATATATACCTACATACGGAATTCCGACATGAAAGTAAGAGGATAGAATACCTTTTTTTTTTGGTTCTTTTCACTCTGCGCTTTCTGTATATAATGATTATCTTTTCTTTCTATGGTGATTGTTTTCCCCGGCGTGAGAAAGTGCTATCTATCGCTGGATAATGATAATACATATACTTATTTATATATCTGTCTGTCTTTGATGCTTGGAAGGGGGTTTCTTTTGGTTCTTTTGGTGTTGCCTGCATATATCCATGAGTAGCATACCTAGGCAATAAATGTGTGATTGAGCCTTCTTTACTACTTTAAATCTGACAACCATTACCGTAGTTAGGTAGTTAGGTAGGTGTATCAGAATCATACCAACACAATTGAGCACAATGGAGATTTTAAAAATCTACTGCGAGTCTATATACACCCGTCTCCCTAGCTACCAAGGGAAAGAAAGGCCTGTATTCCCGCGTTAATAGGTAGAGTACATGTTGACAAAATAACACCCATTCAAAGTTCAAACCACCGTGGAACTGGCACATGTTTACCCTAGACGGGCAGGGAAGTTACCGGCCTCTGTAGTGGAATTAATTAGCCTTCTCTGCAGGATGGGAAAAGAAAAGAAAAAAAGGGAAACATACCGCGCTGGGTATCCCATCGGTCGGTCCAGGCCTTGGGGCAGAGGGAGCGGAAGGCGAGGTAGAACTATAGAGAGTTAGACAATCCGGTTTCCGCTTCTGGCGTGATGTATAGTTAAAAGCAAAAAAATAAATACCTGGCGGCATGGGCGGAAGTCTTCGCCCTTGGCGTTAACGCACTTGTGGTAGTCGACGTAGTTCTGCCAGCAGTGCTTGGTCCTGAAATTGCGAGTGGTTAGCGAATGAACATATATAGATATATATATATAGATATATAGATATAAGACATAGAATCGATTGGTTCGAGAGACGTACTGGTTCTGCTGGGGGAAACGAGCGTCGTAACCTAACATATCTCCGTCAGTCATCCTTGCACCTCAGTCGTCTCGCGCACAGTCGTATGTGCGCCCACTCCTCGAACCGCCCACTCCACCATAACAGCGCTCGAGGGGATCGGATCGATTGGGACGATTATAGAGACGTACCAGCTAGAGAAAAGTTAGCAATTGGGACTTGGATTGCGAGCATCAAAGTAACCAGGTTGGGGATCAGAAAAGCTCACCAGTCACGAACTTGAAGGGCTTGGTCTCCAGAACCTCATCGGGATCAGCCTCAGGAATGGGAGCCATTTTGACGGTTATGTATCAATTCAAAAACCTTGTCAATGAGAAATTGAAAGGAGTGGGGGGAGGGGGGGGGGTTTAGAAACTGAGGAGAGCTGGAGAGAGAAGGAGAGGAGGTCCCGTCGGCCGGTAGGAAGAGGTGGAATGACCAGCCAAAGCCGGAAGTGACCGCCTTAGGCGAGCCACTCATGCGGCAAGATTTCCTAAACACCCGAAAGTGAAGACTAGTCGTCAGTTCACTTTCTGTCGGTCGTCCCAGCTTCCGTCACCACACCTGATTCCTATCCCACTACTACCCTTCCTTGCCATCTTCGTTGTCCAGGACTCACCCTCCCCACACCTTCAATCGTCCATAATGTATCCTTCCCGTATCCTGCGGATGCAGCCTTCTAGGCCCTATGGTTTTCCTACCCCTGTGAGTTTCCTCCCCTGTCCTTTGCCTGGACGGAAAAAAAAGCTTGGCGGTTACTTTGAGGCTAATCGGGCGCTGCAGAAGGAGAACCAGAGCGGTATGGCCTCCCCCCCCCCCCAGGCTTGCCATTGACGATAGATATGTGTAGATAGTTGGTCTCGGGGTATGGCACTAACAATTCCCGGTAGCTCACACTATCTCTCAGCGTCTGAGGACTCTGAAGCGGGTCCCCCCCGAGCTCATCCCCCTCGGTATGTTATCATGTTTGAACCTCCTCTTAGGGTATACTCGACTCTAACGACATTTCTAACAATATACAGGTGTTGTCCTTGCGTACGTTCGTCCCGTGATATATATTTTCAATTATACTACAGACATAGATCCCTTCCCCTTCAATTCCGCTACTTCCCCAGACTGAACCCTGCTTTGTCGCTGACGCTCCCTCTTCCAGTGTCGCCGTCGGAGCTGCCATCTACTCCAGCACCCGCAAGCTTATGACCGATAAGACCCTGCGTCTTACCCCTAACCGCCCCGAGGACCGTGAGCACTAAAAAAAATGTACCATCACATTTGATTCCATGCAATGGGCGACCTCCGTTTGCGTTTTTCGTGTTTGTGTCGGCGATCTGTATTATTCACGGGAATGTTGATGTCGTGGGAGAATGGGGGTGATGGGAAATCTCGAAAAATCTCAGGCTCAGGCTTGGAGCGCGTGTATATAGTACACCTTTGAACGAAGGGCTCTGAATTGGAGTAATATTGCAATATGACTGTCGCCTGGCTTTTTTTGTCTCCGCTGGCCCCGTGGGTATCGTAATAGATCATAGTAGAACTGTTCATTCTGGTTTGGGGCCGGCAACGTCTAGCTCTTCCAGTCCTTGCATGGGGTCCTGGGGACCGTTGCTGTCTGCCATTTTCGTCTCGTCGGCCGCCTGCTTGTCTTCCTCGCTGACGGCGTATTTGGCCAAGTAACCCTCCTGTACGCGTAAAATTAGATTTTACAGGCAACGTCCGGTCAAGGTCGTGGATACGTACCTGTTCCCAAATGGCCGTTTTACTCCCTAGCCCTTCGTTGCTGTCCTTTTGTGGCTTGGCAGCAGCAACTCGAATCGTCCGTCCATACAGCTCGCTTCCATCCATATTGTCGATCGCTTCCTTCGCATCTTCCGGGAGGTCAAACTCGACGTACCCAAATCCACGATGCACCTCATTCGAGTTGGGAAGATCGGGTTTGGGCAGCGTAATATCAACCAGCTCTCCAAAGGGCACAAACGCCTCGGCCAGCGTCTGCAGGGTGACCGCCTGGTCGAGACCCCCCACGTAGACGGTGCATTTCAAACGAGCCTTTTCACTCATTATGGTGGAATTTCAGATAGAGCTTCAATATCAAGTGCGAATAGAAAAATTCCAGAAGTTCATCGATGAATGAACTGTAGAGACTAAACAAGAACGCGAGTTCCCTTTTTCTTCCTCTTTCTCTCCCTATCTCTCTCTGCCTGTCTCTTTTTCTTCTTCTTTTTCTTCTTTTTTTTTTTTGGTGACTGCTGCTCTCCAAGGCGGACATCCTGATATCACGTGCACGCTTCTCGGCAGATTGTTTTGGCGAGGGCCTGAAGCGGTTTAGTGTCAAAGTCCGCGCCCCGGGAACCCGCCAGGAGGACACTTGGTTGATTGAAGGCGGGTAGACTGACGAGAGCGAGCGAGAGAGAGAGAGAGAGAGAGAGCCCGAGACCAAACAGCCCCAGGTCGACGACGTAACTCCATGCACCCCCCGGGTCTCGAATAGAGAGGGGAGATTTATTCGTTTGGATACCTTTTCCTTTCTTTTCTTTTCCTTTCTTTTTCCCTCCCTTCTTATTTCTTTCAACAAATCCTTCGTGTTTGCTTTCCTTTCCCTCACCTAATCTATACCTGTGTGGCCTTCCCCCCCCCCCCTCCCCACACAACAGCTCACCATGGTGCGTCTGAGGGAGATCCCCCGGACGGCCACCTTTGCTTGGTCCCCCGGGGCTGCCTCGCCATTGATTGCTACTGGAACTAGGGCTGGTGCAGTTGACGCCGACTTTTCCAATGAGACATGTCTCGAGCTCTGGGATTTGGCCTTGAGCAACCAGGATGCTGGGGCGGAGCTGCAGCCTGTAGCCAAGATTGACACCGATTCGGGGTAAATATGGCTCCTTTCCTGATTTCTACATGAAGGGTTTAAGTGGAGATACAATGTTCTGACTGGTTTTGGGAATGTAGTTTTAATGATCTGGCCTGGACCGAGTCCGATGACAATTCGCGCGGTGTGATTGCTGGTGGTCTGGAGAATGGATCTCTGGACCTCTGGGATGCTGATAAACTGCTGAGTGGATCAAGGTCGGTAATTCGATAAGCAGCTATTGATATAAAGTGAAAAGAGGCGGAGGGGGGAAGAGCTTTTTTGGCTAACTGGTTTCAAGTGATGCTGTATTGTCGAGGACCTCGAAACACTCAGGGGCTATCAAAGCTTTACAGTTCAATCCCAAACACTCGAATTTGCTAGCCACAGCAGGTGCTAAGGGAGAGGTTTGTGCTTGAAGACCCTAATCCAATTGGCACAAGTACTCATTGTTTTGTTTGGGATAGTTGTACATCTCCGACCTCAACAACGTCGCGAATCCCTACCGCCTTGGAAGCTCTACTGCTCGCGCCGATGATATCGAATGTCTGGATTGGAACAAAAAAGTTGCGCATATCCTGGTCACCGGTAGTAGTGCAGGTTTTGTCACTGTCTGGGATGTCAAGACAAAGAAGGAGAGCTTGACTCTCAACAACATGGGCCGCAAAGCCGTCAGCGCTGTTGCTTGGGATCCGGAAAAGGTGAGAATATTCTTCTTGAACCGGGGGAGGCCTCCCTTCTCTAACACAAAGCATAGCCTACGAAACTCGTCACAGCTACGCCTCTTGAATCGGACCCCATGATCTACGTTTGGGATCTGCGAAACTCCCATGCGCCGGAAAGGGTGAGCGGTCTTCCACCTGCCTCCTAGAAAGCATGCTTTATTTTTTCTAACAATATATTAGACCCTCCGCGGACACGAAGCCGGTGTATTGTCACTTTCTTGGTGTAGCCAGGATCCTGATCTCCTCCTCTCCTCCGGAAAAGACAACCGCACGCTCTGCTGGAATCCTCAGACAGGAATTCCTTATGGTGAATTCCCCGTCGTCACGAACTGGACCTTCCAGACCCGTTGGAATCCCCATAACCCGAATTTCTTTGCCACTGCCTCGTTCGACGGAAAGATCTCGATCCAAACTATCCAGAATACCGGCACCGAATCTGCCAAGGCGATCGCGGACCAGAACCAGGCTCTGGATGGAGAAGATTTCTTCGCCAAGGCACAGAGCCAGCCCCAGGTCTCGAGTTTCTCCCTACCAAAGGCCCCCAAGTGGCTTGAGCGACCGTGCAGTGTGTCCTTCGGCTTTGGTGGCAGAGTCGTCTCCGTCAACCTGGTTGAGAAGGGCAACCGTATTTCCAAAGTCAGAATCAGCCCATTCGAAGTTGACGAGGCTGTTGGAAAGTCCACCGAAACTTTCGAAACTGCGATCAAGGAGGGCAATTTGAAGAGCATCTGCGAGACCAGGGCTGCCAACGCCGCTAGCGATGAAGAGAAGGCTGACTGGAAAGTTATCGAGGCTTTGCTGTCGGAGAACCCCCGCAAGGGTCTCATCCAGTATCTCGGCTTCCAGGATCAAGCTGATGAGGTGTCGGATGGACTGGCCAACCTAGGACTGAACAAGGAGGAGGAAGCCAATGGACAGCCCTCGCCAAAGGAATCCCGCGGGTCGGGAGCGAAGAAGCACAAGCGTCTGCAATCAATGTTCGATGCTAGTCCCGAGGAAGACAACTTCCTGTCCGACTTGGCTGCATCCAAGGGCGCGAAGACCAACAACCCCTTCCAGATCTTCGACGGTTCCGAGACGGAGGCTGACAAGAGCATTACTAGAGCCTTGCTCCTCGGTGACTTCGAGAAGGCTCTTAGCCTCGCCCTCAAGGAGGACCGTATGTCGGATGCATTCATGATCGCCATTTGCGGAGGCCCGAAATGCATCGAAAAGGCACAGGAACACTACTTCTCTAAGCAGACGAACAGCCCGAACTACGTGCGCTTGCTGGCTTCCATTGTTGGAAAGAACCTCTGGGATGTTGTGTACAACGCCGAGTTGAACAACTGGAAGGAAGTTATGGCAGCCCTCTGCACATTTGCTGACGACAAGGAGTTTGCCGATCTCTGCGAAGCTCTCGGTGATCGTCTAGAGGAACAGGTTCGAAGCACTGGTGACAAGGCTGCTCGCAAGGATGCCTCTTTCTGCTTCCTTGCTGGCTCCAAGTTGGAGAAAGTTGTTGCAATCTGGATCGACGAGCTTCGCGAGGGCGAACAGACTGCCATCGAGACCGCTACTGATGACACGAGCTTCTCGATCCACGTCCGTGCCCTGCAGGCTCTAATTGAGAAGGTTACCATTTTCCGCCAGGTCACCAAGTTCCAAGACACGGAGCGCACCAAGGACTCGGACTGGAAGCTTGGTGTGCTTTACGACAAGTACATCGAGTATGCTGATGTGGTCGCCACCCACGGTCGGCTGGAAGTTGCGCAGAAATACCTGGATCTTGTCCCGGCGAAGCATCCCGAAGCCGAGATCGCAAGGAATCGTATCAAGCTGGCGATGAGACAGGCTACCTCCAAGACCCAGACCACCGGTACTGCAACCAGGGTAAACGTCAACAAGCCTCTACCCCAGCCCACCACGTACCACCCCCCCACGACATTCTCCGCAGGAGCCCGGGCCGCCACCCCAACTTCTTATCTCCCTCCTGCTCCTGCTCCGGGTCCGTCTCCAGCTCCCGCTCCGGCTGCTAATCTTTATGCGCCCCCGACTGCTGCCCCGAACCCATATGCTCAAGCAGCGGCGATTCCGGCCCAACCTGTTAATCCCTATGCGCCAGCAGCCGGAAGTTATGCTCCTCCCACAGGATATCAGCCCCGGCAACAATCTTTTGGAGCGCCCGCTGTAGGCGGCGCCGTGCCCCCTCCCCCGCGCGCGTCCAACCAGTCTCCTGCGACAATCACAACATACACCACCGCGACCAACCTGCCAGCGTGGAACGATCTGCCTGAGGGTTTTGCCAAAGCTCCGATGTCACGCCGAGGAACCCCTGCTACTTCTGCTGCGCCCATTGCCTCGCCATTCCCGAACCAATCCCCTCCCTTGACTCAGGGTCCTCCACCTCCTGGACCTCCTCAGCGGACAGGATCAGTTCCCCCTCCACCAAAGGGTGTTGCGCCTCCTCCTCGCATAACTTCTCCACTGACGGCAGGCCAGCCGCTACCACATACCATCCCCACGGCGCCCCCTCCTCCAGCAAACCCTTATTCTGCTCTGCCTCAGTCCCCTCCCGGTGCGATGGGTTTACCACCATCTATCCCCCGTGGGCCGTCTCCCTATAACGCTCCGCCTACCATGCCGCCGCCATCCAATCGGTATGCACCGAGCCCTGCAGCCCAATTAGCACACCCTCAGCTCCAGCCTAGAGCTCCTGTTCCTCCTCCCCCACAAGCGGCCGCCTCTCCATACGCCCCGCCACCGCCTGTGCAGGCTGTAGCAGCGAACCCCTACGCTCCCAGCACACCGCCCCCCAGCCAGGTGCCAGTACAGCCAGTGCCTCCACCTCCAGCCGCAGGCTCTCGACCAGGTACCGCATCGTCTGTGAAGAAACCTGCTCCTGCAGCACCCAAATATCGTAAGTCTCTTTGCCCCCCCCCCCCCCCCCCCCCCCCCCCCCCCCCCCCCTTCAACTGAAGATTTGGCTAACTCCCTGATAGCTGCAGGTGACCGGTCCCACATTCCCGCGGATGCAATGCCCATTTTCGAGATCCTCTCCGAGGATATGCAGCGCGTCAAATCCCGAGCTCCATCCTCCTTCAAGGCACAAGTTGATGATGCCGAGCGACGACTGAGCATCCTGTTCGACCACCTGAACAACGAAGACCTCCTCAAGCCGAACACCGTTGCAGATATGGTGAACCTGTCGCGTGCCATCCAGGGACGTGACTATGAGACCGCCCGAACAATTCACGTCGATATTATGACTAATCGAACCGACGAATGCGGTAACTGGATGGTACGTTCTCCTAAAGTTGCCCTTGGTTATGATTTTACTGACTCTGGTGATTAGGTTGGCGTAAAGCGTCTCATCAGTATGAGCAGAGCCACCCCATAGATGATGCAATCAACAACAACCGATGTCCAGGAATTGATCACAAGGTAGAGAGTATATGATGTGTGCAAGTGATGGAAGAGAAGAAAAAAAAAAGAAAAAGTGTGTACCGAGTCAAAAACAAATAAACATCTCCCTTTTGTGCCTGTCTACATTTGTCCCAATTCATGATCGTGCATTCCCCTTCCTCATGGCTTGTTGTATGACATGCTCTGTGCGGTCTTGTCTCTACAGATTTGTCCCTTTTCTCTTCTCTTCTTTACTTTTTTTTTTTTCCTGATTTGATTTCCCTTTTCTTTCTTATTGTCAATGTGACTATAATCCTTTTGTCTTCTCATCTCTTCTTCTTCTTCTTCTGCGTCTGTTTCTTTTCTTCCTTTTATTTTTGGCTATTCCAGTAGAGTCTAGTAAGTATATTTTTTTTTCTCTCTTTGTCTTGGTGACGGAGGCGTGAAAGAGTATAGTTTGTATACCTATCCTATCGTATATCCAGAACCCAAGGAGGTCTAAGTATCTATCTATCTACGTCTCCTACAATAAAGGGCGGAACTTTATTATTTCGTTCTCAAGCTTTGATGATGATACCGTTTCTTGACTGTTATCAGTACGAGTAATGTTCAGATTGAGATGAATGATGTTGATATTCTACCCGTAACGCCATGCTTGACCTTGTTATATACAATCTAGCCAGGCCCCTGTACAGCCAGCCTTGTCCTAATTAAACAAGGCGCGCAGAAAAGAAAAAAAAAAAAAAAAAAAAAGAAAATTTAACTATCACGCATGCATTTCATTTCATATACAAGAAAAGGAGAAAAGGGGGAAGGGGGGCGGGGGTTTACTTTACATACGACGAGACACCCGCGATTCTCCCACCCCGACGACTTGTAGGAAAGTTCCTCGCACTGAGCAAAGCGCCCTTCACGCCACGGATTTCCGCCCTCACGCTTGAGATTGCTTCCTCCTCGCCCTTGCCTACGCCTGGGGTCGTGGCGCTGACCGCCTCGAGAGGAGTAGAAGTCGCGCTGTATGCGCCGTAGCTTGCTGTCGCGCTGTAGGTGTTCTTGCTGTAGAGCAGGCCATCCAGGTAACGCTGGAGATCAGCGAGGCGGCTCCGGGTGGTGTCCTCGAGGGTGGTGGATTGGTTCTGGGCGTCGGCGAAGTCGCGCAGACGGGAGCCGATGGTCTCCAGGCGTTTTTGGTGTGTTGTTACGGCTGCTGTGGGGTCTGGGTCGGCTGGGTCTTTTGCGGCGGTGGCGGCGGCGGCGTCGGTGGTGGTGGTGGTGGTGGTGGATGACTGTTGCGACCCGCGCTGGTCATGGGGCGGAGAAAGCTCTTGGGATGTTTGCGTGCCGATGTCTCTGTGGAAGAGCTCCGTCGGGTCGGAGGTGATGGATTCGACGTCTGCCTCGGGGGTGTCGTCGTCGTCGTCGTCGTTGTCGTCGATGATGGCTGCTGTGGGGTCGGGACGTTTGGAGGACAGAAGTTCGGGGGGGATCCGGGAGACGTTTGCCTCGAGCTTCTCGTTGAGTTTCTTGAGGTTTTCCTCGGCGGTTTGGGCGAGGTCGTGCCGGGCACTTGTGAGGGTGGCCAGCATGGGTTTCACGAGGTATTCACTTGCGCCGTAGATGCTGGCTCCAAGGCCCGCGGCGCCATAGAGGGTGTATAGCACGCTTTGGAGGGTGACGAGGGGTGGGGGTTTGGATTGGTGGACGAGGAATTCCGGGTATGTGATGATGGGGGGCACATCGCGTGCGGTTGAGGGAGTGGCGATTCGACCGCTAGGCGAAGCAGGAGTGGTTCCTGGAGAACTGGAGGGGGATCTCGCAGTTGAGGTTTCTGTGCCGGGAGTGGTGGAGGTGGTGGCCTCGGGGTTTCGCGACACGCCCAACAAGCCTTCGATTTCAGGGGCGGTTAGACCCTTGGATTCAAGAAAGGAGATCTTGCGATCCATGGACGCATCCCGAATTGAATCGTCTTCCAGGAATTTCGATGCCTGTGCTACCAGGGCTGCTCGGGAGGTATTGTCCTCCTTATCGGATGTTGGCGACGGAGTAGAATTCCGCTGTTGCCATTGCGGGATTGAGGGGGGCTTGGGGCCAGAGTATGACATGGTGAATTTCAGAGATGCTATGGCTATAGGGAGATGCAAAGGTAGTCCACAGCTCTTGTAGAAAGAATCAATCAATCCATGTGAGCGAAGGAAAGCCGTTGGTTTCGACCGGCCTCGGCTTGTTGCTTACGAGAATCCTGGGGTTGGTAAAACCGGTAAGTTACCGGTACGTTACTGGTAAAAAACAGTAAATACAAGAAAATACAGCACGGTCGTCTCCATGATTTCCATTTCGAGATATATATACTTCCCCCAGATAAGTATAACAGACTATCTCGATACTACAGATACTTAATTTGATGAAATAAAGTAGATCAAAAATCGTCAACTTTCAGCCGTATCTCTCGGAAAGAGATGTTGGGATGAAAGCCAGAGGGAAAGAATGCCGAGACCGACTCACCGCCCTGGCAAAAAACAAACGTATTCAATTCAACTTCATTCTTATTGGAATCATTCATCCAACAAGTAACAAAGTGCAGCAGCAACAGCAGCATTGACAAACTATCTTCTCTCTTCTAATTTTTAATTTCGATCGACTCGCAGTAGTGGTTGTCGCAGTACGATTCTGAAGTCGTACTGCATCTTCCAACCCTCTCTTCCTGCAACAAGAAATCGTGCTCAGGCAAACAGAACTTACTGCGCTATATTCACCTGGTCCAACCACCATCTCTTCTTCTCTTGCGTGAGTTTCTCTTCTCCCTGGTTTTATTTTCTTTGTTTATATACCTGTTCTTCCATCGCGACCCTTGTGGATCTTTCCCTCTTCCCCTCTTTCCCGATCCCTTGTCTGTCCACTGGTTCCAGGAGAATCCCGATTTGTCCGGTACCAGGAATAATCCCCTAGGTCCGCGGTGTTGCGCGCGAGAAATTGCACCAACTTGCATTGGCATTTCCCGCGGGCTCAGCCTGTCCTCCGTCCCTCACCATCTGGGCTTTGGCATCGGACCGGAATGCTCCCATTGGCTCCATCCTCGATGTTGGTTTAAAGCGTCTAGGTGGCGCAAGAAGATGTGATAGGGGTCGAGGACCTGTGCCTTTCCGGGTTGCATCTTTCATCCCCCAAACACTGGCCCACGTAGTCGTCAGCTGTGTGGATGGCTGTCTTTCGATTGACCTCCAAGTGCCTCTTTCCCCCCCAAAGGTGATTGATTTCCTTAAGAGGTCTGCACTTTTCCCCTATCGTCGAACTTTCTTAGTCTACTCCAAATCGGGAAATTCTCCTCATCAAGGCTCGTCGCAATTTGTTCTTTGTTTGCGTTCTCTAGAATTTTCGTCGGCCGTTTGATTCGCTCCTTCAACCCCTCACCATCACTCTGGGATCCCTGATTCTCCCTTTCCCCCCCCCCCCCCCCTCTGTAGAGGCACAAAATTCTTTGCTGCTTACAATGTCCTTGCGTCGCTCGCTTCGTGCCCGTACTGGACGGGATGATCCACCAATCATGGAATCTAATGCAAGTGTCAGGTCAACTCGACTCTCTCGTCCTGTCGCAGCTGCTTCGCCGTCAGTGACAGTCGTTCGAACCCCGTCAGAGTCGCCCGAGGGCACAAGACGATCGATTTATCTTACTGTCAAGATGCCATCAAACAAGCTTCGTGAAGTAACTAGTCGTAGCTCACGGGACGGCGCAGCCACTAGGCGCTCACACAATGTCTTTACTGAGAATCCTATTATTACCGGCCCGCGGACTAGTCGGCCCAAGAAGAAACTCGTGGAAGTGAACACGAGCGATGAGGATGATCTTGAAGACCAGGAAGAAGATGAGATTGATGATGAAGATGCGCCGGCAGAAGATGACGACGATGAGGATGCTGATGCCGACGGCGATGTAGACATGGATGATGCCCCACCACAACCGCCAGTGCCCAAGAGGTATGCAAAAACCGCTGCGAGCGGTGGATCCAGGCCGGTAAAGAGTGTTGAAGCGAAAGAAATGGAACTCGACGAAGATGAAGATGACGACGAAGAAGAGCTCTCCGAACCAGATTCTGATGCCGAAGGCGAGCCCGATGATCAAGACGAGGGTGTGACCAGCAATGCTCTTGGCGGGGAGGACTTGGATGAAGAGGAGGAGGAAGATGACGAAGATCTCGACAGCGATGATGAAACACCTGCTGCTGGGGATCTCAGCAGATTGACCAAGCGACAGAGGGGCTCGTTGGGCAATGACTTTTTGCAACTTCCAATGGGTAAGCGACGATTCCCATGCGATTGGCTATTTCTTAGATATCACAGACCTGACCAGAAACAGAACCTCAAGTCAAAAAACATTTGACAGCCGAAGAGCGTGCTATGCGTCGCGCCGAGATGGCCCGTCGTCGAAAGAACCTGAGTGAAAAGCGGAATGAGGAAGAAAAGGTACGCCTCGAAAACGCTCCTGCGTTATATCTCTGGGTATGCTTTGGGGCCGCACTGACTGGATCATAGATGGATACTATTAATAGGCTACTACGGAAGCAGGCACCAAAACGGCGTGGCCGCATTCCTGCAGCGGAAGCAGCCGAGGCAGCCTCTGCCGATCATGAAATTGCCGAAGTCGAAAGAGTCGATCCGACTATGGTAAGATGGGTTAGTGGGCATCAAGGGAGCCGAGTTGGTGTGCCCCAGGAGTGGCTCGGCACTCCAGCAGGACGTATCTTTGGAGAAGGGCCCAGGAAACTCGTCGAGGAGCTATAAGCCTGACTGCCTAGTAGTTACCGCAGAAGTTGAGTACGGATTAATGGCGCTCTCAGGACTAGGCGTATTAGGATTGATACTTGTCACGGCAGGATTCTAGGTTATTATTTTGGGGAAAGGAGTATGTACATCTCTTCTAAGAACTATAAATGTCAGGCTAAGTGAGCTCCCCCGTCTATTTTAAAGCTTTAAACATCTTGCAGTAGGGAGAAAGCTCGCAGCTCCAGCCTCTTCTGCTCATCAAGCGAGTGCATTGGTCTCTGGGGCAGATTTTCCCGCACATAGATGTTGGACGGGAGCCAGCCCTTTCAGCACATGTAAGTGACTGCAGAGTCTGTCTGTCTGTCTGTCTTAGAACCTTCTTTCTTCCGGGACTGCCATTTTCCATTTTCCAACCTAGTAGACATCTACCTAAGCGCAAGGGTCTTCTTGTCTTCTTGAACAGACAGACAGGCCTTTTATGTCCTGTCTCCACCACCCGGAGAACCAGAACTAGGCGCAGGAGCTGAAACAGGCTGTTCTTCTTCCTGAGATTGTTGCGATTGCAACTTATCTTTAAGTTGATTCCTTTGGACAGTCAGTCAGTCAGTCAGTCAGCCAGCCAGTCAGTCAGTGGAGGATTTCCGGGGAGGCTAGGCTATGCGCCACTATCTAAATTTTTTTAAGCAACGTACTGTTGGCTCTTTGTATTCTCGGTTTGGAATTCTCGTAATGCAGGCTGGAAGGTGTAGTACCCTGTGATAGAGAAGGATTGATCAGCATCAGCATCAGTCCCAGTATGCATGCATGGATGGACAATGATGGCATTATTATAGGTAGGTGTTATATTATGTATCGCTAGCTGGTTTGCGCTGTTGGAGGGGGGGGAGGGGGGGGACTGACCCGTCGCAATGCCTACTCCGATAGCTAGAGTTGCAGGAATGAAATTTCGACTCATTGTGAAAAGATGATTTACGGAATGTTGTGTGTAAAGAGAGGAGAATTGGTTGAATCCGGGAAATGAAAGCAAAGGTAGATGGATGTCTTTTTCTCGGGAGGGACGGGACTGAATCGATCGCCAAATGAGAGCGCCATTGCTTGAAAATTGACTCCCGTCGCGTCTCCCCACATTATCGACGCGTCTAACAGACCAGACCAGACAACCACCCAACGGTCTGGATGAGAGCTTTGCGTCTAGCGAGATATTTGCTATTATATTCCTCGGAGTTGTCTGGCTATTTTCAGAGTGACGAGCTTTCTTTTCTTTTCTTTTCCTTTTTTCCCACGCTACAAATCACAGGGTGATGAATATCTAGGGAGATGGGCCACCAGGTCCGCCTCTGCAAATGGAATCATGGCGGGAACGAGGTTTTGTCCCGGACTCCGATGACGAGGAAGGATTCGATACTCAGGATACGAAGAAGAGTCAAGATTTCGATGGGATTTCCGGTACAATCCCCGAGCCCACGCAACATAGGACGCCTTCGTTTTTGGGCGACGCGGTAGAGATCGAGGGAAGGGATGGTACTCGACAGGACGATCATGCCCTGGTGGAACAGGGCCAGGATGAAGAAGCAGCTTCAGATGCTGATAATGTGACGATTTGTTCTCCGCGGGGTGGAGGGTTAGATCGGTTTTCGCAAGAGTTGCGGCACGAGGAAATCGCGGGACTTGATAACCTGGAGGAGGGGGGAAATCTTTTAGGTGAAGATACTCTTCCTTTGCACGACGACAATGTTGAGCCTGGACCCTCTGGGTATTTGCAAGAAGCTGCGGACGATGATTCTCCGTCAACGCCTCGGCCTAAAAAGCAGCGTGATATTTTCGATTTCCCCAGTTCTTCTCCTGATCTATTACAGCTTGATCATAGGCCTTGGAAGAAAACGGTTTTCTCCCCTGCTGACAAGATTGACGGTATACCGCATCTGCAGGGCGCACCCTTGGATGATTCTCCTCTCTCTTCTCCGCTGTCCTCGGTTCACTCCTCGGCCCTAGAACTAGATGGCCAGGAGCCTACGGAACAACAGGAGGAGGAGGAGGAGGAGGAGGAGGAGGAGGAGGAGAAGGAGCCACCTGAGCAGACACTGGAAGATCTACTACCCTCGCTCGACATCCCCGAGGATATTCTAGAGGAATTGGCACCACCAGGAACAAGAACGTTACGCCAACGCAACCCTATCCAACTGCATCCCTACATTCTTGAGGATGCACGATATCAAAGACTTATGAGGGCCCGGGGTCTCAAACCAGTACGTGCACCTCAATATCACCAGCCAGCCCTCCCCAGCGCCAACGGGGAAAGCCAAGATTTTCGTCAAGACGCAGGGTCCACATCTGACACCCAGATGACGGATTGCCAATTCCCTCCCTCATCTCCACTCGATTCCCGGAAATTAGCTGAGCTACAGCTGCCCTCAAGACCAACGGATGGTGGAAAATCACATAAATCCAAACAGCCTATTTCCCCCTCTGACCCTCCCCCAAACCATACCGGGCAACGTTCACCAAAGAGACGAAGGGTAATTGGTCCGCAAGATGATACTCTGCGTACAAATATTCCACGCCCTCAAGTTATGATTAATAACCTGCAGTCCCCTAAAGGGACAGGTTCGGCGTCTATTTTTGATATTCCCAGCCCACCACGCTCGGGAAGTGTGTCTTCTCAGAGTACGCAACAGTTTACTGGCTTTCGATTTCCACGTGGGTTTTCACCACCTGTCATTACGCCGAGCACAGAAACAAGAAAGGAAACAAAGGATATCAATGATGCCGATACGATAATGGATGACCGCGGGAGCGAAATTGACGAAGACGTGGCTGATACTAGATCAACTACTTCCCACACCCACTCGAATCCACACGTGGATGAAGAGGAGGAAAAAGATGAAGAGAAGAACGAGGGGGTGAATGATGAAGCAGAGGTTAAAAGATTGCAACGGAAAATAAAGGGAGTGCTGCCAGCTTCGTGGCTTCGATTAGACCAACAGAAGCAAAAAGATGAACGCCTTAAGGCAACGCAACGCAGTCGTGAGAGAATAGCAAGGTTGGAGGCGGAGAATGCCAAGGGCGTTGCCAGAAAGATCACCAAGAAACAGTATTCGTCAACGGAGCCGAGTGCGAGAGAACAGCCGTCATCCCTTAGATATTTAGTAGAAGACAGCAGCGAGGAAAGTGGGCACGAATCGAACAATGCTGATGATACTGGGTCACGCCAACTCCTAGCAGAGTTACTTGGGCTTGAAGATACAACCCTTGATCAAAGCCTGGACGGTGATATCCCCGAAGACAACCGCATTGATTACATGCTTCCGTCTATGTCCCGCAATCCTCCGCTTTCGCAAAGCAGAAAGCATCACAAGAAGAAGCGGAGATTGGAAACGAATAACGCTGGGTTCGATCATTACTCCAAGAAGCCTCGGCTTAAACTGCAGTCAAGACTTACTGATCCTATCTACGGAGCTCAAAAGACGAAGAAGCGGTCTTCTCGCAATCTCCCAAAATTGGGGATCTTGGATGCACCAGATGTGGTCTCACGGCCGCGGAGTGAGCAGCCTCAGTTCTTGAGAGTTGCTGCGAGGAAAGCTCGTTCTCGTCAGGATAGGGGAAGACAAAGCCCCACCCATAAAATCTTCAGGTTGGATTCAAAACGAGACACGGAGGATGCGAACGCTTCGTTGCGCGAATGGCGTACGGGACTATTGAAGCCGGCAGATTTACCCAGAACCCCTAGCCAAATGTCCCGGAGACAACCGTTAACGGATCTTTCTACAAACAAAGGAGATAAAAGAGATGCCCCTTATCAAACGGGGATGGGAACAAGCAAAAGTGGAGGGCATCAAATTCGACAGCCCGCTCAACCAAGCGAGACTAGCGCTTCTGCAAGGACTCCTTCAGCTTCAGCCGCTTCTTCAGACCCAACATCAAAAGCTCCTACTGCTTCAGCAAGGTCTGGGAGACCTCAAGTGGGAGACAATCCATGGGTCGTCCAGAGAAAATTTGCAGTGTCGTCCTTAAATCGAAACACCCCACGGCCTGCCATTCCAGAAATTGTGAGCCTAGCAAATACATCTGGATCGTCTTCTTCATCATTTCAGAAGTCACTTGCATTGTTAAACCGGGATTTTGGATCCCAGAAGTTCCCTAGAGCCCGGCCTAGCAATCTGGTTTTGGATCGATACCTTTCGGGGAGAGCTATTCCTGGCGGGTCTGAGAGGAACAACCTTGAACTGAACAAATCTAATGGTCATCAGCTAGAGTCCCGCTCTGAGCCGCCACGCCGCCAGTTAAAGAAGCGGCCTCCAAAGAGACTTGATGCCGGTGCAGCTGCAGACCAGGCGCCTTCTATGCTACTTACTCCAGACGTGGAATTTCCCGAGTCTTCAAAGCATAAATCTCCCAAGGACAACCAGTTCCAGCTAAGCAGGACAGCTATAGGACTAAATGGGTTCAAAACAACCTATCCTGTAGATTTTAGCATTAGTCCTTTGTACCCCGGGATATTTTTTCACGAGTCAACATTTATTGGCAGCGGAGAGTTCTCCCGTGCCCTGCATGTTACCAGTCGAGATCTTGACAAGAGCGCTAGCGTTTTCTATATCACAATTGGTGACCATAATCTTCGCTGGAGCCAATGGAATGATACGGTCTCATCTGAAATTGGCACGGTTTTCGAGCGAATCATGGGAGAAATTGAAGAGCCAGGTGGAAAGCCAGGGGAAGCCGCGCGAACGAGTGACGACTCGGCTTCAAACCTCTATCGATCATTGGTCAAATACGTTTCAGAATCGCTGGTTTTTGTTGACCCGGTTGATAGAACTGGGCTAGTTGCCAGAGCGAATGGCTTGATCTCCAAGCTAATTGACGACTTGTCCACTTTGGCTTCAACCACTGGGCATGATGTGGAGAAGCTTATCAGGACTGCTTCGTATAACACTGTGTTTTCTAATCAAATATCCCAGATCGCAAGCCATAGTCTTGTCACTTCCACTCTCCGCAATGAGGCGTTTGAACTGGTAAAGTCGGCATCCCGACAACTTATCGGCCTTCTTTCAAGCCCCACGGGGCAAATAGGAATCCAAAATTTTCTTACGGCCAGCAAGTCTCGCGAATGGCGCGATGCCGGAGTGAAAAGCGGTTACCCTTCTGTTGACGCTCACGTTATTGTCCAGCACTTATTACGCAGTGACGATAGATTTGTGGGGTGTTTTGAAGACTTTGTGACTGATGCTTATTCCCTAGTGGACGTTGGAAACCCAAATGAGAAGGACATCACCAGTCTTGAAATTGGATGGCAACGTGTTTTTACAGCTCTACCACTATATGAGATCGATAAGCTTGGAATGGCTCAGACTGGTTCTCGTTTCCGAGGAGGTAATGAGAACTGGAAAGCCGTGAAGCGCCTACTACGCCCGGCCTTGGAATGTTACGATGCTGTTTCCGACAAACAACCAGTTTCGTACTATAATTACTGCCGAGTTCTGTTCCACAGATGCTTTGTTCTCGTCAACGGCTGGGGCTGGCGCGATTGTAAACCTATTCTTGACACGCTCTATGACTTCTTTGCGAAGCGAACTCTCTACAATCTCAAGCACGAGGAGAGCTACAGATCTCCCGCCTTCCTGGACCAGCTCGATGGGAACCCATTCTTCGAAGTCCTGCCCGGTGATCCGTGCTTCCATATACTGCTAAAGATAATTGCCAGTGGGCTACGCTTTCTGTCTAAGATCTATGACAAGAAGAAGATTCGGAATTTTGCGTGGCGTCTATTACCGAACCATGGTCGTGTTTATCCCAAGGAACAGTCTATCCATCAAGATGATCTGGACGCACTGAGGAACCACCATGATCTACTTTGCACCGTGTACTCTTCTGTTCCAGATGGGTGTCGACCTAGGCTAGAGACAATCAAGAACCTCGTACATCCTGCTACCTCACACCGTGAAACTTGCAATATTAGTCTACGTTCCTGGACTAGACTTGTTAGATTCAAGTTATCAACTAAAGAGGATGTTGCCGGGCTGGAGCCGTTCGCAGAGTGGCATTGTTACTTTGTTACCGAGTTTCTGAAACAGCATAACCTTGCTCGAAAGGAAGTTGAGGCACAGAATTCCGCGGGCCAGCAGTTTCCCCAGCAGTTGATTGAAAGAACAATTGCTCAAAACCAACGCCAGATTGAGTCCTTGCTGAAGACTGCTCTTCAGGGTATGCAGAGTGCGATCAAGACTGCTCCCACCCTCGACCATGCTCAGAAGATCGTTTCCGAAGTGCCTATAACCCCGATATTGGGCCTGTTTAACCCGAAAGTTCCTCGTCTGGACGCTACAGTCTCTGAAGCGCTCCAGATGATAATGATGTACGTGCAAAAGTGTACCTCGCTATCTACGGGAATATCGATGGCGAAGATGGACAAAGCCCCAGCTACAGTGGATGATGACAGCCAAGAATATGGAGACTGGGCTGATATCGCCGCAGCAGCATACGGTGATGGATTTACTTCTGTATCCCCGGGGGTTGAACATGTGGAGAAGATATTCCACCCTGCAGTATCTCAACTGGTATCTAATTGTTTTGGTGAGGATCATTGTCCCGAGGATATGATTCTCTTGAGTGTTGTGAACTGCTGGACCTCTATTGCCCAGACCCTCGTGCAGCACGGATTACGTCGCTGGGACAGTTACCTCAGTCCTTATGATGGTCAATCCTGGGTATCACTTAGGTGGACAACGCAGACGAGAAAATTCACTTCTCAATTTCTTGCGAGTTGTATCGAGAAAGACAGCCAGTTTGCATCAGAGTGTAAGGTGCAGATTCTTGGCATGTGGTTGTCGAGTCTGGTGGAGAGAGTATCGATGCTTAAATATCAACACCGTTTAACCGAAGCACTCTTAAATCAAGATGCCACGGACCCTGTTCTTCAAAATCTTCCATTTTCACGAGATCCCCAAGACGGGCGCTATTCAATAACCCTAGAAGATATGAGCCAACGCCGTCTGTCTCTCATCTCGTCTCTTCTGTCAAACATGCGTGTGCATATCCAGGACTTGGACGACTCGGAAAGTCGAGAAGTCTCAAGCATTCGACAGGAGTATAGGGAGCTTATCCAGAAAATGATGTCGTCCATGAAATCCAACTACCAAGAATTGGGGAATGGAGCAGCTAGCGTTCAAGGAGCATATGTTGATTTTGTTCACCGGATTGTAGGATTTCTACAGCAACACACTAGGGATATCTGTCCTATTGATCCGTTCTTTACCGACCCGTCTTCATTCCCTCTACCGTCTGCCGATCCAACTTACATTGTTGCAAGATTGAAGAGCTACGAGCCAAAGCTTTCATCCGAGAAAGTCGCGAAAACACTAATCATTTTCGTCCAGGGCGTCTCTGAACGGGCTGCCTTGGATGGACAGCAATCTTATCTCGTCAGTCAACTACATGCATCCATGGCGGATACGTATGAGGCTGGAAATCCAGACCGACCTACTTTGAGAGCAATCCTCCTCCAGTCCGTGTTCCCCGCATACCTCGAAACGGCATTCAACAACCCGGCCGCCTGGGTTCTCAGCCGGCCGATTATCGAAACCATCTCTCTTCTCTTCAAGGACCTACTCTTCAACATGGACACCACAGACTCAAACTGTGTCGGCTCCGTGGGAAGCATCTTCCATTCGGTATTCGACTCATCGCATCAAGCAATGCAACTCATTACAGAAACCCCCGATATGCTCCAAGACCCTACCGTCCTCTTAACCACCACGACTTTCCTCAAAATGATCACGTGCGCGCTCCCCGCCATCGACTATCTAGACCGAGCCACAGACCTAGACGAAACACTCATCACCCAGCTCCGCAGATTCCAACAGTTCTCCATCTTCACCATCGCACACCTGAAAGATCAACCCCTGGTACACGCTCCTCCAGCCATACCAACACCCAATCCCACAACAACCACACCCCCAATCTTCACCAAAATGATCTGCACCTCCGCAACTCGTGAACTCCAAACCTACCTCAACGACAGCTGGTCCCGCCACCAGGGCAGATACTACTTCACTCGCCGTGGCGCACACCAACCGCAAGAAGTCGAGATCGAGCCCTCGATCGCTGCGAGGCTGGATGGGGATGGGGCTTGCTCGCCCGTGGAGCGGCTTCTCGATGCCGCGCAAGGGTTAATAGACACTATGGCTGTTTTGGACTTGTTTGGAGATTCTACATATGAGTATGGGTATGGGTATGGGTACGAGTATGGATCCCCATCTTATTAGACGGGATGATGATGATGATGCTTATCCTGTTTGGAATTCATCCATGTTTTCCTTGTGGGCTGCGGTTTAAAATGACAAAATGATGAATGTATATAATGATGCATTGTATGTTACGGATCGTATATCTGGTTTAATTGCTTGCTGCTTAGTACTTGAATGAATAAATGATTGATAGAATAAAGAGTCTAGAAAGAATTATAGTATATAGAAAAAGACCAGATAGAATAAATAGATAGATAGATAGTAATGTTATTTCACTAACTAATCAATAAACAAGACAAGACCCTGGTACTTATCGTTGGAGGAATAACAAAAAAAACAACACACCATCCATAGCTATGCGAGAGTGAGATAACGTGAGTATATGTGCTGGGTGTAGAACCCAGCTGGTTGCTTGGACCCATGAAATGAAGTTGAAAACAATACCATGGGGTGAGAGGGTTATGGGCAGGACAAGAAGAAAGCAAAGGAACGAGCTTGGTCCAAACCAAGAAAGAGGAAGAGGAAGGGAAAAGATACATACACACACACACAGAAGTAACCCTGTCATGTCATCATTTCATCCTGTTCGCCGTGCAAATCAATCATAATAAAGTACCTAACTACGTAGACTTATGTATGCTGCTATCTTGAACACGACAAAAGTTACCCTTTACCTGGCTGACTCTCTGCCCAAGAAATCAAAGGAAACTAAGCCAGGTCCTGACAAAAGATGAATCAATAGCGTCAAAGGCGTCAAAGCCACTCTGGATGGTCAAGTGGCAAAAGTCATAGAATCGTAAACGAACATTATTTATTTATGTTCAGCAGGGTCCGCATTGGTTGCGCCCATTGCAGCGAGATCCTCCGGACGGGGATGACTCTGGCTAGAGGAGCCACGTCTATGAAACGGATGTGGATGGAACCCTGAGAAATGCAGGACTTTGCGGACTGTGCTTGCGATTCCTGATTTCCTTTTCGATTCCGGGGAGGAGGGGGGTTTGTCTGCGGTAGAAGGGATGGCAGGGGTATCGGGGTGTTTTGTGGTGCGGACCATTGAGTCGTCGGGGAGAACGATGGAAGTTGGTTTAGGGGGCCATTGGCCGTCTGCTTTCCAGCCTTGGACCATGGCTTGGGTCATATCGGCGAGGTTGATGGGGACAGTCGGGGTGAGGCCTTGGATAACGACTTTGGAGTAGATAGACGGGTACATAGCCGGAGTGATGGAGGCACGGATGGGGTTGGAGGTTGAGATTAGAGATGGTACGACGGGAATGAGAGGGTCTTCGAAGTCTTCGAGCGGTGAGATTGGAGGTGTCGGGGCGGCGTTTGCAGAGCTTGGAGTTGGTATAGTTGTTGAGGTAGTAGGTGTCGTGGTAGGAGTGGAGGCAGGGATAGCGGCGGATGGGGAGGCCATCTTTGGTGTTGCGTCTGGTTCTGTGGTTGCGGTTTCGGTAGATGCTTTGCGTTTGCTCTCTTCGATGGCTTGGTCCACGGTAGACTGGCCCTCCCCGTCGTGATCCTGATGCGACGCATTGGCTCCGTTCTCTTCCTTCTCGGCGATCTTCAAAGCGTTCTCCATTCTGGATACAAGGTTGGACGGTTCTCCCGGGCCTGGACCGGGGATGGGTTGAGACGCATCCGAAGCAATATCTGTGTCGGCAGTAGGAGTCTCCAGCTCGCTGGAGCTTGTAGGGTCCGACTGGTCTTTCTGCTCCAGCGCTCTGGTTTGTTCTCTCGATCGAGCGCCAGACCATGCATCTCGCCTCTCTACCCATGTGCGTAGTCCTTCATTCCAGCTCATTTCCTCCTCCATCTGCCTGCGGCGTTTGCGCCGTCGTTCTGTTCGACGTGCCTCCGAGGAGGAGGACGATGCTGTAAGAGGGCTGGGGAGACGGCCGTAAGGAACTGGGCCCACTGTGGGCGATAACTGGGGCTCCAGCTCGGATCCAGAGCTATCGTACTCGCGAAGTCGCCATTCTAAAACGTCCGTGGGGTCTGGGCTTGCAGGGTAGGTGGGTGGAGGGGCACCGGGTTTGGTCGAAAACTCAAAGGACCAGTCGTTGCGGACAGTATCACGGACATATCGCTTTGCCTCCCGGATAGCCTCATCGCGGGAGTCGGTAGACATGGTGAGAGAGGCTGTGGGAGTGGTAGAGGGAAAGGTCGGGTGAGGAAAAGGAAGAGGAAGAAGAAGGAAGAGAGAGATGAGGATGGGAATGTGAGGGGTTGATCGCGTGAGGAGAAAAAAAAGCGGGATGGAAAAAGAGGAACAGAGAGGGTCCAAGAGGGTGACTTTACCTCGACACTCTTTTTCCTGATGAATTCGTCCGTCTGCTAATGAAATCTTGGACAATTCTGCTTCATATTAAGAGATACTAGTCAGGAAAAGTTGATGGGATGGTACGATGGGGGAGGAGGTACATAATCTAATTCAAAAAAAAAGGCGGCAGGATCGTCGATGTCATTAGGGGGAAAAAAAATTCTGCCTTGACTGAATTGGCTGCGGTCTTCTGGTCCTACAGAGCTCACCATTACTGGGATTATCATTGTTCAAATAATATATACTTCGTTTTGATCTAACTGTTGGTACATCTCGGATCGTCGCTAATAAGGGGGAAGAACAAAAAATATCGGTGGTGGTACAGAGGTCATCGCACGATACAAAAACCCCAAGTCTCCCGGCATAACCCAGTCTAACACTCTATTTGGAGGGAAATATCGCGCTATCAAACATCATTCTCTGAAATGGAAAGCAGTCAGTCAGTCTCAGGTTCGCACACGAGCTGCGTCTGGTCCGGCTTCGTTCATGCCAGGAGTCGTAAATCCCCATCCAGGGCTCTTTTTGCGTCGGCCTTTGCGGTCTCCGTACTGCTCGTCAAACTTGCGGATTGCGGAGAGAGACGACATGTCTTCGCTGATGGAGGCGCTAATTTCTTCCATTCCCCGGGTGAAGTGTTGCCAGGTCAGGGTGCGTCGCGTGGGATACTGGTATGCGCCGTCCCTCATATCATGTTGTGCCGCCAATGCGTTTTCCTCCCGAACGCAGGCCAAGGCGGCTGCAACACACATGTTCTTCAGATCTGAACCGGAATACAAAGGTGTACGGCGCGCTAATTCTGCAAGGTCTACTGAGCCATCCAAGGTTTCATCTTTCAAATGAATCTTGAGGATGGCCAAACGGTCTTGCTCGGTGGGGAGGTCAACAAGTAATCGCCTAGGAAGACGACGAAGCACCGCGTCGTCTAGGTCAAAAGGCCGGTTGGTCGCAACCATGATAAACGTAGAAAGGTTATTCATTCCGTCCCATTCTCGGAGGAATTGATTGATCAGCTCGCGATGGGACGTGCGACTGCTGGCTCCGGTACGGGAGCAAAAGATAGCGTCCGCTTCATCAATAAAGACGACGCAGGGGTTTAGCTTCTGGGCCAAGGTAAAAATTGCCTTGACGTTCTTCTCCCCCTCCCCAACATACATATCATAGACTTCAGACCCACTAACTTCGAGGACGGTAGCACCACTCTCACGAGCTACCGCCTTGGCAAGCAGGGTCTTACCAGTACCGGGAGGTCCGTAAAGAAGCAGGCCAGGGATTTTGTCGGTGGCTAGAACACCATATGTAAAAGCTTCGGGTCGAATGAGGGAAAGAGAAGTAAGAGTCTTCAGTGCGTCAATGGTCTCTGGAGGGACGTGAACGTCCGCGAACGTAGTGCGAATACTGTTGGCATCAACAACGCCGTTTAGCAATTTCTTTTCATGTGCATTGCAGGTTTTGCGGAGAGACGCAAGGAGCCGCTCTCTGTTATTCTCCGTTTCTATGGGCTTCGCTTTGGGGGTCCGCTCCTGCAACCACTCCTTCCGTGCAAAGTCTGTTTTTTGCATCATCTCAATTCCTCGCTTAATATGCTCGAAACCAAAGGACTCATCTGTATGGAGATTCCCAAGAGCAAGGGTCACTGCCCAATGAACTTGGCTATAGGACCAATACCGTTCATCAAGACCAGACTCCTTTAAGAGAGAGGACTCTAGGGGCCAGGAACGGTTCTGAAGAATATCATCCTTCACTGCCGAAGAGCTTTCATCAAGTCTTGTCCGGAGCATGCTCTGGATATGGCGGATGTTGATATCTAGTGTGCGCCTCCCTCGGTCTTCGGCAAATGTCTTGTCCGCAATCTCGGAGTTCATTGCGGGTGTCACAACAACCATCTGAGAAAACTGATCGTCAAATGCATTTTGTAATAACCTTGAGGAATCCGTATCTGGAGAGATATCTTGGGCCGACGTTCCGATGAACAAGACCCGGTTTCCAGCCTTTCTCCGGTCCTGAATGACTTTTTGCAGCAAATTAATGAACTTGGAGCCTTCGCGCGTGCTCTGAATCTCCCCGTAGTCCTGAACTTGCACAATAACATCACGAACCTGTTCAGGCCGAGAGCCTTCGGGGCTATCAGAAGTTGGTTCTTGGTCGGCGGGGACAGTTGTGGTCGTTTGCGGTTGGGGCTTGCTGGGCGACGAAATGAGCTCATGCATGAGCTGCAGTCGCCGTTCCTCTACCCTGTCGAAGGAAGCTTGCGAGGATCCAGCATTGAGTGAATTATCGCCTGGGACATTGATTGCCGCTACTAATGACTTGAGACCGAACAAGTTTGGAATGGGAATATCCCCAGAATCCCGAGAACTTTCAATGGTAATAAACTTTGGACTCCTGATGCCAGAACGAACGGCCCGTGGTGGCCCCGACGTATCAATAAGGTCTGCGTCTGCGTCGTCTTCCTCATTCATGCCGTCCCCCGACTCTTGCCAGGACTCCGATACTGAGGGTCGGTACACCTCGTAGCCTAGTAACCGAATGGGAGAGGATCTACCAGTATCCGCCAAATCTTGTTCAACGCAGAGTTGGGCAATATCCTGAGCGTTGAGAGTCACCAGATCAGCACCGAGATCCTGGGCAAGTCTCTTTATTACCGCATCCAAGAACAGGATGCCATCAGTTCCAGGATATTGCAGGACAAGATGCGACTTGCGTGCAGAGGGCTCCGTAGCATATTTTGCAGGAGGGAGCCGTAGACCGGCCCTAGCAGAGGCGCGCAGCTCCTCCCATAAAGCTTCCCTCAACGCGTACCGATTCTCTGGTTGGGTATTCTCATCAGATGCAGGCGGCTCCTCTCCACTACCACCCGAGGCAAGTCCCTCAGCTGTTGGTTGATCTGTGTCCCGCGCGGCCGTGCAGATATCCACTTGCTGTTGCGACTCTACCGCAACCTGGCCGTCCGAATCATTGAGCACAGTATTGCGCTCACGAAACCACTCCGGGACTGTGACTGTGGGAGAAACGGTATCCCTAGAGCGCCTTTTGTTTCTGAGTGCCCTGCGAACCCCTGAGCCATAGGGGTTGGATTCCTTTTTCGTAGATCGATCCGCTGGGGTCTCGACGAAGGGAGAGTTGTGTTCGGGGAGGGCCTGCTCGCCATTGAGGGCGGAAATATCGCTGCTGGTATTTTCGGGGGCCGAATCTCGGGAATCGTGAGGGTCAGAGGGTATCGAGGACAAGTACCCCTGGGAGAGATGAAAGCGACGTAAAGGGGATACGGTGACGGCGGGATATCGGCGACGCGCGACAAATCGGCAGGGTCTAGACCAAAGCAGTCTGCCCTGCTGCATTGGCGAGTACATCCGGGGCATATGATGCCACCGGAATCAGGGTATAGTAAGACTGCTGATGTTGCAGCAACGAGATGTCCGCCTTAATCGGGTTGGTTGTGAGGTGAAGGACCTTTTTTCTGATGTTCACCATAGATGCTTGATGGAGATCTTGTCCAAACAACCTTTTTTTTCTTAGTCAGCTTTGTCCTGCATTGCTTAGTCATTATGCCATTTATACTCACAAACACATTTCATAAAAAGGCCCACGCTCTCAATTCCCAAGCCTCCAATACTGCAACGCATGGTGCACACTAACTAGCTAATCAAACGACGATATTTGATGTTACTTTGCTCTATCTCCTCTACTTCCCTTTGGCTTTGGGGATAGCGTTGCCCTCTCGCGGCTTTTGCGGGTTGTCCCTGCCAGCCCAACATATAACCCTAACCTCTCCGTACAAGTAGCCACAACTCTGATGCAAGGTAGCTAGCTGATAAGTCTACCCCGAGCCGTTCTCATCTTGATCTCGTATCTTGTGCTGGGATATTTTCATTCTCTTCATTATAAATGATTTATCTGGAAGCAATAAGGTGGGAGCAGCGTGGCTTTAGAATTATGGGGTAAATTTCAGCACTAAGAAAATTACATAGTAGCCAATAGTTAATGCTGCTCAAGCTTTGAAAGCCTTGTTCTTCAGCAAATATAATTCTAAGTATGATTGGTCTCATGATTCTCCTCCATCATCTATGATACCTAGAAAGGATCGAGTCAACTTTGCCTACTTTCTGAGCCAGGTTTAGTAAAAAGCTTCCGAACATTTGCGACGACATACTGCTACAGTTCCGTTCTCGGCGTAACCGCACTCTTGGGATATAATTGCCTGTATCTTGAGTATTACATAGTCCCCCCAAAGGAAATTGAAATACACTGGCCGGGGAAGGGGTTTCTTGAAACTATATAAAAATATGGAGAGTTAGACCTGAAGTTAAAGACTAGATATAGCTGGAGAGTAGATACTGGCTATAATAATGTATTGAATTATACATAGCTTTGCTAGGTTTATTTGGTTGTGAGAATCCTACGGAAAATTTGGCTGTTAGAACCCAAGTCCAGCTATAGAGTATATACCATAAAGTATATGTCTCTAGAGATATTTTATCATATAAAAGTAGATCTGGTTTCTTCTAATACTATAAAGTAATTCATTCATTCTGCCTCTAGATCTTGAATTGCTATCAATCTCTTCATACTTCAATAACAGAAATGTTTCAAATGTACCCAATAAGGGCAGTAGGTGATACAGAAGATATTTTCACGTCCAGTATGTTCCTCTTCTATATTCATCATAATCTAAGAAAACCTAGCAAACTATTACATCTATTCATGGACATCGCCATTCACACCCCACCGGGTAAACAGGATGAAGCATTGACAACGGCATTACTCGTACTTATCATACAATTAAAGAAGTTCATTAGATCGCTGATCCTCCAAGAGCAGGTACTCACCGTAGTCCTGGTTTAACTAGATGCAATACCTATTAAATGTTATTTCAAGCCATTAAATAGATATTTAAAGTCAATAGAATGCTGACTTCTGCCAGTATCGTTCGACAACACAGACCTTCCAAGGCCTTGGGCTTGAAATTTGGAGGGAGTCATCTAATGCTAGTGAAATGCAGAGCATGTGAGGACAGCGTGAGTTACAGGTAGAAATGCGACCATTTCTCGCCTTAGTCGCGGTCATTTTCAGCGTCTAGGGCATGTACTGTAGTCCATATAAAATGACACTTTTTATGCCTTCAAACGCTCTGCAGAAACCAAGATTAAGGAGCAGCTAATAGATGATTCAGACTCATGTATATGGAGTAGTAAGTACTGTAATTCTCCTTTAATTTTAAATAATGGAGGGCTGAAAAGTATTAGGCAACTGCCGAACTATTCCGTGCTTCCTAAATACCCTAACTAGGACGTCATATTGATTGGACAAGAGTACATAAGTTGATAATGTTTAAGCCTATCTTGACCTGGGAAATACTTGTCATGCCACCTGCATAATAGGATTAAATATGAATATTTCACAGGAATTAATAGGAAAACAATGACGGCCTCAGGACTTAATATATTACGAGTCATGAACAACCTATACGGGAAGGAACAAAGTATTTGCGATGGTCTGGAAGAAAATGTGTGCGGTTCACAAGACAAGACCAACGGGTCCAATGTCTGAGGTTGAAACAGCTATTCCAGAGCAATATTATGGCCGGGAACTTGTTAGCCATACCAAGGAGATGAAGGATGTTCATCCTGCCCCATATCTCTAGTTCTTATAAGTCTTTACTTGAAAGTTATCCGTCAAAATCCTTGTTTCATCAACTCAAGTATAGCATATGACCTCCACTTGGCCATGAACTTCTTCGAACTACTCCGTCCGTATACTCCGCTAGATTCCTTAGGGGACTGACAGGTTGTAACATAATATAACGCCTCAACTACTTTCTGCTCTATAAACGGCTACTAATTCATTAATTCACGTATTTCGCCTCGGACCCGTCACAGGCCTACCGAGTACGAGTATTATCCCATATAAAATACCCCTTTTTTTTTATATCACTCTACGAACGCAACCAATATCGGTAACTATGAACTATGTAACTCCTAAAACGAAGCATACAGATGATAGTACTACGAAGTAGTGCGTTTTAATATGGAGATATGTCTCCAGTACTAGATATTTATGATAGCTACCAGCGGAAACTTTGGACTGTTATAGCCTACGAACTTTTTTCTAAAATAATGTTCAGGCCTATCTAGAGTAAATATATATGCCCTACTAGATATAACTATAGTTCCCAAAGCTTTGTTAATGTTGAATCAGGGTCTTCAAATGCTTGTTTTATCGGGGATGCATGTTGTGGAGGCTTCCAGGTGGACGGTCAAATATCTATATTCAGTCTTGGAATTAATTAAGGCATACACACATACTCCACAACACCCAGGTCTAACGGAAAAAAAAAAAGGCTTAGAGAACCTGCAGACTTAAATGGAAACATGGCTAACTTCAGCCATTGCCCCTACATCCCAAAGGGAAACCCTCCGCAGAGCCCACCCTGTAGAGTATTTAAGTCCAAAGACTGGCACTTTGACTTGGCCATTCTTTTTCTTCTCACCAAAACATCGCTCATTAGAGAGACCGGGTCTCATTTTCTCTTCGTTCGTTCCTTCACTCGCTGTATTCATTCATTTACTCTGAACTTGTTTCTTTTTTCTTTTTTTTGCTTTCTACTACTTATTCAATTTTCTCAATTGTACAATTCTACCGATTAACCAACAAAATGCATTACACTTACACCCTCCTCCCATTGACAGCTGCGCTGGCCGCAACTGTTAGTGGCAGCACGACGCCTGAGTCCGACACCTGGTACTTTGGCGACACTTTTTTCTACCTTGGCCCCCCCACCAACGCCAACATCATCAAGGCAACCTATACCATTACCCCACCTAGCGTTCCCACAGGCTACTACGTGGATAACGCAGACGATGAAGTGTGGGTGTCTGTCTGGGTGGGCGCTTCGTCCTCAGATGGATCCTTGAGTGCCGATTTGTATCAGCCGTTGTTCAACTGGTCTCCCAACCAGGAATCTCAGTATGTTTGCCCCTTTGACTATGAGAGAACCGAGGAGAAGAGAAGGGAGCAGGGGAAAGACGGGATTGCTAATATGTCTGGTTGTGCCATAGGGGATGCAGCGCTAGTGCTGACGAGTGGTGTGTCGCTGCAAGCACCTATACTCCTTGTTAGTATTTTGATATCTTTTTTTTTTTTTATGGATGCGGATGAAAGCACCTAACTAACGGGACATTCTTCTTATCCTAGCTGGTCAAACCGGCCTGAACTACGTCATTGTTCCAAAGGGATCGTCGGTGGACTTTGAGAGTAGGTCCATGACTCGTCCCAAGTTGAGAGATTTCCGAGCTAATCAAATACTGTATAGTGGTCGTCGAGGATAAGAAGGTCATCCAAAAGGTTCTCATTGGTGGTGAAGTGGTTTCGCAGGAGAGCGATGGTGAGCAACGATCCCATTTCCATTCAAGTCGAGAGGACCACGAATCAGTGGGGAAAGGGAGAATTACCCTTTACTGACCACTATTCTTTATGAAGACCTCGACAGCGGCCTCCAGTACTTGTACTCTAGCAACGAATGCTACACTGGCTCCGGCAGCTGCGGAACCGTCAATGGCTATAGTAAGCATTCCTTCCCTTTTAACCCCCCCGCCTTCGAAAAGACAACCAAAGAGTGAATATGTCGCTTATCATGTGCACCGCCAGCAATCTCCAACATCACTGTCACCCTGGATAAGGCCGATAAGAACTTCGGGGAATCCATGTGGCTGTACGAAGTTGAAGGGTCCGAATTTGCTAGCTCTGATGACGGAATCACCTGGCATATGGAGTATGTGAAGACCGAAAGCACTGTCTTTGCCGATATGACACCCTCCTACTAGCGCCCACGCTCTCTCTCACCTTGGGCACCCGCCCACAAATATCGAGGGGACACTGGAGGGATTTGGAGATTTTAAATTGCAGCATCGGGCGTAGACGATAGTGCATCGGGAAGTGTTGTCGAATGCTTATGTATCACTAGAGTCCACGTTAACTAGCTAGTTAACTATAGCTAGCTGAAAACCACTTTCCGCAGATGGACTGCTATCTAAAACAAATGGCCTTCCCCCCCCCCCGCGTGTAAATCAAACTCCGCCAACCCACTAGCTAGGTTTTGTTTAACTTTGGCTATAACTTGGATGGTACAATCAAATGGGAGCAAATGCAGATCCTCCACTTTACAGAGAGAATAGATATACCTGATTAACATCACGCCAGTAGTTAGAACAAAAATCGAACCAAGTTGATCGACCTTGCTGTATAACAGTAACTGCATCCTTAAACAAACATAGGTATGTATAGTTAGTGAGGGTTCATATGACATACCTATATAGATGACGCATGCATGAGCTTGCAGGGATGGCACAGATATAGTTATGCAGACTTCCGCTTATGTATGATATGATGACTGCAAGTACCTTATCTCAACCTTGACATCCTCAAGTCCTCTTCAGGTATATCTGTAGCTCTTTTGATCCGTTCAGGCATCTCGCAGATAACACTGTCTTATCTTCAGACTTCCAGACATCCATGAATAATCATGAGCAAAAATATCATTGGAGTTCGCGTCGTACATTGGCTTTCTTTCCACTCGTCAAATGTACGGGAATAGACGGCTGAACGCTAAGGATGCCTGTTCTTGTCAAATTCTATGTGTAAAGATACCCCACTGGCTCATAGTTAGGTACTTTGCACCATGGTTGCTAGTCGTCCGTATCCATTGAGGCAAAAGTGGATATTGTGGCAACTTGGAAAAAAAAAAAAAAAAAGTAGAGATGGCAATCAACAGCGATTAGTTTAGGTTGTAGTTAGTTAGTTAGTTAGTTACCGTTGGTTACCAATCACTGCCTCGTATCTTCTAGATTCCTCTGTTAATTCCCCCCCCCCGCGCCTTACGACGTAAGGAGCCAACCGGCCACCATGATGTGAAGGTTCTAATTTAAGACGATTCAATGTTCCAGGCTGCAGGATACAAGAAAGCTGGCCAGATAACGATTTCACAATTTCACCGGGGATTTTCTTTTTGCCTTTCGATTTCACAAACTGTCAATATGAGTTCGACAACCGCAACCCAGGTGCAAACCATCCCCCTTCGGAATACCCATCACGAAGCCAGTGACTCTCCGGCTGGCTTGAGTGCTTGTGGTACCGGTGGTTATGAAGTTCCAGGAATCCCCAAGTTCGATGATCCGTATAAAAAGCGACAATGGCAGTTAGAGCATATGGCCGGGGCCTTTCGAGTTTTTGCACGGAAGGGGTTCACTGAAGGAACAGCCGGCCACATCAGTGTTCGTGATCCAGTTGATCCTTCAACCTTTTGGATCAACCCGTAAGTCCATCCGCACTGATTTATCCTTATATATATATATATATATATATATATGGAGAGATGGGCAACTCACTGACATTCTCCAGTCTTGGAAAGCACTTTGGAATGCTGAAAGCGAGCGATATGGTCCACGTCAACGAAGAGGGCCAAGTCATCGGTGGCAACAAAGTCGCGGTCAACACTGCCGGCTTCATGATTCACAGTGCAATCCACAAGGCTCGACCCGACATCAACGCGGCCTGCCATGCTCACTCCCCCGCGGGCAAGGCCTGGTCCACATTCGGAAAACCCGTCGACATCATAAACCAGGATAGCTGCACGTTCTTTGGCATCCAACGCGTGTATAAATCCTTTGGCGGCGTCGTGCTTGAAGCCGAGGAGGGCGAGCGACTTGCGGAAGCACTGGGCAAGGAGGGTCGCGTTGCCATTCTGCAAAACCACGGGCTTCTGACTGCTGGTGGTACGGTCGACGAGGCCGCGTATCTGTTTACCTCGCTGGAGCGAACATGCGAGGTCCAGCTTTTGGTCGACGCGGCCAACCACCCCAAGAATATCATCGGAGATAAGGAGGCGGAGTATACGGCCAGAGTGAATGCCGATCCGGTAAGCATGCCCAAAAGTATGTATGTGTGTTGACGAGACCAAGAGGCTAATGGGAGATAGGAAACTCTTTACTTTGAGTTCCAGGGGGATCTTGAATACGAGATCTGGAAGTCTGGCGGAGAGCTAAGCAAGGGAGAGTGAGCGGGTTGGTGTATGTTTAGTTGGAAATTGCTGAGTCGAATGAGGATTATGATTTAAATGTTTTGGTATAGTATTTGACAATTGGATTTATTTTCATGGCTTCATTATTTCATTATTTCAATATCTGTATTTTCCTTGGGTGATACATGTAAAAGCTTTTCTAGCAAGATGTTTTGTCTACTCCCAGCAGCTTTTGAGACAGTTGACTCAAAAAGAGAGAAGGGAACGATAATTACCTACCTAATCATATTACTATACTATACACTACTAACCTATTAACTAATCCTTTCGGAGACAAATATCGGGTGAAAATGTCATTTATTGTGTGGATGTTTGCAAACTGATACTAGATATTTCTTGCAGAGCAACGGGTCTGCCCGTTTCAAACCCGCCCCAACCAAACTGCCCACATGACATGACAAGCTAATCGCATCAAAAAAGAGACGGAAACAATTATGAATTAGAGTTGTCCGCACACGACCACGCGGCCGATCCTCCGGATGTTCGGTAGGAGTTCAAAATATCGACGATCGCGCCGTACGTCCCGGCAACCATCAGGAACATGCCAGAGACAACGACGAAGATACTCCAAGCAACCCCAAGTTTCCATTTCCAGGTGCGTTCTTCCTTGCTTACTTTCCAGTTATCGTAGAGCCACATGCAGCCCGTCGACTGGAAGGTTAGCAGTGTGCCGAGCAGAGCGCCGATCAAGGCAACGAGGGTGCTGAAGACCGGGATTCCGCTTGCGATGACATATGCGCAGATGGTGACTGTGAACGTGGATCCAAACCAGGTAACCCAGTGGATGGGGGTTCGGGTGGTGAGGTGGTTGGAGCCTCGCAAGATGCGGATGAAGATATGTTTGGCAGAAAGCTATAATAATAAGGCTTGGATTAATATCAAATCTCGACAGGAGTAGGGAGGGAGAACAGGAACTCACATGAAGAAAGAGAACTGCCGAGACGAGGAGTCCTGGCAGGGCTATACCGTAGGCTGCCTTCTTGATTTTGGGACCAGCTGAGCCTAGGGCAGGGGAACTAACATACGACCCGCAGTAATAGTATACCACCACTCCAATGACAATGTAGATGGTCGTCACCGTGCTTTGGCAAATATAAAGCGCTCTTGTGTAAAGCCGCGGATCTCTCATTTCGGCGACGATACTGAAGAAGGCGGGCGCGCCAGAGTACGTAAAGACAAGGGTAGATACTGCTGAGATTGCCTCTGCGAAGGTGGGATTGTTGAAGAGTTTGTAATCGGATACCGGAATAATGCCCTCAGCCGTCATGGGGGCGTGGCCCTGGACGCCTACTCCTATTGTGACTACAAAAACTGTACCATGCGATGTCAGAAATAGTGACTTCTCCAAGAAAAAAAAAAAAAAAAAAAAAGGTGGAACATGCTTACCAGAGACAATAATACAAAAGGCCCCAATCCAAGCCAGCCAACTGATGCGTCCAAGTGTTTGGATACTGGAGAACATAAAGCCAGCAATTGCCGATACCGCGACAAAGACAGCCGTACAGACTGCGTGGGTGGAAAGCGCATTCAACGCAATCGATATACTAAGAATCGCCGATCCCGACACAAATACGTACACTTGACATGGTTAGCAGGGGGGGGGGGGGGGGGGTTCGGAGTCTGGACTCAAGGGGTGGTGTAAACTCACAAAGACAGAAAGAAGCGCCAAAAAGCTCATATCCCATCCGACCAAAGAGCATGTAACCAACATCATCAACCCCGTATACATGGGTATGGCGTAGTTTGAAAACCCCAACCATCCAGTCAGCCCAGGTCGTAATAGCGGCAATTACTAGAATCAAGATGACTCCAGGGATTATACCCAGGACGTTGAAGATTGCAGGCATCGAGAGAACACCCAGACCGATCTGGGTCTTCATCATGAGGGCTGTTGTTCCTATCCAGCCGACCTGGGTTCACGTCAGTAGGCGTTACATCAAGGGATCCAGGGATCCAGGGAGGGCTCGTACATCTCGGAAGTTAGGGCCATCCTCTGTAATTTGACCAAAGACGGCATCGTGTTCAATAACTTTCTCTGCAATGACCTGGTCGTCGACATCCTGCGTGGGTGCAATGCCCTCAGGGTCCAGTCCAGCCTTTGATTTTGACATTATGTAATAGCGTCGGGAAATTTTTCAAAAAAAAAAAAGAAACCAAAAAATTTCCAGAAGTGATGGAAGTGATCAAGCGTGGATTCGGACAGAAACTTTTATATGGAATGGAACAGCTGGGGTTCAGGCGCGGGCGCCGGTTGAACTAGAACTTGGGGTTAGGCCTCGTGGATCCGGGTCCATCCGGAGATTCGGGTTGACCCAATCGGATCCTAATCGGATCCCGGCTGATAAGCGATTTCTCTCGAGAAATTCATGGCGGTCGAATCGATCATCGTGGAGATAAGCTAGTTTATCTTGAGAACCTTAAAGACGCGGCTGATTTGATACACCTAAGATATGCGACGCCTTTCTACCTTTCTGCCTTTATTTTCCTTAGGAGGAACAATGATGTATGTTCTGCCAGTTTCCCTTTTCCCTCGTCTTCGTCGCTTCCCCTGTCAGATTCAGGGCCATCATACTAACACTACCCTGATTCCCGCAGGTGCATAAGAGACAATCCAGGCGCATCCTTACCCGTATGCGGCAATGCGGGGAAATACTGGGGTAATTAATATTGGGTAATACATACACTCATCAAAAGTCTCCACTGCCGGGAGGTTAGATTTGAGTTTGGTGCTGATCTCAGATAAGCAAGAGGCAATCAAGAGCGAACCAATGAAATCTCCGGCATGACTCATACATTACCCTGTACGGAGTACCGAGGTTGGTTGGTTTTGCCGCTCTGGCCTAAATAGATTCGAAGTTCTTACTAGATTGCTAAGCGTAATGATTAATAGTTAACTAACTATTCTCCGTGATAACTACTGTATCTCACCAGGGGCAACGTAGTCTAACTAACGTGGGAAAGAAAAATCATATAGCTGCTGGATTAAAGGTAACTAACTCATATAAAATTTAAAGTTATATTTACATCCTAGTAATATCAAAGTTTAAATATACCCCCCTAATCTGAATACGATAAGGATCTATCAGTAGTTAGTTATAAGATGCTATTTTCATTAATCATCCGATTTTGAACACCAACTAACTAATCTACACGGGCTGGGGAATTACCTGGGGAGATAAGATAGGTAAAGAATACCAGGCAGCCTGGATATCGTGGCCGCAGCAGCCACTTGTAAGATTCTACTTGTCGGGTAGATATCAGAATAGACACGTGTATGAGATACAATAAGACTAATCCTTGCCCATCTGGCAAGGGGTTCTCTTCATCCTGGAGGGTCATGATATCATCGACCATATCAACGGGTAATCGATGGCATCAACACGATATTAATCTTTAATCGACTTAAGGTTTCTCTGGCATCATAACGGGGATTCGTTACTTTAGGTGCTGGAGCATGGGTAATTACTTAAAAAAAATTAGTAGATATACTACTAGTCTATTTACTATTCATTCATCTCTCGTACTTCAGGTTCGGAATAGCTTGGAGTAATTCTTGATTGCGTTGAAGCGAACCCTAGTTATTCCATCATCAAATCAAAAGACAGTTCGGGTTTTAATAAAGATGACTGACAATATGATTTTTCTTTTTTCTTTTTATCTGGTAGAGAAATCTTATCCAGCTTACGAACATACATTTACCGTAGGCCCGGTTGTCATTTAATTCCCCCAGTGCTTGTACAAAAGGCTGTGTAGATTGGGGTATTCGGTGTGCCTCCTTCGTTTCACGCAGGCCTCGAATTGTATAGCTCGATCGCGACTTCTGCTTCATATCTCCTATTAATATATCCATGTCCATCCAATATTTACATGACGATTTAGTGTTGATACATATTACAATCGTGCTTTCGACACCGCGTCCCATGGACAACTCCTGGAAACCTCGTCAAACAGCTTGACAACTTGCTCAGCACAGCCATACGAGCCCAGGTAGCCCCATGAGTCATGACCGTAGTTGTGAATGACCCATGTATCTTGTCTCAACTGCTCTTTCTCAATTCTCACTCCGCCGTGTCTGAACGGACGAAGCCCGACGCCATGTCTGATGATCCGCATCCCCTTCAAGCCCTTCCCGTCTGCAACCTCGGGGCAGACATCCACGATGCGCTGCAGGATTCGCGTCGCGATGTTAGGATCTGGAGTTGGGTTCCAGTTACCAAGTTCGTATGTTCCTCCAAGGATGGTTCCGCCGCCAACGGCGCGTTGCATCATATATGTCTCTTCGGTGGGGCCGTCATTCGTGCCGGAAAACATCATCATCGCGGGGATTGTGTTTTCAACGATCACCGTCTGTCCACGGGCGGGAAGCATTTTTTCGTCCTTCACTCCACCAAGACTTCGGGAGCCGAGACCGGATGCGTTGATTATGATTTTGGCTGGCTTTCCCGTGTGACTCATGTTCCGTGCTTGCTCAATGTTGGACAGGCGGGCCCGCTGGAATGTCACGCCATTCTTCACACATTGCCCCAATAGCCAAGGGAGGTAAATCGCGGTGTTGATGCAAACAGTGGTAAATTGGCAGCCGGCATCGTACCCAGGGGCGAGCTCGGACTTGGTGAGGTCTCGAAAGTCGTCAAAAAGCTCTTTGAACCAGGGATTCTCTGCAAAGGCCCCTTGGAAGTTGGCCTCGGGGTCCTTCAGGTCTTCATCTCGCCGTTGAAGTTTGACCCCTACGTTGATTCACGGTCAGCGTATGCGGGATCGAAGCGAAGGTAAATAACCATCTCTTACGTTGAAAATGAATGCCCGCCTCGGGAACTTCGGTAGCAAGACGTCGGAGCTCGAGCCATGTGCGTCGTTCGCGTTGGCTTTCATCATCGGGGTGAAGTCTGCAGGTGGTCAGTTTTAATATCCTGTTGGTGGTCGTGGCTGGCACGCACGGAATGAAATTGGCACCCGCCCATGGTGACGCATATTCGGGGTTGGAGTCCCCGGGCATGAACTCAGCAACTACTGTGACTGGATAGTTCCCTTTGCGGGAAAGCAAAAGGGCCGACGTCAAGCCAGACACCCCAGCTCTAACTGTCGTATCAGCAGCGGCTCGAAATTGGAATCTTTCGTTGGCCCAACGTACCCGATAACAACGATCGGAGTGACCATGATGAAATAGCTTGCAAAGGCAGGGTCGTTTCTGTCCACACGAGGGATTGGTGAGCAAAGTAAAGTAGTACTCGTATCCTGGTGGCAATCCAGGATATGCAGCCTTGGGGTGCACTTATGAGGCACCAGCGTTGGAGCTTGTCGGAGCTCCAAAACTATCCCTTCGCCTCCTTGCTCCGTCTTTCACCCGTGTCCACAGTAACCCACAGTAGCCTGACCCGTGTTGCGGAACTCCGTTGATAGGCAGCGGGCTATGAAACCACAGATAAAAGGTGGCGGGCGGCTACGACATGGGAAATTGACAGCGAAAAATAAAAAAAAATCGTCATGAAGCCTCGACCGATTGCGGTGGAAGTCGGAAAATCGCCCCTTTTTTCCCCGGGTTGAACGGCACGAACTGTAAATAGCGGGACGGGTAGGAGCAAGCGAGCCAATCGTCAAATCATGATATGATGGATACCGATAGGTAGCAATGTGGCAAGTCAATCGGAGTCGGTCTGGCTGGCTCTGTACGGATAGGAGGTACATGCACAAAGCAGAACAGAACTTGTCCTATGGAGGTTCTATACTGAAGGGCATACGGAGTAAATCCTGCTTGTACGGAGGAGAGTGGAAGGTAAGAACAACCGAAGTTGCAGTGTCCGTAATGTTCAACAAATAGTAGATAGTAGTAGTCTATAGTCTCTACTCTGTAGTAGGTAGTCCAAGATCCCTATTTCTCCAACATCCATCCCACAATAGACCTTGTGGTTTACTACCTTGTCATCTCAGTAACCAAAATGTCCACAAAAACAGTTGTGTTGTGCTGAGCAAGGATGCTCCAGCTCCGAGCCCTCTCTCTCATGTCCCAAGCAATCATTTCCAACGGATCCGGTATACTTCCAAAATTGCTTCAGTTTGTTTGGATTATATGGGATTTCCACTGATTGAGCCTTTCCTAGTGTCGAACCTGTGTCGCTGTTGCCTTCGGATACCGACGTGGAGATCGAAATGATTGCTGCGTCTGTCGAATCCAGATAGACGAGCCGCCAAATGTTTGACGGTATCGATTTGTTGCCCCGGCCTGAGAGCCAAGCAATCGTGGTGGAATGATATCAAAACGCCCGGTGTGCATGCAGTGTGTTTCTAAGGGGCTTGACTAGGCGGGCTATGGGCTGCGGCTCCATTGGTTATGTACCTCCAGTGCAAAAGATAGCCTTTTCACATCCAGACACCCGAGATCTATCGCGTATCCGATCCCAAAGAAGCCAGATTCCATTTTGCGCATGCCTGCGAATTCCGTTGGTTCTCCTACCGCTGCTCCCTACTCGACGGGGAAGCAGAAGGAACATACCCAGTGACAAACACCGGTAGACAACCCTTGGCCCCACGGTTCCCTCGAGCACAACGAGAGCAAGGACCCTCCCCACCATCTACCAAGGAGGAACGTTCACCGGCAGCGAGCCAGCGGCGGCAAGCAAAGCCGAACGCGGGAGCGGGGGCCTTGCGGGGACGACTGCGGCAGCGAGGGACAGGAGAACCAACGGAATTCGCTGGCATGATTATCGCTGCAAAAAAGAAAAATAATGTCAGCTTGAAACACAAACGCCAATCAGAGCAAAACAAGCGACATGCGGCTCTGCGGATACCTCTGCTTATCTGTGGAAGGTGAAGCTGAAGAGTTGGTGTTTTGACTCGGAAGTGTCACTGAAATCTGCTTATAACAACCACCGCGACACAGCAACGCACTGAATTTAGAACACTCCCAAAATCTGCCCACAGCAATGCAGCGAAGCCACAGTGGCTTCAACGCCAATCCTACCGCTGCGCAAGCAAAAATGAAGCTATTCGCACCGTTCTTAAACCACGCAGCTCGCAACACCGCAACACCGCAACCCCTGCAACCACGAATAGTGGAATGATTAATCCATGCTTACCGCAATAACGACGCATTGCCTACTGGGAGATAGGCAAAGGCATGATTGCGAGGGCGCAATCGCTATACGAGAGGGACATCGCTTTTTGACCCCTATCTTGTCACATCCCGGCGAAGTGGGACTTTTCTTAGTATCGGTCGCTATCGTCGCGCGCTCAAAGAGGATCCAGTTGACAGCATCCTAGAAACACTCCCAATTCAAAATTTGGCGTTTTCAGGCTCTGCCCCACTGCTGCTAGTCCGCTCAATGACATTGGTCTTTCTGTAGACCAAGAGTTTCCAGACCATCTGTCCTATTACGACAGCCCGTCTCTTCTCAGTGACCAGATTTCGTTGGTAGTCAATCCAAATGACTCCGACAGTGCTTTTACTTTGCTCCGGACTTTGTAGACAGTCGCGACGCGTTTTGGTACCTACTCACCTATAGCCACTCGAACAATTTTCAATGCATCATTATATGCGCCGTGTTGTACATCTTTCTGCATAATCGACAATATATGAAGAGTCCCTGGCGAAGAATTCATTCAAAAAGAACTCTACAGATTACTGACCAAATGAATGTTGAAGCCTCAGCTTCAAATATTCAAGATGCCCTCCGAAACGCACTGCTTTGCAGTTTATCGAATGACACAGATCGCGTAGGCATCAGGATCAGGCTACCAGATGGGCCAATGAGGCTATGATATTCCGGGGAAGACATTTAAGCGCCTCAAAGACTCAGTCGGACGTGGTTTTGAATGAGTCCTCGCCGAAGCCCTTTGACAGATTAGCGGGGGCGGCCAGGGCCCAAAGCCATCTTCCTGGGCATTCGGGGAAAGGATTGCTCTAGTATATACTCCTAAATGGGTCAAGATACTACTAGTAGTAGCTTAATTTGATTGTCAATAGAATTCCGCTTTGATAGCGGGTTCAAGTCTCTTAATTTCCCCCCCCAGGTATTAAACATTTCAGATGACATATCAAGACACGATCCATGTGCGTTCACTTGCGCCCAGGGGAATAATCAACAGTGTTGGACCGGAAATACAAAGAACAAGTTACTCAGGCAGTTTTAAACATCAGGAAGCTATTTGTAAGATTCAGGGATATCTAGACCATACAGAGCCCCCCGTTGACCATGATGTATTCGCCATTCACCCACTTCGACCTGTCTTCCGCCAGCCAGGCTACTGTCCAGGCAATATCCTCCGGTTCGGCCACAGAACCCTCACAAGGCACATCCTTTTCAAACGACTGGAGAACATCCGGAAGAGAATCCCCCACTGAATCGATGAACTTCTGGGTGATGACTGGCCCCGGTGCCACGCCGTTTACAGTACATCCATATTTCGGCGGCAGTTCCTTGGCCCAGTTCTTGATCATACTATCCATAGCCCCCTTGGTTGCCGCATAAACAATGCAATCGGGCTGGGCCATCCGACTTTGTCCCGAGCCAATACAAATAATACGAGATCCGTTCGTCACGCCCGAGGTAGCGGGAGGGGACGAAGGCTTATAAGGCGGCAGGTGAGGCAATACAGCCTGGGTAAGCAGGAATGTGCCCCTGGCATTAATATCCATCGTTTGGTTCCAGGACCTGGGGTCGACTTCCCAAGTTGGCGCATTCGGGACAACCCCGGCGTTATTCACAAGGATATGGATGACTCCGAAGCGCGCCACGGCCTGGGCGACCAGTTCGCGGGGCCCTTCAATGGTACCTAAATCGGCACATACCGCTATCCACGGGGTCTGGAGCTTCGCCCCTACCGCTTCACATTCTTCCCTCAGCGAGGGAAATGGATAATTGAGAACGATATTCGCACCCCGTGCCGAGAGCTCGATGGCGATGGCAGCGCCGATACCCGCTGATGAGCCGGAGATGATCGCGGTTTTCCCCAGCATTGTTTGAGGGGTTGACATTGTCATGATGGTGGATTGCGTTCTGGCGTGGCAGCGATGTTTGGGAGTTCATGAAAGACGGAGCTGGTCAGAAATCAGTGGACACAAGGGACCGAGTCTCCTACTCCAGGCTTTGTATTTCAATTTATGAGCTCTCTGGCCTTTTTTACTGTCGGGTTTCCTTGGTTTCCGAAGCACTTTGACGCATTCCGCGCGCCGGAAGCCGGTCGGTCGGTCGGTCACGATCTCCACATTGAACTTCCACTGAGCGGCCTAACCCTGTAATAAGGCAGGATTGGTGCCAGGACCTTTATCAGTTGATGTATTTATTTCTGGATTCCGGGGTAGATTATGCAGTGGGAATTATTAGCTTACATTCTGGACGACGACCTGATCTTCCGTGACATGCATGACAAATAGAACCATGATTTGATAACTAACTACCTAGTAGGTCCCTAGTTATTAGATTCAGTAGATGTAGCTATTAAAATAATCCTGAAATTTTCATTTTGAACTGTATAACTAGCCGTGGACTGGGCCGGAGTTCTAAATCCTTTCTGGTGCGGTTTGCCTTCTAGACCAGGAGTATTATCCAAATCTGAAATATTTCCAGTAGCCTATATCTCACTGTAATAAGCATTGCACGTATGTGATTTTCCGAAGGAAGCAAGTATGATGACGAAGTTGAATCTATTGGTGTTGCTTTCGATATCATTGGTTTCCAGGGTGCTGTTTGGAATATTTTTCAAGATAGGCTGCCGTCGCCCCCTTCTATACATACAGTACATGCGAAACAGGATCCATCAACATCCGGGGTGGAATATTAGTATGTCGAACTTTCGCGTTGGTCTTGATCCATGCTATCTGACTGAACCTTTAGTGTAGCGAAAGCTGCGCCAGTATTCGGTATGTATGGCCTATCGGCTCCGGTGAGAATTTTGATTGTTGCGGAGTGGCGGTATGTATTAGCTTGCCGTACAGTCGGTGATCACCTGACGCCCAGTCCCACCTGACGCCCGATTTCACTACTACCAGTAATATTAAATATGAAGTAATTCAACCACATATAATTATTATTATCACGTGATCTTTTAGTGAATAAATATAGTTATTATTAGAACTCTATATATAGTTTTTAATTAATCTAAAAGTACTATAGGAGCCAGATCTCGCGGCCTTAATAATTTACTATTAGAGGGGCCTCTAGAACTTTTATAGGTATTATTAACCTGATTTTTATAGATTTTTACTAGTATAAAGCTTTAGAAACCTTCTTTAGAGACTTCTTTACCTACTAGAAATTATTTTAAAGCTAGTAATCTACCTCCTTTACTAGATAAATATCCTCCTTTTATTATTTTTTTTACTTTACCTCTAATAATTATAATTCTTACTAGAATACTTAATTTCTCTTTTATTCTTTAAATAAATATTATTTCTTTTCTTTAATAAGCTATTAATAGACCTTCTCTTACTCCTTTAATACCTTAATAAGTTATATAACTTTATCTTTTTATATTTAAAGATTATAAGCCTGCTAAATCTTTTAAGGAAAGTAAAAAATTATATTACTATTTTTAAGAATTATAAGCTTAAATTATAAGAGTTTCTTATATTAATATTTTTTTTTTTTATTCTAGAAAGTTAATTTAAGACCTTAATAATATAGTTTTAGAATAATATTTTCTATAAAAAGGTAATATATTATTAAGCTTAATTTCTTAATATTTTTATTATATATATTAGTAATAACTTAATTTAAAAGCTTCTTAATCTTCTACTAGTTCTTTATTTATAGGATAAAGTATAAAGAATTACTTAAGAAGGATTTAGAATTATTCTACTTATTAAATTAAATTAGAATTATTTCTAGATTTAATAGCTATATTCCTATAATTTACTATAAAGAAAAAATATTTTTTATTAATAAGACTTATTCCTAGGCTAGCTAGAAAAGATAGAAAAAATTCTATTTAATAATATAATTAAAATCTATTAATTTATATAAAAAGTCCTTAAGATTCTTATTATAAATAATAGAAAGAGAGCTAAAAATCCTAATATTAAGTAATTATAATAAATAAGTTAAATAAAGTAAATATATTATTAATAAGATCTTATTAGTATTATAATAATTAATAAACTTTATAGTAAGATAAGATCTATAATTATTAAGAATAAGAAATCTTTATTACCTACATGCCTTATCCTTAATCTTATAGTTAAATATATTAGTTAATTAAATATATCCTAGCTTATTATTAGTCTAACTACTTATAGAGGAGGCAAAGAAACAAGAATAAAGCTTAAGTATAAGCATCTCGCTGGCGAGGTGCTTGGGTATGGGTAGTGTTAGTAAAGGAAGCAAAGCTACACAGAGTACAAGAATAATAGGAAGGTATTAGAAGTAATAAAATAAAGTATTTATCTCTTAGTACTTCAGGGATTATTATATTATTATTTATATTACCTAGTCAAGTTATTAGTATAATATAGGTAGCTTAAATATTATTATTCTCTTAATTACTCTTAGTTACTAGATATATAATTTAGTATATAGTTTAATATATAGTTATATATTATATAATTACTATAATAATTACCTTTCCTCCCCTTAGTAGCATATTCACATGCTATATATACTATACCTAATCTAGCTTAATACTCTACTAAGAAGGAGCTAGTCCTAGTTAGTATAATATAACCTATTTTTTTATTTAATACTAGAGATAATAATAGTATATATAATACTATCTTTATTAATTATATTTTATTAAATAAGATATAAATAGTACTATATTTTACTTTAAATAAAATAATAAATAAGAATAAGTAATTTACTAAATATACTAGTAATAAATAAAGATATTATTATAATATAAATATTATAAGAGAATATTTCTTTATATATATTTCTTCTAGCCTAATCTATATTTTAAAAAGCTTCTTCTAATAAATTAATATATTATTTTAAATAAGTTATTATTATTTAAGTATTATAGTAATAATTAATTATATTATAGACTTTATAGCTCCTTCTAAATATTCTTTATTAGATATTATACTAGCCATATTCCTATAAAAAAAAGCCTATTTAACTACTATTATTACTTCCTCTATAAGTACCTTTACTTTAGTAGTATAAGTCTATTATACTAACTATTTATAGGCTCCTATAGTAAACCCCCTAGTACCTATATTAATTATAGTACCTATAATCCCTATTATTACTAGTATATCTCTTATAATTCTTATTATTATTACTTTATTATCTAGCAGGACTATATTCTCCTTATTCTTTATAATTATTCCTAATATTATAATAACTTTTATTATCTCTCTCTTTATTTTTTCTACTATAGTAATTCTAGCTACTCCTACTATTATTATTATACTAGCTTGTCATGGTGCGAAGCTGTAGTACCTATCTAGTTAGATTCTGCCTTGACTGTCTGCCCTTATTCCTGTATTTAAGCCATATTATCCTTAATCCTGTTATAGCTCTTCAAGCTATATCCTGTCTATTACCTGATACCTACTATTCTACTATTCTATCTAGTTAGCTCCTAATTAATAAATATCTAAATTTAACTTTACCCCCTAATATTATATAGCTCCTCTTTACTAGGAGTTAATTACTATTATTATGCCTGCCTTGCTACCTATACTATCTAAAGATATAGAAACCCTCCTATATAATACTCTTAATAAATTAAGATAATATATTATTAAGATATACTAGTTCTTTATTACTACTATAGAAAAACTTTATAAATTATTTATCTTATACTCTACTATTACTAACCTTCTTAATTATATTTAATAAAAAGATAGTATAATTAAGTACTAGAAGATATAAGTTAAAAAAACTTAATAAAAGTTATTTAAAGTATTTATTTAAAATAATATATTTTTTTAATTATTATTTTTTTCTAAAAAAAATACTAATATTACTACCCTTTTTATTATTATTACTACTCTTATTATATTTATTCTTATTATCTAAATCTCTAAATAACTTCCTGACCCTAATAAGTTTAATAATTAATAAAGTAATTTAAGATATTTTACTTCTTAAATTTACTAGAAAATAATTATAAATTTTAACTATTTTCTAACCTTAAATAATAAAATAGCTTATATAACTAGTTACTTTAAAGGAACCTTATATACCTAAATCTTATTATATATTTAAGATAGAATCTATAAATTAAATAATTATATTAAGATTTTAAAAATCTTAGAGAAAGTTTTTAGAGATCTAAATCTAGAAACTAATACTTATATTAATCTATTTTATCTTTAATAAACTTATTATAAGTTTAATATCTTTTTTACTAAATTTTAATACTTTATATTAAAAAAAAATATAAATAAAAATATTTTACTTATAATTTTAAAATAAGCTATTAATTAAAAATTTTAAGAAATATTAATATATTCTAAAGCCCTATTATAATATTATAACTTTATTAATTACTTATAAAATCTAAAAAATTATTACTACTATTATATAAGTACTATCTTACTTTTATCTATAAAAAATTTCTAGCCTCTCTAATTTATCTTAAAATTAATTCCTGCTACTTAAATTCCTATAATCCCTATTAATCCTGTTATTACTACTACTCCTATTAAAGACTTAATAGACCTGTCTACTACCTATTATCTTAATTATTAAACCTAATACTTATATTACTGCTGTAGTAATACTAATTATCTAGTAGATAGCTACTTATATCCTGACTAAAGACTAACTAGCTATATCTCTATATTTATTACTAAACTAGACCTATACTCTCTATTAATTAGAATCCTACCTACTAAATACTCTATATTCTCTAAATTAGAAAATAGAGTATCCCTAATCTAAGTTATAATTAGAGATACTTCTAGCACTCCCTCTACCTATTAAAGGCTGTAATAGCTAGAATAATAGTAGAGGAGGAAAGTTACTAATCTAAACTAATAATCCTATCTATTAATCTAAAAATTCTTAATAAAACTTTACTAATCTTTACTATAATTAATTCTAAAGCTAAGAATAAATATTTTATAGATTATAATTAGGCTATAAATAATTAACTAGAAATATTACTATTAAAAAATTCTATCTTATTAAGGAGATTTAATAATACTCTAATAAAATCTAGTAATATTACTTATTTTATTTATTTAATCTAAAAAATCTATAATTATATTAAAAAAAATATTACTTTTCTTATAATTTAACTTATATACTTTCTTATTATTTTTAACTTACCTTAATTAAAAATTTATAATCTCTAGATTAGATTTACTAATTATACTATTTTATTTAAAAGCCCCTATTATAAGAAATACTATAATATATTTCTAAAGTTTATAAAAATTTTAGTATTATATAATATATTATTAAAAGCTTCTCCCTAATATCTTAATTCCTA